CAAAAAAACTTCAGTAGTACGACGTTACTACTGACTGGATTTCCTAAATCCCTATTTTTGGTCTTATAACGCGCTTTATTTTCCACTCCCTTTTCATATTGTCTCGGCGGCGACTCGTTCTCCGAATAAGAATTGTAGCACTGTGCGACGAACAAAGAAGCTCTACAAGAAGGTTTCAACAGCAGTCAAACTTCCAGGATTTTGAAGGCCATATTTATACACCTTAGCATCCTTTACATAACGTTTCTCATTACGAGTCTTATTAACTCAATAAAAACCAGCATGTTATATTGTTAGAATAGCTGCTTCAATTTGTATTCCAGAATTTAAGAAGGGCTCTTTCAAGACATAGCTTGCGCATGCCCACTCTCTGTCTTATTTCAGGTTGAATATATTTTCGTTTAACCTTTAGATGCTAGTTTTGTCCAATATACGCCTGTTGTTGTTCTCATTTGTATCAGGACAGCTCAGTTATTACGTGGCTGGCTGCGACCAGTCTAGGTTCCAGATGCAGGAATTCTCTCAGCCACCGCGTTCAGATCGTTAAAGTTAAACGAGTACCGGAAGCACAGCATAAAGCGAATCACTTAAATCCCACGTGGTAAGGAGAATACGTGGAGTTTTATCTCCATTCCTCTAATTTAACAGCGAGACGAAGTGACTGCGCGCTAGAGAAAATTCAATAATCAGGGGCCTCGTAATTTGTACGCTTCAGCGAACATGATTAAGATGATCAAATCAGAGAGAATGGAGTCGATGTGGAATGCAGCACGCTATGTAGAAATCAGAAGTGCGTAAAACAAAATCTGTCGGAATGCTCGAAGGTAAGAAATATCTTGGAAGTCCTGGGCTTATGTGGACAACGTGGAGAAGAGAAAATTATTGACCCTACCGGGACTCGAACTCCTAACCCTCGGTCTTCCAGCCCGTAGCCAGTTGATATAATGACTACGCTATCCCGGCTTACCTATATAATTATTCTAAATAATAAAGAAACTGCTTTGTTTTTTAACACTGCCTATAATGATGTCCTAATTTAAGGTTCCACTGTGAGACAAGGAAATCTTCTAAACTCCATTCACTTACCTATTTCTTACACTAGGTATTAGTCTTAAACGTTCTAAACAAAGGTAGATTGAATGAAAGACGTTCCGCATGGCACTTAGGGCGCCCACATCTATAACAGGAACTCACGCAATGACTGGAGGAAGGTTTAGACCCCGTCGTAGCAGGCCTGTATGAATGAGGACCCTCACGAAGCAAAACAGCCAGTTTAAATTAGCACTTATCTCTCCTGCTTAGAAACTATTCTCTAGCTTAAGAATTATACATGCCATGCTTGATAGCGTAATTTTAATCAGAATCTCTTAAGCACTCCCTTTGGAAGACATGCATATTCTATTAACAACAACGCTCTCTTTGAACGCGCACACGTCAAAGCAGCGATAGTGATTAAAACGCAATTTTTGGGGCCCTTCATGGAATTATTTTTATACTTTGGTTTCAGACAACCCAGAATTACTGCAAGAAATTCGTTTGCCCCAGAAGTACAAATTTTCTGCCGAAGAAGGGGAACCAATCCCGCCAACATCAGCTCGAAATATGTGGTCACTGAGCGCTCTATATGAAAGTGCGAAAATTGGTATCACGTTTCTTTTTAGCTTATTTTTTTTATCTTGAAATAGATAAAAGTAGGCTTATAAGATTACCATGCTGTCTGTCTGTAAATCCCCAGCCCATCAACTTTTTAATGCCACAACCCGTTCTTAACAAACTTGGTATGTATATCATGGCACCTGAGCCCATCTAAACGGCGTTACTTCATGAACCCCTCCCGTCACTCTGTGTGTCTGTGTGTGTATTCCCATATCGTTGTACGGCAACGGCCCTTTAAAAAATTTACTGCGGCAACGATACACACTCTGCAATAGAAAAATTGTTGGACACGGCCTTTTCAACGCGGTCCGTGTCATATAAAAAAGTAGACTACTTCTTTCCGATACAATACATTATCATAGTAACTGAGCCTACCTCAGCGGCGTACTTGATAAATCCTTCCCATCAGTCCTTATGTCTTTATGTGTATCCCTCCTATCATTGCTATACAAGGGCTTGGTAAAGGATATCCCCCTTTTCATTCCTGGGTAACATCTCAGTAAAAACGTTCCGCAGCAACGAGGAACTTTTAGAGGCGGCGTTTTATATGCAGTCCTTGTCGTATCAAAGCAAAATAGGTGGTTAGTTACTCCCAGAAATTCCTGATTTTTATCTAGTCACCCTAATCTAGTCTCGAGGATGAGAGGGCCATACCGGTTCTTAATTAAATATCAGGATAACTTTACTTTTACTTTTCTCTTCTTCTGATCTTAAATAGAGATATACAAATTTACCATATTTTGTCACAGTTCCGCTACAGAACTGCTGACAGATTCTCCATGATACATACTGCACTATAAATACCGTAGAACAGTGGTTCTCAAACTTATTACCTCTGAGCCCCCCCTGACAAGAGAAAATACTCTCAGGCCCCCAGCCTGATTTTTTTATCAAAATAGAAGTCATGGTATGTTTGACGTTTTGTTCAGTTTATTTTGTGTTTTTCTACATATTCTTTAGCAGTTTTTTACTCAAAATTAAAGTATCACAACATTAGGCCTAAATAAAAATTAGTTTTAACACTTCCAATTAACCAAAATATGTATTGAAATGCCAGTCACGGTAGCTGAGCGGTCTAAGGCATGCACTGTCTTCGCTCGCTCGGAAGCCGGGATCGTGGGTTCGAATCCCACTCAGGGCATGGATGTTTGTGTGCGTTTTTCTGTGTTTGCCTTGCGAAGAGCTGATCACTCACCCAAGGAATCCTACCGAATGTGTAAGATCTAGAAAAGCCGAAGTGAACGGAGTTCATGGAGGTAGGCCTAGGCCCACTGGGGCTGTAGTGCCAAGGGGAAAAAAATGTATTGAAATAAAACGATATTTAACTAACAAATATTTATTTTTCTTTCTGCAAAGAAAATCAAACATTTAAATGTCAAAGTTCAGTGTGATGGATGGGCCTGCTCTTGAGAACAAAGTTTATTAAAACGTGGTGTAATATCAGAAATGGCCACTCTAATTTCTTTAGCAATATTTAGCCTTGAACGATACTTTGACTTTATAGCTGCCAAAGCAGAAAAGCATGTCTTGCATAAGTAAGTTGCTGTGAAAAGAATCAGGATCTTCAGTGCTTTTTGGCTCGAAGTTGGGAATTCCTTGCCAATATGTATCCAGAACTATAACAAAGACAATTCCTTAAATTTGCTTTTTAATGAAGTATCACTAGAGAGATCGATGAGTTGTTGTTGCTCATTTACATTCAGAGATGATGGCCCAGGAGCATTTTCGAATGGATTTTTAATCCAATTAAATTTATCAAAATCATTGCAAGGGTATTTTTCGAAATGAAGTTTCAACATTATGAGATGATCAAGTAGGCAGCTTTTTATGTCCATTGGAAACACTGGATTATCAGTGTCTTGTACCATTGACACTAGAGTAGGGAACATGTCTAGTGTGTCACTTTCCATACTGTTTCTCCAGAGCTCTAATTTTGTCACGAATGCCTTCACTTTGTCATATCAAGAAAGTACAGTTGCCTCATTCCCTTGAAGTGAAGTGCTGAGGATATTTAGTTTCTCAAATATATCTGTGAGGTAAGCCATTTGCAATAAAAAATCCTTGTTGCTGAAACTGTCTGCCAGTGAGTGATTTTCCCCATTTAAAAAACAGAACACCTCATGCCTCAGCTTAAACGTTCTCTTTAATACCTTGCCTCTTGAAAGCCATCGAGCATCACTAAAAAACAACAGAGCAGTGTGTTCGGCACCCATTTCCTCACACAGCTTTTTAAAAAGTCTAGACTTCAGAGGATTTCAGAGGATGCGGCTGCTGCCGAACTATCAACGCTGTCTCTGGCATACGCGTTTTATAATTGCCGGTAAAGAGAATAATTATTAGTTATTTTGAAATTCATGATAATTAAAGCCTGTACTCATCAAAAGTTTTTCTCTATGTATTTGTATTTTTTGTTACTTTTCTAATTGATTTAGGGCAGTTTTAATTTTTATCTGTAGGAAAGTATGCTGCGCCCCCTTTTCAAGTCCTTCGCGCGCCCCCTGGGGGTCGCGCCCCACAGTTTGATAACCACTGCCGTAGAATATTTCGATTCATCGCTTTATTATTTTCAAAGTAACTTGACGTTTTCTGTATTCAAATGTTACAATATGACGTAGTTCGTTAATAGCAATGGTTGTAGTATTTACTTGTCCATAATTTGTTTTTGATATAATTATATGTAGAAACAAAATATTTAAATAATATACAAATTAAAAAGTAACTTTAATATTTAAGATATAGTTTCATGGAAAATAATTTGTATAACAGTAAGCCATAAACTAAACACATATTTATTTGAACAGAAATTTGCTATCCAAATGTTTTCCCAGTCTCTCACAGGTAGACGTTTTGAGCTCGTTGAAGTATATATTATGAGTGGCAAAGAAGTAGCAAGCGGGGAGGTCCGATGCCTCTAGGTGTTTGATTTCAATTTCCTGATTCATACACACAGAACTTTGACAAATGTCTCCGTATCCTAAGAGGCGACTGTGACCTTCCTTTTGGTTCTCTTTCCGTGTAATAATCAACTATAGTATGTGTAGAAATTTAACAACATTTTTATTTATTATGAAAGCATGAAATAGGTTTTCCAACCTCAAATTTTCCGTGAATGGGAGATTTTATGATCCTTATTATTTTATTCACAAGATGTGTACTGATATTTAAAAATTACTTTTAATTATAACAACATTGATCTTATATCTGCCCTTCCTTCCCAGGTTCCATGATAAGTTACCATGGCAACCATTCCAAATAAACAACCATGTGCAATGTACTAAATTAGGCAAAGTGTTTCAGTTTTGTAAGTGAAGAAGAAGAAGAAAAAAGTAGAAGAAGGCACAGTAGAACATAGTTCATAATGCAGACAGATTTTACATATACATGATGTGAAACTATCATTTATCACAACATGAAATCAATTGATGACACTGAGGGAGATCTGAAAGAAGAAACATCATTGCAATTACAACAGCAACACATGGAAGCAAGAACTATGTAGAGCTCACTAGCTGGGAATATTTGTATTTTTTTTATCATGTATTCTAAGCATAAACTTCCTTTTGCTCAGTCAAACAAGATTTACAATTAAGATGACTATGAAGAGGGTTTGTCAAGATGTAGAACATGTTCATAAATGCTTGTTATGAACAGATTTGAAACTTGTTGCATAAGAAACTGAAATATTAACTACTGACATCCAAAGGCCCAATTGTTAATTACTGTAATACCTATCTGTAAAAACAGTGTTGATAACACGTTGAATGTTGTGTCAATTCTATGCAGATTACCGAATGTTTTCATGTTGACCAGCAGTGAGGTTAGGGGAATAGGTAGAATATGAGGGCTCATATTCAGACAATAGCATGCATTGACAGTTTGGAAGTTAAATTATATCAGTTTGTTGTTGGTCTGATAACCAGGCCGTTTTTGAACAGTGTTAGTTTGGATTTCAGTTATAACTGTTATTCCATTTAATGGAAAGAGAACACAATAAGCAACCATTTACTAAATTTTATCTCCACCATCATGACTTAAATTTGAGAGAGATTTAATTCTGACCTCACATTGTCAAATTTAAATATATATAACGGCATATGCAAGTTAATGATTTCCAATTTTCCTTAAAGAAATTAGCTCAACCTGTATTATTTGCAGGTGACAGAAGTATTATTATATCTAATTCGAGTCCTGAAGAATTTAGAAGTAATATTATTTCAGTTATTAATGAAACAATGACATGGTTTAATAGGAACTTTTTAACTCTAAATTGTGATAAAACACATTTCTTACAATTCTTTTTAAAGAACCATAGAGAAATAGAAATCCAAATTACATCAACCAACTCATTAATTGCTAACATCAATTGCTCTAAATTTCTGGGAATAAATATTGATAGCACCCTGTCTTGGAAGAATCCTATTACTGAGTTATCTTTAAGATTAAGTAAGGCCTGTTTTGCAATAAGGGCAATAAAGCCCTTTATGTCATTAGAATCAATATAGATGATTTACTACTCTTACGTACATTCGATACTGTAGTATGGCACTATCTTTTGGGGTAATGCCCTCTTAGTATGAGTATCATTAAAATTAAAAAAAGAATCACAGGAGTTATGTCTGAATCGGGCAAATTTGATTCTGTCGGGATCTGTTAAAAAAAATTACAAATATTACCACTCCAGTCTCAATATATTTTTTCCTTGCTTCTTTTTGTTGTTAAGAATAAAAATTACTTTACATCTAACACGGATATTCATGATATTAATATCTGCTATAATTAGAATTTATATATACCCTCTACAAATTTATCAATAGTACAAAAAGGAGTACTGTTCTCTGGAAGCAAGATTTATAATCACTTACCTTTGAATATTAAATTGTTATCTAAAGACTTTAACCAATTCAAATCTTTATTGAGAAGCTATCTCACTGAACATGCATTTTATAGCATTGATGAATTTTACAGAACAACTTCCCAATGAATAGCTTTACATTATTTAGTTAATAGTTGTAATTTACTTTTCTTACCATATTTGTATTAATTCTATACAAAATTGTTTCAGATGGCTACTGTAAGGTTTATGACATGTATATGAGATTTACTGTTATACTATTGTTTTATATTTATAACGACAGTTTCTATATCCTAGAGGTCATTTGACCTCGTATGGATTAATGTAATTAAATAATAATAATAATAATAATAATAATAATAATAATAATAATAATAATAATGCATTTGGTCTTAATACAGAAAGGTAGCTCTTTTTTTTACCAAACACTGTTGGTTCTGTTGCAACCTAAGATAAGTTAAACTCCTGTTAAACTTATGGTACATATTCCAGGTGCATGCTTGCTTTATATTGTATTTTATGAGATGTAGCACCAAGTACTCTTATGTGCTATTTTCCTTTCAGAATTTTAGATATTCCGTTAACATAAACTGACAGAATCCATCTGCAGCATGTCATACTATATAAGTACTGACTAAGGTAGGATCCAGGCATATCTGCCCCCTACCAGTTTTCTTTTGGGGTGGGGGAGTATGCCATTTTCTCTGTTCACAATATGAGAATGTCTGATGTGTTGAGAAACCACTTAACATGGCATGGTTTTGTGAACATTCAGTAGGCTCAACAGGTAATGAAGAGATAAAAACAACTACTCACACAAATGAATAAATTACACATGAGTAATTGCAAGTATACTGTAAAAGTAATAATCCTCTCTTAGTATACCATCTTGTCATAGTACATGAGTCGAAAAAGTGATTAAAATGTCACTGTTTTATTTCATAGGTGGATGAAGTTTGGTTCAAGATTAAGCCATTTACATTTTCTTGGCAAAGATGTAATAGCAACAAGAATTGGCTCTCATATTCTGTTTCATGACCTATCAACTCATACAGATACAATTTACACTGCCAATAACCACACATCTGGAGATGGGATTTCATGTGTTGCTGGTCATCAAAACACTACTGTATTTGCATTTGGTGAAAAGTGCACTAATCCATGCATTTTTATTAAGCAGTATCCAAGTTTTTCAACTGTTTCTGTGCTTAAAGGTATAGTGTTATATTGTGAAACATTATTCTGTGTAGAAAGGCAATCAGTTCCTCACATTCTGGGCTGCCTTTTGCTGGGTTCATTTGAAGTTTATGTTTAACTATTCAGATTGTTTACTAGCATAACGCAAAGTTCAACATCCTGTACACATATACAGCTTTGTGATATATCATGTTTATGTCTGTTATGATAGTGACATTGTAGGTCCTCTATATTCTTTGTACATACCAGGCACTAATTGTGGTTCAGAGCCCATATTAAATCATAGGATTCCTTTGTCAGCGTTTGTCTACCATTGAGGGTAGTGGAGTTCACTTCATTGAATACCCCACACCAGAATTTGAGTCTTGGTACTTGACAGGACAGGCAGAGATCCTGAATGTCCAGTAGGCTGGAGGTATTAACTACAATAATAGCTTATGCTTGGTATGGAAGATCCCAGAAAAATATTTATTATGATTAACAGGTGGAAGTGGCAGCTATTATAAATCTGTTGACTTCTCAGAAATGGGATTTCTGATTTCCTTGAGTTCACTGCCAGATTTTGAAATCACAGTATGGAATTGGAGAACTGCAGAAAAACTGGTCTCACAAAAGACTGGTATCAACAATGAGAATCAGATACTCAGGTGACTGAAAATTGATATAATTAAATTTTCAGAGATCAAAATATAAAAACTTAATTATCTTTACTTTAACTGAAGTAGACTCCATCTCTTGACATCCCACAATGATTTGAGGTTTGGCCTCCTCTAAATACAAGTTTCTAAATATTATTAAGACAGGTAGCAGCACTTCTTAAATGGAAGCTGAATATATAGTACAATGCCTGTCTTCACAGAACAGAACAAATAATGTTGACAGATGTTGATGTCACAAATTGGATTTGAATTCGTGATTCTAGAATTTAGAAAACCTACACTGTGCATGTCTTTGGTTATGTGATCATAAAATGTAGACTGTTCAGAGATATTATCTATCATGTTTTCAACTCTTGTACTCTTCTGTTATTACATCAAAATTTGCACTAGGTGTAAAACCATATATATAAATTTGTAGCATCTGGATAGCTAAATACGCGTATGTCAAAGTATTTAACTTGATAATAACACTGCTGTAGCTAAAGGATTATGTAGAGAAATACACTTCGAGGTCTGATTGATAGGGTCATGGGTTAATTAACAATATTGTGTCAAATTCGAGATTATTTAACATTAAATAAGATGAAATGATGAATGTTACTGTTTTATGATATATAATGCTATGTAGGTAGTTTGGTAGATGGATACCAAAGTTTCAGAGGAACATGCTGCCTCCTTTTGAGAGTAGAAGAATAAGCTGAATGTGAAAAATTTTGTTCTGATGTAGAGAAGGAACATCAAGAATGGGGCTGTTGGTAGACCAATATGAGATGGTGGCATTAAGAAGTGATAGTTATACAGAGGACAAATGCAGGGGAGAACATGTTGAAGGCAGGAAAGAATGTGGATGAGATACTTTATCTGAAGTGCTGGTATCTGTCTACCACATTACATGGCATCACACCTTAGAAGGGAGTTATTTTCACAGTCATCACTGCCAGAACCTTGCATCTCACAAGGCAAAAGAATGATTATGTACAATAAAATGACAAGAATATGTGGGGATGTTTAGATATATTTCGAAGTTCTATCCCAGCATTTACCCATAAAGATTGGGTTAAAATAGCACACATTTAAAAGAACAGTTAGAAAATAAGCCCAACTAAAACTACATAGAACTGCACTAACATATAGAAATGAGATCTGGACAATAAGAAAGAAGAACAAGATAGATAATACAGTCTGCTGAAATTATGTTTCTAGGAAAGGTAAAGAGTTGCACAAGACTCAATAAAATTAAAAATAAAGATATGATAGACAAATTTATTATATATTAACTGGAAGGAAAAATGGAAGTTTATAAACAGAAATTTGGGGACATTGAAGTGTAATGAAGTATAATCTAAAAGGAAGAAGTTTGTGAAGGTTAAGGATAAAATGGACCGAGAAGGGAACATGATTCTGAGTTGACTGTAAGAGAATTAAAGAATTTATGCATGAATGAACATAGTATGGTTTCTAGCATTATTTGTCACACTTGTGATTTATTTTACAGATGCAGTCAAGCTATACCCCCAGTGGTAAGCCAAGTGGCAGTAGACTCTTCAAAACTTCTTCTGTGGGAGTTACATGCATGCTGCAGAAAGTGTATACTGACCAGAGTAGAGTTTAATATTGATGCTGCTGTACTGCCATATATGTTTACATGGTCACCTGATGGTACGCTGTTCCTTGTAGATGCAACTGGAAGAGTATTCACGGTACAGCACTCACATTCAAGTTTCTCCATGTTTACCTCTTTAGTTTAACATATTTAATGCCAACAGTGGCAATTACCATTAAACATCTGTGAGCTTGCAATGTTTTAGCCAAATTATAAAATGCAGTATTTTTTTTCAGTTGCCACAAAGCCTTAAATACAGGAATATTATGAGATTTCAGGGATTAAAATGTGTAGTGTTGGTTTCAAACACACAGGTTAAATAAGCTTTATATGTATATGGTGACTGCCTCGGCCCTCCGGCTCTCTCACACCCGACTCACTGGGGCACTGCGCCTGGACTTGCCGGTGGTCGTGTTACTGTCCGACCCACTGGGCATCTGGCGTAGCCACTGCCTCATGACTCCTATGACCGCGCTCAATGACTAGCCTTTCACCAGCAGCTGCTGCGCTGCGATCAAGCAACCTCCAGCCACGGCCGCACTGCGGCCAGGCCACTCACCGCAACTAGCCTCTCTCCTTACCGGTGCGCGCCGCGCTACCTCACTGGTCAAGCATCTCAGCAACCACGGTCCTTTTCAGGGCCAACAAACTGTTCTGAAGAAGTGGGTTGTCATCGGAGTAATGACAAACTACATAAGACCCCCACAGTTTCAATTCCAAGGCCTTCCATGTGGGATCTGTGGTGAACCAACTCATACTGGGAAAAGTCTTTCTCCAAGCTCCTCAGCCTCATCCTGAATGTTAATATTCCACCAACGCTCAATACTCATCTGTCAACAAGTCCAATAATGGCCACAGTACGAAGGAGTCTGTCTCATCCCACTTCTGTTCACATAACTAAAGTCTATATCTATGTGTAATGTAATGATCTGTCTAAACCTTGAATATTTCCAATTCATTTGTCATATGTTCTGTTTTTTTGGCACAATTGAATACAGATTGAAGTTGAAAAAAGAAAACTGCAGCACATCTTCAGCTGGGCAGGAGGGCTGGGTACTGCAAAGTCATTTATTGTCTGGTACAAGACAGGAATAGTGGTGTCAGGACCAAGTGGAGAACTTAATGTAAGCAAGAGTAAAGTAATGAATTTGATTTTTTAATTACATTGTATTTATTGCTATGATAGGACAGTGTTTGATGATTTCAAATTTCAAATGTTATCATTTGTTTTGAACAGTTACAAACAATTTTCCTTACATTTAGTAGATAGACATTGAAAATGTTGAAAATTTAGTACTAATGAAAATACATAGAAATACAAGTGAGATGCAGAAAGGAACATGTTAGGGAACTTCGTGATGTATATGCCTTGCCCAGAATTTGTGTGTGTGTGTGTTCAGTGATGCTATACTAAATTTACAGACTATATATCATCTGGTAGCAGGATGATTATTAACGATGTAGTGTACTGAAATTATGTAGAAAGAAGCATTTTCTCTCTGTCTTAAGATATAATCCAAGAATTTTACTGCAGAAACAGGAAAACCAAAAAAAGAAGCTCAATTGAAATTGCCTATTTCCAGCCCAGAATTTGAATACAATACCTCCAAAATACAAAGCAAGAATGCTATTACACTGCAGTGTTTCATGTCTAGTATTATTAACCTTTTGCACTGTACCATGACACTGGCAGATTAGTTAACTGAATGGCAAATTTGACAACTGTCAGCTACTGAAACACGTGAGAGACTGTATCTGCTTTTACAGCAGTTAGAAGTCACTGCATGAAAGTTTACTTAGTGAACAACAGATGCAGTGCATTTTTTTTTTTTACAATAAATTGGCCAGTCTCTAGTGCTTGCTTTTAGTCTCAAGGCTGAATCATGCAATCTGCTGGCGTATTCCTCCACTTCCACAGACAACTTCATGGTGTGGTGCTTAATTAATTAAGCACAGGATCAACTTTACCTTTACTTCGAGTATAAAACAAATAGTATGCTCAGTGGTTAATTTAATTCATAACACTTTTTCTCTTATTATTGGGCTTTTTAACTAGTTCTTGACCCAAGTCCTTCAAATGTGAGGAATAGTCATATTGTACAAAACTATTATACCAAATTCTGTGAAAGCAAGCAGTGTTAAAAGTGATAACATGTGACTTGGTACCATGACAATGGATCTCACTGATATTCAGGACGTATCATGTTCAGATTATTACATTATTTCACAGTTCTCCTCAGTGCTCTCAGGTGAATTCTGGAATAGTGTCTAGTGGTTATGACCAGTTCTTTCCTCATTCTTTTCAATTTCTCATACATAATCATCTCATTAAATGTAACAAGAGGAACAACCATCATCTTTGAAAATTTGTTAGATGAGAAAGAGAGAACAGAAGGAAAGATCATTTGACACTGTTCCTATAAACCCTCATGCTGATAAGTGAACATTTCATTCTCATCTCTCCAGATCACTCCAGATTTTGTATTTTCATCAAAGTTGGTTTACCAATGTGTAAGGTTATGTTTATTGTCTTTACAGTATTACAAGAAAGTTGCTGCAACTGAATGGCAAATTATATGGTCATTTCTTCCTGAAGTACAGTTAGCTGTCTTGTCATCATGTCCAGGGAATGATTATCTTATAGCAATGTCAAAAGAGGTACATCTTGATTATAATTTAGCAGAAGGATATGTGAAGCACAAATTAGAGAAACTGAACCATCTGGCTGTTTATGTGCAGAGATTATTACAACTGTGAAAATTTGACATTTTTACATTCTGTATACTGTATAATTTATCATCTCATCATGGTCCAAGATTTTTCGTTTTAAACATGATATTTTTGTGAACATTTTGTGAAATACAAGCATAATATTATATTCTGTATGATGTGAGATATATAGTATAGATAGATAGTATATAGCAGGCATGTCCAAATTCAAACAGGTTGTGATCGACTTTTTAGTGCCAAAACTGCCAGTGATCTACCCCCCCCCCATATCATCGTATCTCCCTTTAACCAAAAATATTGGTAAAAATAACACGACACATGATGTTCATTGTAAAAGCAACATACGTTGAAAGTACAGACTACTTTAATACGTATTTACCCTTCAAAATCTGAATATAGTCATGTATACAAGTGAATTTACATGCTTTTCACATATAATTTCTTTATAGGCCTATGAAATCGACCAAAAATCGTCCCGCGATCAACGCGTCGGACATGCCTGGTATATAACATTTAACTTTGCATATTGTATTGAAAATTAGTATGCTCTGCTGCTTAGAGAACACCTTTCTTCTCTCATTAATTGTTATTTTGTGTGATGATTTTTGTATTGCACTACCTGAACTATGGCAGTAATAGTTTTTAGCAACTTTTTACTTTTTTCAGGCTGACCTGTTGCAGTTTAATATTGATGATGAAAGACCTAAGTTTATTAAAATTGGCTCTTATGGGAGGAATTTTGTATATCTCTGTTTTATTAATCCATCTGGTGATCATATTGCAACCCTGAATGCAAGTGGATTTATAAATATCTGGGCTGTGAATAGTGGAAACTTGGTATGTATGAAATTGTTATTTCCTAAATTCTCTGACTCAATATGGATTAGTTACATAAATTACACTACCCAGCTTCCTCAAATGAACACCCTCAAGATCGGGAAGGGCTGAAACTTGATAATCCAGATCAGCTATCTGTAAGTGCTGAAGACATAAATATTTTATATGAACGTAAAAATACTATAAAGAATAATTCATAACTTTATATCTGAACCCAGGATAAAATGGTTGAAAGAAAGTACATTTAACTTAGTATATGACACGTTTTAGAACCTCAATCTCTAACAGAATCATGATATGACTGAAGGTAATGAATACTTTGAAAATACTTCAAAGTCTAAATAGTTGAGTACAACTCTAACAAGCAAAATAGAGGTTCGTAATAAAATCTTCTTCCTCAGTGTCACGAATTATGTCCCTTGGCCCATGCTGGTTTCATAATTTTAAATAGTATGTTCATGACTTTAGATCTGTTTTTAAATCCAGTGTATTTCACACACCCCATTTCATGAAATGAAATTCTCTTTCATCACCATCTCTCATGACCCAGTTATTCTCATTATAAAGAAAATATACATAGATAGGATTCCATGTGAAGTTAACAACATTTGAAAACTTTAAAAATGATACAGTGTGGTTTTTCCCAGCAAAAACAGGGTGTTTCTACTGCTATGCATGTTCTACATAGAAACTGTAAAATTATAAACCTCAGACTGTTGTAGTACTTCAATTTTTCAACAGTAGCACTTCAATTTCATCAACATAAATGCTTACAGAATATATTTTTAAAATGTCACAGTTCATTAAGAAAGCATCAGATAGCTGTATTTTTATTTTTATTTGCTCTAATACAGTGTGATTTTATGTTTTTACTTTTAGGTTGGTTACTTAACAATGCTGTCAGTATTGTGACTATATGCTGCTAAATTATTAATAAATGTGGAGAAATTAGTGGAATAAGGACTGGCAGAATAAACCGAAGTACTTGGAGAAAAGCCACCTAGTGCCACTTTGTCCACAACAAACTCCACACGACCTGATCTAGGTTTGAACCTATGCTGCCATGGTGGGAAGTCAGTGACTTAACAGCCTGAGCTATGACACAGCCTTTTGTTTAATAGTGATTAAGTAAATCTCCCTTCTTTTCATGCCGGTTTCATTGATTAATTGATTTATGGGCTGATTAAAAATGGCTCATCTCAATTTAAAGGACTATACATTGTAGTGGAAATGTCTTGACTACAGATGTGTGTTGTGTGCACACATGAAGTCAATAATGGCATTTGAGAGCGGGGGGCTAAACCCCTAAGGATAAGGAGTCAGTATTGAAATTTATATATTTCCAATTGTGACTTCCATTCAATTTTCTATATGTAATGAGAATGATAAATTGTAAATTATGACTTGCTAAAAGATTGGATATTTTCAATTCTGTTTTTCAGGCAAGGAAATACCTCATCTAATGTTTTCATAAAGGAATGACATGAAAGTTCAGGGTTGAATGTGACTGTGGTTTTTCCATGGCCTATGTGTGTTGTCTTGATAACTTGTGCTGTCTGCGTGAGGCCTGATTATATATTTTATTGGACCAAGGACGTATGATGTGTAGTCATAATGAATTTGTAATGTGTGACATGTTTTATATCCAGCCCTATGGGGAGGTGATTTGATCCATGAAGTGAAAATAAATGTAAATATGTAAATGTAAAGTCACAACGTATATTTTCAGGTGGGTGAACTGGGATGGAATAAAAAATGTCTCGTAATGGTATCCAATCCTCTTCAACCCTATTTAGTACTTGGAAGAGATGATGGAATTGTGGACTTCATAAACGTATTTGCATCCGATAATCCAAAGATTCTAACTGCAGTCAATCTTTGCAATGAAGGAATATCTGGTATTCAGATTTCTCAACAGGGAAATTATGTAGTGGCTTGCACTGTGAAAACAGGGATCTTCTTTGTCATTGAGGTACTTAATTTCGAATTTTTGACTTTGTGTGATGAATGAAAAATGTTTATTTATTTCATAATTTAGAGATGTGAGATGCATGTGTGTGTGTGTTTATGGAATAAGAGAATATTGTGTTTCAGGATTAGGTTCTAAGAGAATATTTGGATCTAAGAGAGAGAAAGTAACAGGAATCTCGAGAAAATTGCTTCTTATTTTCTGCTCATGATCAAATACAAGGTGTCCAAGAAAGAAGTCCAGAGTTCTATAATATAATATTTGTCGATACAAAGGGCAGAGAACAGATGAGATAGGAAAACTGAAATGAACAAAAAATAAAGTTTGACATATGAATCAGTCCATTGTAACACTTCATAGGTTTTTCACATGAATAAAATAAACTCAAAATGGCAACATGATACATTGTTAAGGTGATGTTTATCGGTTGGTACAACTCAATGTGGGCTCCAGTCACAGCCCTACAAATACTAAGACGATATTCATAATCAGTGTTACTATTGCTATTTCTGTTGTGAGTCTATACCACAAGTGCTCCGCATTGTTAACTCCATCATGTGCAGTTTCCACAAAAGCTATTCAAGCAGTAATTAAGTGAGAACTTCTTGGAAGGCCACAGAATGGGTCAATCAACCCCCCCCCCCACACCTACTCTGTAACACAGCTTACACTGACACACAAAACACTACAGTAACAAACAGCACCAAGTGCTTCATGCATTTGCAATGTGTTGCCTTGCTTAGTGCAACAAAACATTTGCCATTCTTCTTTGCTATCTGCGAGTTTGTGCATACCATTATTATTATTATTATGGAGGGGATGGGTTTCCCCATGCACTGCGACTAGTTGTTAATCTGTTGTGTGTCCCCCTTTCAGTATTCTACTAGTCGCCATGCCCTTCCAGTACTGGTGCTCACTATCAGCCCCGTTCTGCCAGCGAGGTCGGTCACCTCTCTGGCAGTGGTCCCCGATACTTCCCCATCTACCAGAGGAATTGGAAACTACTACTTGGGCGGGAAACTTTGCCTAATTTTGCTCAGAGGTCTCCTTGAGACATGAGGATCTTTTACGTGCCGTAAATCTGGAGTTATTTGTCACACATCCCATAACATTACAGTATTGAAATGAAGGAAGATAAATTGGTTGGAATTGTATCACACTTGAGAAAAGCATATGAAGTTCTATTCAAAGTATCTGAAGGAAATATTCCACTTGAGAAACTATGAATAGATGAAACATAATATTAAGATGGATCTAAAGCGGCCTCCATAGTCTAGAGGTAATGTTCCCACCTCATGACTCAAGGTACGCTGGTTCAAACCCGGCGGAGGTCGTGGAATTTTTAAGGGCGGAAAAATTCGGGGAACAAGTCCTCAGGGAGGGACTTTAAGCCATGGGTCCTGTGTCGTAGATTTACGGCCTCCGGTAGATGGGGAAGTTATTGGGTACCAATGCTGGTTGAGGGCCGACCTCGCTGGCAGAAAGGGGAGAATTATTGGGTACCACTGCCAGTAGAGGGCCGACCTCACTGGCAGAAAGGGGAGATAGCGGGCACCAGTATCGGTAGGGTATGGCGACAGTAGAAATTAAAGGGGGACATACAATAGACTATTAGTCACAGTGCATGGGGAAACCCACCCCCTCTATACTGAATAACTGAAGATGGATCTAGAAGAGATGTAATGTTAGAATGTTGACTGGATTCATCAGAATTAGGATAGGGTTCACTAGTGAGTTCTTGTGAACATAGTAATAAACTTTCAGGTTCCAAAAATGCAGGGAATTTCTTGACTAGCTTGTCAGTTTCTCAAGTAGGATTTTGCTCCATGAAGTATTAGTCATTAATACAGAGACTTTAGGAGTAGTATGTTTAAATTGAAATTGACATACCACATAATATATTGTCACGTGTTGGGTGTGTGATGCAACACATAACTTCACACCATCTTGGATGTAGCGAATTTATTCCACATTCGCTCTTACATTTACACACTTCACAGTTTCACAACTACTGCCATCTGCAGTATTACAATTACTTCTCCTGCTGGAGTCACTGTCATTCACTCGATACAACGTGATTCATAACTCAATACTCACTACTCACTACTAGTGTTCACTGCTCCTTATTCATGCTTGGCATGGACAACATAGAAAACACATTGCTGCTCGGCAACAGATATCAGGTATTGTTGTCAGGTGTTCTACCTACGCATTGCCTAGCAATAGTCGCTGCACAGACTTGCCTGTTGCGTGACATCACAGCCTCGCGGGGAGGGGTGTTTACCGAGCGTTGCATAATGATGGGAGGAGTGGGGGTACGTGACATCACTTGTGGAAATGCAGAGTTCATGTGACCCCTACTTCCTGTTGCATCATCCACGTCACACTATGATACCATTACTTACTATTGCTTATAAAATAATTACACAAATATTGTTTCCATCTCTAAACCTTAAATACATATATGAACACTGGGCACCAACTCCCACTCAGTCTAAAAATTCTTTGACATGCTATTTTTACCAGTTTCTTACAGTAATGTATGCGTTTAAATGGTGGTTTACTGTCTATTTTTAAATTATTTCTGAGCTAAAGCTGCCTGATAGAAGCCAGCAGTTCCTGTATGTCGTTTTACTGCGCCTACAGATGAGACTTGATATTAGGACACAAGAGGTTAGGGGTAGTTACTTTTCACATGATAACTCTTCATTATGATATAATAATAAAACTGTTTCCTATTTTCAGTTTTCCCTGTCATTATGATACAACAATAAAATCCCTTCCTCTTTTCATTTTCTTCAGTTTTCCTGTTTCTGGTCTGGTTGACAGACAACCGTAACAGTTCTTATATAGTCACTCTACTCTATGTGATGCTAAATGTTAAATAATATGTGTGATGTCACATCTTGTTGCACAGTCAGTAATTTTTTTCCTTCATTGAAAGCCATCACAACACAACAATTAATAATATATGTATGTAGTTTCAAGTAGTACTTTACTACATGTTTTGGCTTACAAGAAGCCATTATCAGGTAAATATACTTAAAAACTTTTTAGCTATTGAATTGCATGCTAAAAAAAAGTAATTTTATTTATTTTGTCAATTGGAAAAATATACATACACACATAACATCTGTGCCCACATATATATGTGCACATACACACACCCACACCAAAGCATGTAAGCACACATACATGCACACATACACATATTCATATCAATGAATAATGAGTTTCTTTGTTCCAGTAAAATTATATATAAAAAGAGATGAAAACTGTGTGCTTATGTGTTTGTGTGCATGCACATGTGTAATTTCATGTTGCTAATGGTGAGTTACATATTCTTCAAAATATATATTTTGAGCAATGATTGGACCAGATACCTGTTTTGACATAAATGTGTTCACACCAGATTAGTGTTAAGCTCCTAATTAATACCGAATTCTCATTCTGGTAAATGTTCTGTTTCCTGTTTCATTTCATGTTTATAAAGCACATACTGTAAATTTTGTTGTTTTATAGAGCAATCCAGGAGTCCAGATTGAAGTGAAATCATTCATAAATGCAAAAGTAAAAGTTGTCAACTTCTTCGCTGTAGAGCTTATGGCTGTGTTAAAAATTGTGGCTCTTATATCCACAAGACTTTGCTGTCCCTCTGGAAATAAAATTATTGTATTCTCAATGGCATGTGGATCTAAAGAAGTGATTCAGCAAACCTTCATAGACCTGCCTGGATTATATTCAGGATTCTGTATCAATCCATTTGGCAAGTTTGAATTCTATGCTATACCACATTGCTCTCGACAGCTTCACTTACTACATATATCACTTGAGGTAAGTGAATCTGCTAGCAAAGTTTATAATGATAGCATTCTAAATATGTAGCATTTAATAACAACAGCATTCAGCCCCATGTGGTGGCATGTTAATGACAGAATACTACAAGGCACTTTTCATCATTTCCATCACATGTGTACCATTAACAAAGAGGAAATTTTAAAACTAAACTTCTTATTATTTAACCCTGCCACAATTGCTAGGTCCTACCTATGGTATGGTGAGCAATCACAAATTTATTGCAGTCTTCACAGTACATTTAAATGCTGATTTGTAATCACTGAGTGAATTAGATCCCCACGGACATCTATGAGGGATTTAGCAGTGATGAAGCATCGGTATTTTTTGGATTGAATGAAGAAAAAATCTCAGTTTAGATGTGAATTTTGATTTTTCAGTCTCAGACTTTGAGAATTTTTGGATAACTGCTATTGCTTTGAACAGTAGTAGTCAGTGTATTTATTCCGTCAGAATTGTAACGGTTGGCTACACTAGCATGAATCAACTTGCCAGCAAAATCTATGTATCTCTCCCTGTTTCTGCTGATGATGAAAGAGAACATTGCACAAAAATTGAAATTTCATTATATACATGATTTTTTTTTAATTTTACATTAAGAGAATATCATGTATTAAAAGAAATAATCAGTGCACTTTAGTGCATTGAAAAAGCGTGGCTAGTAATACAAATAAGACTGAAGTGTAAAAATTGTTCTAGTAAAGAAAATTATCATTTTTTTCCTTCTAATACTTAAAATGTTTCTGAATTCTCATTTTGTCTGAAAGTGGAAAAGACATTCTTGTACACATATATGTCAGTGTCAAACCATGTAGTGAAGATTTCAGAAAATGTATTAGTGTTGTCTATATCATAAATACAACCTAATAATTATCGCATCATGATGAATATGGCAGTATTACTGTTACAGTGATCAAGAAAGAAACTAGTAACATTAAGAAACTTAAAACAGCATTGAAACCTCACTTACTTACGCACTCCTTCTACTCCACAGGTGAATATTTCAATGTAAACAAACAGTAACTAGTAACAGTTCTAGGCTAAACTGTATTCCCAAGCATTTCCTGTATCATTCTGCTTATTTGCATACTGTGTTGTATGTATCCAATTAGCATGGTATTATTAATACTGTATTATATGCTTATTAACTTTTCAAGCAAAACTAAAATACTTAACTGATGTGTTGGCTAATATTCATTTGTTTTTCCTTATAATGTTCACTTCCATTTGCTATTTCATTTCTATATATATAAATAGAAGCTGGGGTGGTTCAGTCAATATAATGATTAGACTACAGGTTGGACAACAGGGGAATCAGATTCTGTTCCTAGCAAGGGCAAGAGATATTTCTTCACAGCAACCAGACTGGCTCTAGGGCCCACCCAGCCTCCATCCAGTGGTCCCATGGGGTTCTTTTCTAGGGATAATGTAGCTGAGACAAGAATGTGATCTCCAGCCTCCCTCTGGTACTGAGGTTAAGAATGAATGAGGCTACACCTTTACTCCCTTGGAGGTTTTCATGGCATAGTGCTTAATTAAGCACAGGAATAACTTTTCATTTTGTAGTAAATGTGCATATGTTTTAGTTACCCATAAAACTCAATTGCATCTGTGACATTAATCATTATTATTCGTCTTTCATGGAATAGACTCTCTATCTTTATCCAATTCACAGTTAATTCTGAAAGAGTTTATTCTTTTAATATGAAAGGACTATTTGCATGTGGGATCAGCCCATCACAAGGCTTCTACTTACAGAAGACAGTACAATAAGAAAATAATCTAAATATATATTTAAATTTGTAACCAGTGTCCAAACATTCATGTTAACTTAATCACTGATTCAGTGATTAAGATAGCGCTTTCTAACAGACCCAGCTGACAAATGTAGCCCACCCTTTCACCTGAGGACAGAAACAGATCCAGTTTGGAAAATGTTGTATTCTTTAGAATGCCAGATGAAGAACAAAATCCAAAAATTCAGTCCCATAGGTGAAAAGGAAAGGCTTAAGGGATAGGTAATCTATTTTAAGTTGGACGAACTATAAAGAGCCACAAGAACCTCAGAATAAGTAATGCTCCAACCAATACCCATATAAAATACCTCTGAATATAAATGAAGGCAAGATGGTGTTAACATTCTGAAACAGATAGAAAGTTGTGTGTTTTCTAAATAAATATATTTTTAGTATAAAGACTAGCTTTCATGTTTCTTTTTATGTGATTTGACATAGCATGAAAATACGGAATACAGGAAACTCCCTGCAACATATGTGTTTCAATTCAATTCAATTTATTTCAAATTCAAAATAGATCCAGATACAGGCTGGGAAACAACCATTGGATATAGAATGAGTCGCAGATCAAAAAACAAACATTCCATTCCCACAGGAACCAGTCAAGGCATTCATAAAATAAAACAATAAAAAAGAACATATCAACCATATATACAACAAAACTCCCCCAGTTTACATAAACAATGCGGCACCAAGACCTCTGAACTCTCAAAGGTTTCAGGCGTCAGTGCAAGCTCTTTTTGAGTGTACTTTTGGTAATGGTCTCTGCTATTGATAAAAAATATTTATTGAAGGATTCAGCAATCATTTTAGTTGTATGTTAGACAAAAATGCCCTTAATCAGAGCAATCTTTGTTAGTACATCATCACCGGCATTATGTGTCTTGAGTTCTCTTGCCATGAATTCTGGTGTTAACTTGAGTGTGAGTTTTGAATATTTTTTCCATTTTCCATTTCTTCTTACAGACAGAACAGTTACAATTGATGGATGCAAGATTAACTGGTCACCAACTAAGAAAGTATGGAATGAATGTGACAGAGCATAACATTCTTACATATGGCTTAGATGGAATGGCTATTCTTCTTTCAGTTGAAACAAAAGATTGCATAGTCTATGTAATACCTCATCACCGCATGGATTTAGGAATTAAGACTGCAATAGCAAGTCCACTGAACACATATATAATATCTTTAGGGCAGGATGGAAGTATGATCTGCACATACACTGGGTAAGGATGTATATGAAAAAGGAATAAATTATTTGGAAAACTAACAAAGAATTCATTCACTTCACTCTTTTATGTATGGCCAATACACGACTGATACAAAAGTTTCTTTCTAATGTCTCCAATATGATATTCTGACATTTGTGGCCTCTGGCTGGCAAGAGCAAATAATTAACAATAGGTTTGGTTACACTCACGAGTCAGGATTTCATTTTTCCCCAGTGAAATGGTGAGAATGATGATGGTGGCAGTTTGCAGAGGAGATATACAGGTTAATGTGGACTCTGAACTGTGATAAGACTGGTGGAGGGGGGAAGGCTTGTAGCAAATTCTTATATGCTTTTCTGACAAAAGGCTCAAACATAATGTCTTTAACATGGAATTCTAGCACTTTACCCAGATTGCCATATTTCTCTGATAAATGTAAATTGGAAAATGTGTCCTTGGAATGACATAACAAAATACATTTCATACATTCATGGCATTTGCTATATAAGATATACACAAAGTGCTATAAATGGAGTGGATAACAGCTAGGTAAGAGAGTAGTAGCAAGAGACTGGGCAACACTTCTTACAGTGAACACTTTACATGTATTGTTATTACAGTACAATAGTGATTTTCTTGATATTGTTTAGTTTATATGGATAATGCATCAAGACATAACACACATCTTATGGACCCCTATAACTTTTGCTCAAGATATTTTTCTCTCATTGTCAGACTAACATTTATCAAGGTCTCCCCCTCCAAATTGATTTAGCTCCATAAGTAATATGGCCCATAAACTAATTTGCAGTAAGTGAAAGTTATATATAACAATACTTGCTTAACTGAAATGTTATATGTTATCACACTCTATGAAAGCATTTTAAATATTCACATATACATAATAATAAAGTTAGGCCCTTAAGCAAAATTATCCTTATAATAAAAGTAAAAAGTAAATTTGTCCCTGTGCTTAATTAATTAAACCCTGTGCCATGAAGGCATATGGGGAGTGGATGTGTAGATCCATATTTTCTTGACCTTGGCACTGGCTGGAGGTGAGTGGTCAGCTTCACAACCCGGCTGCTTTACCCCGGGGGAAAAAGCCCCCAGAACCAGTCTGGATGACACGGTACAAAAATTCGTTTGGAAGTAATATAAGAGATTTTATAAAGATATGTATACATGTGTATATCATAAAAAACAGGTACAGCTTTGTAATATATATTACTTACTTACATACTTATGGAGCTGACCCCTTCTTGAGGAGAAGCTAAATCTGCAGGTACTCAAGAATTTCCCAGCATTTTATGGAACCCAAAGGTTCATTACTGTGTTCACAAGAGCCCTCCACTGGTCCCTATCCTGAGCCAGATCAATCCAATCCATATCATCCCATCCTGTCTCTCTAAGATCCATTTTAATATTGTCCAACTTGGTCTTCCCAGTGGTCTCTTTCCTTCTGGTTTCCCACCAATATCTTCTATGCATTCCTCTTCTCCCCCATTCGTGTTACATGCCCTGCCCACCTCATCCTCCTTGACTTGATCATTCTAATATATAACATATAAATAATTTTAAATTGTGTCAGAATTAAATATTTAGGAAAACGGCAATAAATAAAATTATCTACATGATAAAGAAAGATTAAATTAAGGAAAAATATTGTTATTATCTGTCCTAATATTTTTGTGCAGTGGGGAATTACTTAAGGCAAGTTACAACCCTGAATAGTACAACTTCTAATGTATGCAAGATCTGATTCAGTATTATCTGCTACATTTATTTTCTTTTCTTTTCACAGAACTAAAACAGACCAACTGAAAGAAACCCCTATGAGCTCTGTCCCATTAACAGAAGAAATCTGTCATACGTACACTCAAAGACAAACATCAGGATTTACCAAAATGATAGGTAAGTACGTTGTGTTTATGTGGGTAGGTAGGTAGGTGTGTACAAGTGTGTGTTTTCAAATAAATATATTCTGACTGAACCATATCTTACTATGTACTAGATACTGTTAGAATATTGTTCACAAGTTATGAAATTGTTAGGGTATTATGACCCAGCAATACAGCAAATTCAGGCATTGCTACAGTTAATAGGCTTGATTGTATCTCACTGAAACATATCCTACTGGATAGGATTCTATCAAAATCAGAATACAAATTATTTTTGGGAATGAATTTTAAAAGAGGTAACTTATTTTCAAAGCGACTAGTTGCCTGATAACACTTTTAGGTTGATTGTTTGCTCACTATAGAGTGCTTATATTAAATTATTAATTCTACAGATTACTTACAGAATTGTCTTATAAGAATTAGCAATTCCAGGCTAGTAACTGAAGAATTTTGACTCAAATTTTTCAGAGTGATGTTGTATACAAATTAAATCAATGCTTCATGTTCATGTATTTGTTCTTTGTTCTAGAATACATTTTGTTATGCTGTATTTAAATTTTTAAGTTTATTGAAAATTCCTAATTGTTCTTTTACATTTTATACATTTAATATACAATGATAAAAACTGATGGAAATAAACACTTCTATTTTATATCTAACTGGGGAGCTGGTGATATGTGGGTAAATCGCTAAAAGCTCATTTGGAGGGCTTGGATTTGATACTGAATGTATTAAATGCAAACCTTTCCACATGCCTTCTCCAGTTTACCACCTGTCACCTCTGTCACCTCTGTCAAAGTTAGAACTTACCGAATGTGAGAAACAGCAGTCTCTCACTGTAGTTCAGACAACATTTTAACCTGTAGGACCCTTGAGTTAGGCACCATGCTTACTATAACGAATGGATTTCCACCCTATGAATACTCTAATCTCAGAAATCCATTGTTTATCCCCTGCTAGAATGACAGACATTAGAAATACAAAGGGCAATAGGAAACTCAAGGCATTAAAGAAATTCACTCCAGTCTTAGAACCCTATGATTGTTAAATGTTTCTTGAAGTACTTCATTTGTCATATTTCTTATGATTTGTAAGGAACCAAGAATGGTAGGTCATGGTTAGAGTTGCAGGAGGATATCAAAGTAATGCAAGAAGCTGCTCTGTGGAATGAAGAAAAGGTAGAACTGCATAAACAGTTCAGAAGTATTCAGAAAGAGGTAAGCTGTTCCCTAGTCATGATTTTCTCTCATTCCTCTTTTTTTGCATTCCCTGTAAATTAGAAGGTATTACAAAAACAAGAAAGGGCATGCAGTAGTGTAGTTTTCTTAGTGGGGGGTGGAGTCAAACTGGGTCCACTCGGCATGGCGGCCACTGATTGGCCAATTGTAGCCTTCCCCGGGTGATTATGATGATGGAGAATTTGGTGAAATGAAGATTGGCAGGAGAAACCGAAGTACTTGGAGAAAACCCGCCCCAGCGCCACTTTGTCCACCACAAATTCCACTTAACCAGACCCGGGATCGAATCCGGGCCACCGTGGTGGGAAGCCAGCAACTAACCACTTGTGCTATGGCGCAGTCCAGTAGTGTAGTTGGTTCAGGCACTATGCTACAAGCCAAAAGGTCATAAGTTCAATTCTCAGTAAGGTCATTGAACTTTTTCCAATTTACCTAATCCTTCCAGCTGCATTATGGCCCTGGGTTCGACTTGGCCTCTGACAGAATTCAGTACTAGGAATTTTCCTGGGGGGTAAAGGGTGGTGATAATCTTACTGCCATCTGTGAGCCAACTCTAGAAAATGTGAGAGTCTTGATGTCTCACAATCCTATGGGCTTCCACAGCCTGTTACAGGGATAGCTTTACTTCTTATCAATTAAGAGTAGTAATACGTGTATTATTACAGCATATGGGTAGTGTTCACTGTTTACTTTCCTTTTTTAAATAAATCTGTCAATGATTTCATTTAAATTATTTATTTATGCTCATTGCTAAGTTATTTTCTTACAAATGCTGATTTTTAAATCTGGCAGTGATTTTAATTAAACTGTTTATATATGTTCAATGCCAAGTAATTTTGTTACACAGCCTGGTTATTGTACTTATTAATTATAATGAACCTGAAGTATTAGATCTAATGGCCAGTTCCATCTCAATTAAAATATCTATTTACCGTTCAACTGTATGAAACTGGAATGTGTACCCAGAAAATATGTGCTATGTGTCACAGCACCTACCTTCTTTCTGCATCCATGCACAGATATTTCATGAAACATTTTTGTCTGTGTATTAGTGGTAAATCGTTATTTTTTGGCTTGACTGACTTACATTTCAGTGTGTGGCGTTGCTGGAGAAAAATTATATAAATCCACCCAATGAAAAGGTTCCAGTCAGTGCATTTCATGTGGATGAAGAAACTAGAACTGAAAAAATAAGAAAAACTCAAAATAAATGTAAAGAAATCGAGCTTTATCTGAAAGCATTAATTGTTGCACAAGATAAATTATGTGAAACTTTAAAACAGAGGTACTGGAATACAGCTGAGACAAAGGGCAGGAAACTGAAGGTATGACTATTTCATAAGTAATGTCAAAACCTGAAGCTGAAAAGTCTGGATGTGATTAATTGTCAAAGCCATCTCAGGTATTGAAACCTCACTTCTTTGTCTTGATTAGTTGTTTCTTATTCTTGGGGTCAAATGAAACACAGCCCCTTAGTACTGTGACCACATATGGGCCTATTAGATTAATTCACTCAGTCTTTGTTTCGTTCATTAAATTACATCTTTGACTGAGTGTGTTAATGAGCAGACTATTGCATGTAAACATAGCAGAAGTGACACTAAATCAGTTAGTTTACCAGTAATTTAATACTGACCTTCCTCACAAACATTGTACCAACTGCAGAAGTTATCCAGCCTCCACTGAGACCAGAGAATAATTATGTGCAGTGAAATGGAATGGATTAAGGTTGAAGTAGACATGTCCTATTTTCGAGATACAATCATGGCATTTCTTGGAAGCAAATGAGAATACCCATGGAAAATCTGACAGGATAGATAGTGCTCCCACTGAGATTCAGACCAGATTTCATCTGAATACATGTTACTGTGTTATCACTGGAGCTGAGCTGATCAGTTTGACCTTTATGAAAGTACTCATCTAGTAGACAAATTTTAATTCATTTTAAGGACAGAAATGTATCTTTGGAGAAGGGATGACAGATCCAACATTGATACAAATACGTATCTATATTTCTGATATTGTCAGAATTAGCAGTACATTCTTAACTTTATATGTAATTTGTTTCTTGCATTTTTGTGAATCTAGGCCATAATGGGAGAAGCTGAAGTGGAAAACTATCCTTTATTTCCTAAAGATGTCTCTTATAAAGAAGAAGTGGGGTGGATTATAGAACACACAAAACTAGAAGTACAAATGCAGGAAGGAAACTGCTTCTCACCTTGGGATGCAAGTGATGAGTAGGTTATAACTGATAAAAACCAATTTCATTCTTTTGCTTTTTAACCCTTTTAATGCCATGTATGTTAATATATGCTAATAATGAAACCTACAGACTCCTTCAAATGCATGGACGTATTTCAGTAATTAAATTATATTAACTGATCACTTGATTTATGATTTGACTTTCAATGCAATATGAGATTACAAGAAGTGTAGTAAAAAATGAGATGTTAAAATTTTCTTCTATATTTTATGCCCCTGCTTCGTGACTTGTTAACTGTCCTATTTCAGATGTTCTGAAGTGTCTCATCATTCATCATTGGGAGCATTGCATAACGTTAGTCATGCTACACAAAAAATTACATCCATAGGAACAATACATGAGGAAGTGGAAGAAGAAGAACAAATAAACCGGTTTTCCCTCACTGGTTCATCCAGCTATCACTTCATGGAACCATGTGCTTATCATCATAATCAGTTTGAACTTGCTACTTATCATCAAATGCACAATGAAATTATTCTACTGACGGTCAGTCAAGAATCATGACTTATTTAATATTGTTATTATTTTCCAACATGTTAAGTTCCTTGAACTAGGACTGTTATTTAAGATTTACAAATTTATTGAGGAAAACATTTTATGAATTGTATGCATGTGGCAATATTTCAAATATGATATACTGTGACAGGCATAAATTGTAGATCACGTGAATTTTGCCAAGAGTCCGACAACTAATCATTTCAAGATGTTTTCTTGTATTATTTTCTATGAAGCAGTCCTGAGAGTATGTTAATCCTATATTTATAGAGTTCCTGTTTCAGAATTAGGATCTCATTTCTCTTTGCCTGCTGTTGAGCAGGTTGGCTCAGCATTAACACTCCAGACATGTATTTGAGAGGTGTTCTATTTGACTGTCAGCTGGGACACTAGAAATCATGAGCGAGGTTCTTTGTGGTATTCCTCAGTCCCACCAGATAAATAACAGGGCAGTCCATCAATTAGACCATGACCACTTCATTCATAATCCTTTCAATTCACCGTTCATTAATTGTCATACCATTCAAAACTATACAGTATGTTCCAAGAGGAAAGGTCAATATTCTTGGAAGTCATAGTATTGGTTATTCTAACCACAAAATGTATATATACATATGTCCTATTCCAGACGGTTTTCGAGATAGAACTATTTCACTATACAGTTCTAAATTGTTGATAAGAGAGTGATATCATGTACTGTATCTAATAAAAAAGGTAAAGGTAAAGCTACTCCTGTAACAGGCCATGAAGACCCAAAGGGCTGTGAGACCTGAAGGCTCACACATATTCTAGAAATCAGCTCACTATTGACAGTAAGGTTGTCAGCCTTACGCGCTGGCCATCCTTTACCCCCCATGAAGATTCCTGATAATCCTTTCTGTTAGAGGCTGAGTCGGCCGCAGGGCCATAGTGCGGCTGGAAGGATTAAGCAAAATAAATAATATAATAAAAAACTAATCGGGAATCGAACCCGTGATCTTCTGGCTTGTAGCTTAGTGCCTCAACCGACTATACTACCGCGTCTTCCCATACTGTTTCTAATACCGTTATTTATTGTTCAAGTGACAAAGCTGGTACAGTTTACCTAGTATAATACATTTTCGAAAATTCCGCCATCAACGTCAATGCACTTTGCTACTCGTGTGAGGACATGGCATGTTGCTCATTTGTACAGTGTACTGTACAGTGAAGTAGCTCTATCTTGGAAACCTCCCTTTGGAGCATTGGGAAGGAGAATATTTTCCATTTGTGTAACAAATGTTAAAATCTTGAAAGCAGCCACTGAACACTCTTTTATGATATTCAGCTTTTAATGCAGAAAAAGAAACTTAAATAATGTAGATATGGAAAAAACAATGTGCAGAGAACACAGAACATCATATGAATATGTTTAAATCTTACTGAAAAGGGACTTTCTGGCCTCTCTGCACATCTGCCTTTCTGTATACTTCATCTTCAAAACTACCTGATATACTACATATTCTGATAAAATTTGCTGTAAACAGTGAATACAAAAATTTGTGTAATAGGTTAATTTTGGTCTACATTAGCCCAATATAACATATAAACCTCAAATAAAACTCTTTTCTTTCCTCAGTTTTTGTCAGAAGTGGCTGATCTCAATAAAAATGTCTGAAAAATATATATGAACCTAATTACATCTATAACATGTTACTTGTATTCTCATATGGACATTGCCTATTTCAGGGTGTTTGTACAGACCTTCGTACCTACTTCAATAAGCATTTTGATAATATATATGCCTTAAAAGAAAGAGAAATGCTTTTGGTGACAGAACGAAATGCACGTTTACGTTACATTCTCTCTGAAATGAATAACATATGGACAGAAATAGTTGATCCTGAATGGAGTCAAGAAGAGCAACCAGAGAGACTAATGAAAGTAGATGAGAATGAGGTATAAACCAAACAATATAAAGGAAATTGGAAACTTACAGAATAGAATAGATACTAACATTTTTAACTTTAATGGATGGGTGCAAATCTATGGATATTTTCAGTGTGTGAATCTAGATAAGATAATTCTTGTTAGATTTGAAGTTCTCACAGCAGTGACTACAAAGACTTCCATCTTCTGGGATACAATGCCATGAAGTATACGCACTTTATGGAGGAACATACTACTCCATTTTCAGGGCTGAAGAGTAAGACAAGCAAGAGACCACGATGAAGCAGGCAGGAAGCAGAGCTTACTCTTTGACCCTGACGATGGGAGCAGTATATTCTTCTGTAACAATAACTGACTTTCTTTAAACTAATGGCCACGCCATAGCTCAAGTGGTTAGTAGCTGGCTTCCCACCGCGGTGGCCCGGGTTCAATCCCGGGTCTGGTCAAGTGGGATTTGGGGTGGACAAAGTGGCGCTGGGGCGGGTTTTCTCCAAGTACTTCGGTTTCCCCTGCCAATCTTCATTCCACCAAATTCTCCATCATCATAATCACCTGGGGTAGGTACAGTAGGCCAATCAGTGGTTGCTGTGCCGAGTGGACCCAGCCAGACTCCACCCCCCACTAAGCGATTTTTTTCTTCAAACTACATGGTGTTATAACCAGAAGATAACAATCTTCAAGTTTTTTTTTTGTTCTGAAGATTGAATATGATTAGAACTAGAATGTTTAAAGGACTTGAATCCAAGGGTGCCTCAGCCAGTGCCTAATTTAATTCCTACACACAGAAAATTGATACATGTAATGCTTTACAGTTTCTAATCAATAAACAGCTAAGAGCATGTGCGGGCGAGCCAACATCCTTCCCAACAGTTTACCTGCCTCCATAATTCAGTGATGAACTTAGAATTTTGTTCCCAACCAAAAATTTATAATGCTTCTGAGGTTTTTAATAAGTCAAAGGGAACATAAAAACCATTTTAGTTCCAAATATAAATGTAAAATATACATTTTCTGCTATATATATAAATATGATGTCATGGGGATTTGAAGGTTAAAATCCACATATTCCAGACCTTGACAATGATTGAAGGTGGGTTGCTGGATTCAATCTCTGAAAAATTTACTCTGGCTCAAATTCTGATGGTGCAGTTACAGAAGTCTGAAATGTCCCTAGAAGTGTGATGGAAAACAGAAACTAGCCTCTTCATTTATATAGATTTTATTTATATTATAGCTCTTGCAGCAGTCATCCCAGTAAGAGAGCCTTGTAGGGACTGTGCTAATAAGGAAAATTTGCAACAGAATTTATAACTCTATCATCAAAGTATCTTACTTTGTGAGTTTTGCTACATTCATTGGCTTTTAATCACTGGATCCTTAACTGAATTCTATTTCTTTGAATAAACTGGATATTTAAATCTTGGATCTTAACTTTTGCAATGCCGGCCTCTGGCACTGTCATTACAAAAATGCCAAATAAATGTTGTTGAATTTGTAAATATTAAGGGAATAAGGGCCTGCTAGCCACACATCTGGTGATACAGATATACCAAATAAAACACATAATTATAGATTAGTCTTGGCTTATGAAAGTTTGTGTTATGATTTGTTGTGGCTATTGATTATGATGCAGAAGCATGTGAAACATAAACGATTCATCTAAGTGGCATTGGTACTTTATCCACTTTTCTTATTGCCAATTTACTTAATCTTGGAACTACAATTAGAAATAAATTACCCTCATTCTCAGTGACCTAAACTGCCATGTGTACGAGTGACTATAGATGGGATTTGGATTGGAGATTGCATTTATTGACTATTTACAGATCATAACTACAAGTAACTGTAACAGTACCGCTAATTTCCACATTTTACAAATCACTACAGCATACACTAAGTCTTTTATGTTTACTGTGCCTTTGCCAGTCTTTTTCTGGTAATAGCTTCCAGCAGTTGAGATCCTTCATCTTCTGTGCCGAGACTTCTTTTCACAGACTAACTAACTTCTAAACTTATCTCTGTTATAACATCTCGGCATGGACTGCATAGAAAACACCATTCATTTTTATACTCTAAGCATTTCTGTGGGAAAATGTTTTTTGCGAAGATGTTATCCAGTAACAGCTGCATACACTTGCTTATTAAGAATCTGCCTAATAGCAAATGGTGTTTTGATGTTTATTATGAGGCTGTTACCCAGTAATGGGTCTACACTGTATAATATGTAACTATCCTATGTTCACCACTGCCATGTAACAGTCACTTCACCATCACTTAAATTTGTTACCATATATGTCATATGTTGTTAGAGCTCATGTCCCTGGTTTGAATTTCAGCCAGGATTTCATAAACTGTTAAGATGTCATGTTTTCACAAAATGGCAGTATTTACCAAGAGTTCTGTAGTTTGTCTTAGTACCTGCAGGCAGATGCTGGAATAGAATTTTCCAATGTGTTATAACCACAAGCTTACTTGTTCACTCTTTAGCATTATCTTGGCTTTATATACTTTGTCCTATATAACCTATGCAGTTGACACAACAACATTAAATAAAACAAGCAATGTTTATTTCAGGTTAGCATAACACCATGTATTTCAGACAACCAGCAGGAGATCTTGGAAAAATTAACCGCCAAGGCAGAGGCACATCCTCTTGCACAACTGGCTGACAACTTTCATGATAAAGCACTCTTCGCAATGATGGATGGTGTTTTGGAAGTGCGATGGGAAGATGAGCTAAAGAAAGATATACCAAAACCTAAATGCATGGTTGGTTTTCTCGATTTTATGTAGTGTATATGTTACTGACACATGCAAATTTGGGTTTTGATACTTCCATATTTTTAAACAAGAATGACAGCTCAAAATTAATATAATATTTTCTTATAAATAAAATAGTAATAATGCAGCTGGTTATTCTCCAACTAAATGCTACCATTCCCAGATTTAAGTTTTCTCCCTAACTAACTAACTTCATAGATCTGAGCCCTTCTCGAGAAGCCACCAGTTGTGCAGCTATCTAAGAACTTCCCAACATTTTATGGAATCCAGAGGTTCATTACCGTGTTCACAAGAGCCCTCCACCAGTCCCTATCCTGAGCCAGATCAATTCAGTCCATACTACCCCATCCTATCTCTCCCAGATTCTTTTTAATATTATCCACCCACCTATGTCTTTGTCTTCCTAGTGGTCTCTTTCCTTCTGGCTTTCCCACAATATCCTATATGCGTTCTTCTTCTTCTTCTTCTTCTTCTCCTCTCAATTCGTGCTACATGTCCTGCCCATCTCGTCTCCCTTGACTTGATCATTCTAATTATACTTGCTAAGAGTACACGTTATGAAGCTCCTCATTATGCAGTTTTCTCCAACCTCCTGTCACTTCATCTCTCTTTGGTCCAAATATTCTCCTCAACGCCCTGTTCCCAAACACCCTCAGTCTATGTTCCGCCCTCAGTGTCAGAGACCTAGTTTCACACCCATACAGAACCACAGACAAAATTATAGTTTTGTATATTCCAGTATTTATGATTTTAGACAGCAAACAAGAAGACAAAGGTTTCTGGACTGAATGGTAGCAAGCATTACCCGAATTCAATCTCCTCTTAATTTCCTCTGGAATCAAATTTTGATTTGTTACTGTCATTCCCAAATATCTGAACTGTGCCACATATTCAAAGCATTTGTTAACTGTCTTTATGTCATAATTTTGCTGCATTCTGGTGATGCAACAACAGCCTATACTGTGTTTACTTCTAGACCAACCAACTTACTGGCATCAATTCAAGTTTCTGTGTTTTTCTTTATGGTATCTATGTTATCTCCCAGTAGATTCACGTCACCAGCACAGGCCAGCAGCTGATGTGCCCCATTTAACTTCAGTTCAACCTGGTTTTCGTGGACCTTGCTAATGGCATATTCTAAAGAAAAATTGAAGAACAATGGTGATAAATCATCTTCTTTTAGACCATTTCAGATAGAAACTGTCTCAGACAGATGTTTACCTATACAGACTTTACCACATGTTTCGTTTAAACGCATTTTAATCAGCCTAACTAGTTTCATGGGTACCCCAAACTCTATCAGAATATTGTACAATACTTCCCTCCTAACTGAATCATAGGCTTTCTTGAAGTCTATGAATGGTGGCTGATGTACTGTCTCATTGTACTCCCATTTTTCTCCAGTATCTGACAAATGCAAGAAATTGATCAGTAGTTGATCTATTATGTCAAAACCCACAGTGATGGTCCCCAATAATTTCATCTACATATGGACTTAACCTTTTGAGAAGAATATTGGATATAATTCTGTATGAAGTTGATAGCCATGATATCCCATGATAATTAGTTAGTTATATATTAAAACATAAATAAACAAAAACTGAATTTTAATACTTATATAAAAAAATATTAGCTATAATTGTGGAATAAATTTGCATTTCTCTTGTGCCACATTTTTGCTTTTAAATAAATTTTGCAAGAGCAAACAGTTTCTTCTCCTTGTCCTTCATCTTCTTCTTCTTCTTCATTAGAAGAACCATTTGAATGTTCAAACCCCCTTCCAAACTTTATCAGCTTCAACAGGTATGAAAATGGAACCATATAACTAAAAGTAAAAGTAAAGCTATCCCTGTAACAGGCCATGAAGGCCCATAGGGTTGTGAGACGTTGAGGGTCCCACATTATCTAGACAATCGGCTCAAAGATGGCGGCCTACGCGCCGGCCGTGCTTTACTCCCCGGGAAAATTTTGACCATTTATTTACTTTCACTCAGGAAGGACTGGTGAGATTTTATGATCACGCTGTTGAATATTAGTGTTCCATAATAAAGTAAACTAAGTAAAGGTATCCCTGTAACAGGCCGTGGAGATCCATAGGGTTGTAAGATGTTGAGGTTCCCACATTTTCTAGACAATCGGCTCATAGATGGCGGCAAGGTTGTCAGCCCTACGCACTGGCCGCCCTTTACCCCCAAGAATATTCCAAGAATATTCCTGGTACTCATTTCTGTTAGAGGCTGAGTTGACCCCATGGCAATAGTGCGGCTGGAAGGACGAGGTCAATTGAAAAAATCCTATGACCTCATCAGGACTTGAACTTGCAACCTTCCAGTTTGTAGCATAGTGCCTCAATCAACTACGCTACTGCGTGCCGCAGTGTTTCATTCCATACTGACAAGAAACTTCTTGTTCAGCTAAATAACTGGCTCAAGATATACCCAGTAATGTGGATACTACCTTGAAAATTTGTTAATGACAATATTCTACCAATCTTGTGTTTCATTTCGGGGGCAATACATAGCCAATTTTCATATTTTAGTACTTTAAAAACCAGAGTTTCTTTATTAATACTCATCCTCCTATATGGCTTATCTGACATTTGTACATGGCATTTATTAGCACAAGCTTCTTGCAAAAATTATAGGGCTGTGTTTCTCCTGCTTGAAAGTATTTCTTCATTATGTTTTACTACTATGTTATGGAGTGGCCATGAAAAGTAACACTTAAATACTTTAATACCCCAAGCGTTTGAACAATGTATTTCTGCACAATTCTGGTGGCCCTTACTGTACACTGAATATGTCTGTGAAGCATACCTTGAGAAATCAGCAGTGTAGGAACCTGGGAGGGGTTTCATATGTGATTAATGTCTTATTCCTGAATGTCACAACAGAGAGAGTATGAAGAGATTCATTATAATAGTCGCAAAGCCATAGTTCATAGTATGCACAGTTCAAACATTAAAACACACAAAGACATTAAATGAACTAAGTATATAACAGTTTCGGTTATATTTTTATTCTGTTGGAGGCTCCAAAAGCACAGTGGAAAACTGTGTATAATCCGCTTGTTAATAAGTGATGGCCTACTGTTATGTACATAGTGAAACTCCCATCTAAGGTTTCTGCTAAGAGCAGTTGATTTGAACATTAAATTGAGGACATTCTTAAATTGAAGGAAATTCAGCACTGAGATTATTAAGTAAGGAACACTGAAACTGAATGCTAAATGAGGGGAAACCTTAAATCAAGGAATATTAAATAAGGTTTCCCACCATAGTACAGTAATAATTTTTAAAGTATGTTGAAAATTATGTTCACACAGTTTATTTTGTTGTGTGAAATTGTTTACAGCTTGAAAAATCTCCAGAAGATTATAACGAAGAAGATCTAGGAGTGATAAAGGATTACAATGAGAAAGTGGCACTTCGTTTCAGTGACCGTGCACACTATAGAAAGATGCTTGAGACAGAGTTTCATGAACTCTCACAGACTCTCAAAGTAAGAAAATGTCTTATTTTACTTCAACAGTCTGTAGTGAATGCATTTATTGCATTATGAAAAGTTAATATCTGATGCTTTCACTTGGAAATAATATCACAGGATTTAGCCTCTTCAGAGTTACTGTCACTTTACATGATGCATTCTGTCTTCACAAAATCTGTCACAGTCATGACAACTACAGCACTAATAATATTATATTATCACTGGTACTGGCATCCCAGTTATGGCAAATAACTATTACAACTATTGTGGAAGAAAATGCCACTACAGAGTGAATGAATGGGTTCATCTTGTTTCATTAACCCACTAATAATACATATAAATATCTGCCAAGACCAAATGATCACCACCTATCAACAGTCATGCATAAAGTGAGGTAGATGACACATGTTAAGAGCACAGCTTTAAAACTGTGGAAAGTATTATCATTATTGACATCTACAGATTTTCTTAATGGCAGAAGAGTGGTATAGTCCCTGGATAGATACAATTTAACATCACTGATATCTTCAGGTTGGTTAGTCTCAGATAATATTTGGTTACAAGCAGTGCTCTTTTTCTCCTAGGGGTACATATTATTAGCCTGTTTCCTTAAAAAATTAAAAATCCATTATGAGAAGTAAATTAAATGGATTCTTGGAAAATGATCAGCTGTTAATCTGGTTACATAATGTCCATGAAAACTGAGCAATTGTTTCAAAAGGTCAAAGACAAAACATGCTAGTTCCAGCATTTGTTTTTTCCACAAGGAAAACGCTGTTAACATATACCATTCTGCTATGTATTTAGCATAAGTCAATTACATATCGCAGAAAAGCACATTTCATATATATAAGGTAAGTGAAAGATATTCCTGTAACAGGCCATGGAGGCCCATAGGGTTGTGAGACGTTGAGGTTCCCACATTATCTACACAATCGGCTCACAAATGGTAGTAAGGTTACCAGCCTTACACTACAGCTGCCCTTTGCCCCCCTGCAAGATTCTTGGTGCTCATTTCTGTTAGAGGCTGAGTGGACCCCAGAGCCATAGTGCAGCTGGAAGGATTAGGTCAACTGAAAAATCCACCTCAATGGGATTCAACTTCTGTAATATCTGTCTCTGATCATGCTGATGACAGCTATTATATGGAATATATAATTTATTTTCTATTCATATACTCCCATGAGTATTTATTTCTTTATCCCTCATATTTTTCCTTTCGTTATTACCTATTCTCTTTGGATTACCGCATATCTACATAAGTGTTTCCTTCCAGGATGATGTAATGAAGTTTAATAGCCAACTTGCTGATTTGTTCCTTTTGAAGCTCAAAATTGAGGCAGCCATTGGACAAGAAACATTAAAGATTGAGCGATACAAGTATATGGTTCATAAACGACTGTGCCTTAACCAACAGGAGGAGAAACTAAAGTAAGTAAAAAACGTGAACAAGGGATTAAAGTCATATGTCAGTTCTGAATACTTTTCAGTATATATCACTGCTGTAATATCTAAATGATTATTGATGTATAATATTTGGTAGATATGGTGTGAAATGAAATGATCACAGAAGAAATGGATGTAAAAGAAAATACATGATTGGAAACATGTACTTCAATGTAGACAGGTACTCCTCAATTTATGTGAGTTTTGTTCTCAAAAAAGAGATGCAGAAGGTAAGTAAAATCTCATAGATCAAACACAATTGATCTGGAACTTGCATTCTTTTGGGATGATATAATTCATTCTTCATTATTACAGTTAACACACATAAATTTTGAGTCACTTCACTATTAGGCTTATCCAGCATTCCACAGTATTTAACAGACAGGGAAGATATTCTTCCAAAATAGAGGGTTGGACGTGCAATCTCCATTCACAGTTGACACATTTTCCTGGGTTTTACATTTGTCGGTTATGACTCACCTGCTTTTAAGCCAACTTTTAATTTGGGTTTTAACTAACAGAATGATGCTTACAATTGTTGCATGACACAAGAGTTACCTCTGTTTGTAATGGGTCAGAAATGGTTTTAACTAATAGAAATATGGCAAGAAATAGTTTTTCACTGAAAAGAGGAGACTTCAATTCTGACTTATACCAACAGATGCATTCATCAGAAACACTCATCTAGACTATATAGGATCAAATGACAAGCAGACTAATGAACTGGAAAGGATTTGGAGTGAAGTCATCATGGTCTAATCAAGGTACTCTCCTGGCATTTGTGTGAAAACCACAAATAACCTCAGTCAGGATACCCAGGATCCCAAGTGAGATTTGAACTGAACACTTCCCAAATACTAGTTTTCACTGAATAGAGCATTAAGTACTAGGTTGTCAAACTTCAATTCAGGTTTTTCCAAACAGCTGCATTGGTCAGAAACAGTTTTAACTAATGTATGTGTTAAGACCTAGTGCTTACTCAAATGAGCAGTAAATACTAGGTCTTACATTTTTGATGCACGTTTTTATTAAAAATTGGTGAAAGCGGCCTCCGTAGTCTAGAGGTAATGTTCCCACCTCATGACTCGTAGTACACGGGTTCAAATACCCGGCGGAAGTCGTCGAATTTTTAAGGGCGGAAAAATTCAGGGAACAAGTCCTCCGGGAGGGACTTTAAGCCGTGGGTCCCGTGTCATAGCTTTACGGCATGTAAAAGAACCTCATATCTCCAAAGGAGGTCACTGAGCCAAATTAACGGATGTTTCCCGCCCAACAGCAGTCTCTAATACCTCTGGTAGATGGGGGAAGCATTATAGATACCCCTCAGCTAGTAAAGTCGGTCTTGCTGGCTGGGCGGGACTGATGGTAAGCACCAGTACCGGTAGGATATAGAGACTGGTAGAAATCATAGAGGGAAGCACAATGGACCAATACAGGTCTCAGTGCATGGGGAAACCCACCCTCTCCAATAACTAACTAATTAACAATTGGTGAACCGGATTTTGAGTTTTTACTGTGTCATATTTCTGAATGGGACAAATATGTAGTCATAAGATATGCTCCATCTGTAACATTTTGTACATTTTCTTGTCTCATATTCATGTCATTAGGATTGAAGTAATGAAGCAAGAATCTTCCAATTCAGCTCTACAAGAACAAATTCAGCAACTGCAAATTTGGACAAATGACTGTCGTGCTACATATGATGTTGTAGTTTCCCGTGAGAAGCATCTGGAGAAGAACTTCAAGAAGGATTTCCCTGAAGTGTCACAGGTTGTTCTGGAACAGCTGTTAAAATTTTACAGGTATGTAACATAAACATGACAAAAAAATATATTTACTGTGTTAAAAACACATGTCTTGGGTATAATTTGATTCTCAAATATATATATAAAAATTATACATATAAGGGAAAGGATGAAATAATGCATTGATATCCATACTCTGCCATTATGATCAATATTGATTAATACATATCTCACAGATAATTTTTTCTTTACTGTCAGTGAGAGGATTATTACTTTCAGAAAATTATTCCCAATAATTTCCTCTTATGCCTGGCAGATATCATTCTAGCATCTGATATAATTCCTGATGGAACGCAGTTTAGTAATAAAATATTAAAACAGATTGTCTAAACTTGAAATATGATACCAAATGGGTTATCTCAAGCATTAACAAGGTACCTCATTCAAACATTAAGTGGGAATACTGAAAGTGACATTTCTCCATGCTTTGAAATATGTTATTAAGTTCTTCCACTCAAGTCCTTTGCTCTTCATCACATATAATTGCCTTTTACTGTTATGCAGAACTAAATAACATATGCTGTCAATACTGCATTGTTAAATGACTTGTGAAGCAACTATATGAAATACTGTTAGCTAGAATGACCATCATTCATAGTGGACTCATACAAAGGTGCTTAATGGAAAAGTGAAAGAAGAGTATGTTAAGATAAGTCAGAGTTAATTTAGTTTCATACATAGAAAGTATGGCCACCATAGGAAAATGTAACATTTTCTTGTGTGTGTGTGTGTGTGTGAATGCGCATGCACTGGTTTTAAGGCATGCCAATGTCAATGCCTATTTGCTATAATACTTTGCAGCATTACAATTACTACTGACATCATGGTTGAGTGGTTAGCATACCTGGCATGTATTTGAGAAGCCAAAAGGTTTCTCATAGTTTTCCTCAGCAGTCCAGGCAGATACTAGGATAGTACCTCAAATTATGCCACAGTCACTTTCAACATATTCTTTCCAGTTCATAATTCACTAATCTTCTTATCATTCAATATTATATAATATTAATTACTGAAAGTGTTTAAATATTTTTTATTAGACGTCGTCCCAACATGCACCAACATGCACAAACATCAGTGATATTGTTGAATGAATTATCTCAGTGGACAGTATCTGCAGGCAGACCATCGTTCCTCCCATCTGAACATTTGGAATTCCTTAAGGGCCTGGACCAGATTGACAGTTATTCAAATTCTCCACCCATTATACATGAAGACATGTGGGCTGTGCTGTGTCGCTTGAGACGGATGAAAGTGGAATGTGAACTGAAGGTAAGGTACAATAGCAAGAGGAATTTAATAACTCATCTTTTAAAATTAAAGGCAGATTCTTTCAATTTCCAGATTTGTCATATGTTGGGTGCAATTTGTAACGAATTTGAGAACCACATATAGTTTTTATCATATCTGTCCTCCCATACACACAAGGAAGAATGCTAGTTTTGATCACACTCATCATGATTGACCTAGACTAAATTTTGTTAAGCCATTATTATTTCAGTTTAGTTTGGATCACATTAATGGCCACTTCATTTAGGACATAACTGAAGCTTTATGTGTATTTTTCTAGTTAACACTTTATACGTGTGTGCATGTATATATATATGTCACCAGTAACTAATAAAGAAGACATAGTGAAATCATTAAAATGGAAATATTCACATTGATATGATGAAATTCTGCAATTATATCCTCAAAATAAGTTTACCATTCATACCATTCACATATATGTGTAATAAAGTATTGAGTCTTGGTGTCTTTCCCTCAAGATTAAAATATTCTGGAATAAATCCTATTTTCAAAAAGGTGATAGAACTGATATAGCAAATTATAGGCCCATATCTTTATTGACATCTTTTTTTCTAAGAATTTTGAAAGAATCATATATAATAGAATACAAAATCATCTGGACATTAATAATATATTGGCACATGAGCAACATGGTTTTCGAACTAAATTGTCCCCTGAATCAGCCGTTTATGACTTAATAAACACCATTCTAAAAGCAACAAATAATAAACTTGTCATGGGAGGCCTGTTCTGTGACTTGACAAAAGCATTTGATAGTGTAAATCACACAATACTTCTTGCTAAGCCTGAATTCTATGGTTTTAATGGTATAGCAGGAAAGTTAATTAAAACTTATTTGAGGGATAGACAGCAAAGAACAGTACTAAATAGCAATATTACAAGTGGTATTTCAGAGTGGCAAAGTGTAAAACAGGGCGTCCCTCAGGGCTCTGTTCTGGGGTCATTGCTCTTTTTGATATATATTTATGATTTGCCAAATATAATAAATAAAGAATCAAAACCAATTTTATTCGCTGATGACACCAGCATAGTGTGCTGCAAGTCAAATCTTAAAGAACTTGACATCGCCCTAAAAGAAACTCTTGAATCAATCAATAAATGGTTCCCTATAAACTCGCTAATTTTGATTTTAACTAAAACGAGTTGTGTCCAGTTTTTAATAAAACCAAATGTGCTAATAAACTTAAATATTAAACACGGTGATATCCAAATTAACAATACACATACTTTGAAATTCCTTGGACTGACAATTGATAGTACGTTAACATGGAAGGAACATATTAAACAAACAGCCAGCAAATTGAGCTCGGCTTGTTATGCTATAAGAGTTCTAGTCTCAATATTATCACTAGAGAGCTTATTGATGATGTATAATCAACATATAGTACCCAAATCTTTAAAATTGAAAAAAGAATAATTAGGGTAATCATGAAAGCAGGAAATAGGGACCCTTATTGGCCTCTGTTTAAAATATTAAACATTCTTCCATTTTATTCATAGTATATATTTTCATTATCGGTCTTCATAGTTAAAAACATGGACAAGTATGTAGCAAATTCAGATATTCATAACATTTATATTAGACAAAGATTTGAATTACATTATCCAACTTATATATCAACCAGGGCTCAAAAGGGAGTGTCTTACACTGGGATTATAATATTTAATAAATTACCACATAGTATAAAAAATTATCGCAAGACTTAAATAAATTCAAATATTCCCTTAAAAAATTTTTGCAGGTGGGCTCTTTTTATTCTTTAGATGAGTATTATAAATGGAAAACAAGGGATGATTGTGTTAATTACAGATAAATAAAACAACACTAGTCATTTTTAAAAACTTTTATTTTATGATACCTATAATTCTCTAGATGTGCTTTTTCTCTATTATAGGCAATGTTAATATGTATTTTATTATGATCATAAGTTGTAATGCAAGTGTTATATGCATGTTGTATTTAATTATAACATTGTCCTTTTGGGTTTGAATTGTTAGACGGGGGGAAAAAAGGGGGAATATTGATGTGATTTGTATTTCAGTGTTGCACTGTGGAACATAGTGTTCATCATGACAGTAAATTTACTTGTATCAATAGTTATTGCAACAATGTTTGTATATAAGTTGTGAAATTAAATCTAGGATTTCCATGGCAAAAGCTGCATTTAGCAAGAAGAAGAATCTTTTTACCAGCAAACTGGACTTAAATTTGAGAAAGAAACTAGTGAAATGCTACATTTGGAGCATTGCTTTGTATGGGGCTGAAACTTGGACACTTAGGGCAGTAGATCAGAAACACCTGGAAAGCTTTGAAATGTGGTGTTGGAGAAGGATGGAGGAGATCAGTTGGACCGATTATGTGAGAAATGAAGGGTTTTATTTAGAGTCAGTGAGCAGAGGAATATCCTACATGAAATAAGAAAACAGAAGGCTAATTGGATTGGTCATATCTTACACAGTAACTGCCTTCTAAAAGAAGTCATTGAAGGAAAGATAGAGGGGGGGATAGCAGTGACCAGAAGACGAGGAAGAAGACGTAAGAAGATGCTGGATGATCTTGGGGACAGAAGAGGATATTCTCATTTGAAGGAGAAAGCTCTAGATCGCATTAAGTGGAGGAACTGTTTTGGAAGAGACTGTGGACCTGTCGTCTTGACAGATTACTGATGAATGGATGAAAGCTGTAATCTTTATGACATCCTCTGTATTGATTTTATAGTAACTTGGACTTCGACGTGTTCTATATCTGGAGGCGCCATCGCCAAATGTAGAGCTGATGAACAAAAATAAATTGAAATGAATTGAACTGAACATGTGTTTCATTCATTTACTTGGTTTTAAGGGTTAACATGATCCATTATATGTATCTTTCAAGTCTCTTGACAGAGTTTCATGAAATTTAACATATAGCTCATCCACTATACAAGTACTATGTGTCTGTTCCCTTAACTTAACTCATTTTAAGTGTTAATTTACTTAAGAGGCAAAATGATTCTGAATGTACATCTTGTGGGCCTGCTAGCAGATTTTGACTAAACATGACACATTGCTTTGCCATATAAATATTACTTATTACTTTACATATGTAAATACAAAGATGCATTTGCTCTTTCTTGTTGTTCTGATAGGCAAAATGCTGTGCATTAGAGGTAGCTGATTCAGAGCATACAGTCAGTGTATACCAGAAGCTATTGGCAGGACAGAAGCAGCATATCACAACCTTGCAGGATGAAATCCATAAAACAAGAGAGCAGTTACTAGAACTTCAACATAATACTGAGGTAAGGTACCTTCAATATACAGATAGCAGTATACTTGTATATACAAAACTTGTGAACTATAATCTTGTTACATGTTCATTACCTGAGAAATAAATAATAGAGTGATGCTGTTGGATACAAACTCATTAATCTCCCTAATTAGGTCCAGTTAACCTTCCTACTTTCAAGCCTAATATTAGTCTTATGAAAAATGTAAACATAAAAAATAAAATGAGAAGAAAAATAACAATGTTTAACCCATACTGTTCATTTATTATAAGGAAACAGAAAATTGAAAGTCTCTGGTTGTAAAATAGTAATCTCTTGGTTGTGTGTGTGTGTGTGCGCGCACAAGAAAGTGTACTACACCTGGGGGGGAGGGGTGAAAAAGAACTAACTACAATTTTCAGATTGGCATTAAGCCATGGATAGGCAGCATCTGTAGACAGCCAGCTCAGAATCACTGGCCCATTGCACTTGTACATTTTACTGAAAATTGTATTAAATTTGTGTGGTTGAAAATGGATGTGGTGTAGTTTTTCAGATAAGAATACATACTTGGCCTCATTATGTGATTATGGTAATACTTTCTGGTTAATGATTTAATTTTACTCTTCTCAGATGACTGTGCTGGATATACCTTATAATTTAAAGACTGCCATTATTACAGCTATTATTAATTTCTTTTGCAGCTGCAGCTTGTAATGAAACAAGGTCGGGTTGAAATAAACACAACTGGATTAATATCTGATTTTGACGATGCTATATTAATCACTTGTAAACAAATTGAGAGTGTAAATGAAATGATTAAAGTAAGTACATTTTACACAAGGAATAACAGGTCACTGACAAGATTAAATAGGAACAGAAACTATTTTCCTGTATAAATCATATGTACTGATTTCTAATCTCTCTTCTTTTATTTCAGCTCACTTATCCTATTTTATTTTCCAATTACCAAAGATCTGTTGTAATAACACTCTTGGTCTTCTGGGTGTACTAAGTAAAGTATTCATAAGATCACTGTCAGACTCAAAATGGTGACCTCGCATAACTTTGGAAACTGAAAATCACCAGATGACAGACAAACCCATCTGTTTTATTACTGGAAATCTAAAGTACTGTAATATCCATCAGTGTTCAATGAAATAAACCACTACACAGCTTATGTCATTCATGCATTATACTATGAAATATAAAGCCCTTGCTGAATTCATATTTTAATGATTTCCAACATTCTGCACTACTTCTGCTAAACACACACAAACGCTTATCTATCACCCATCTTCATACTACTCACATGTACATGACATACATGAAGAACTACTTCACTTTACAGCATAACATGAAATCTGACAGAAATATGATTTATGCTAATTGAACATGCAAGACACATTCCGCAACAGATTGACTGACTGTGCACAGAGAGTTTAATCCTGTAACTTAATTTCCTGCAAGTTAGTGGCACTTACAGGACTTAAATGTAATCTGTGTGACAATCTTGATTTTTCTTTTTGCATTTTGAATGTGTTATGATATTGATTTCTAAATGTGTTGGTTTTACACATGAAGGAAACCTTAATTGTGGAGTGGAATTTTAAAACAGAGCCTACTAAAGTCTAATCTTAGTTCTTGAATTGTTACTTTGTAAAATTTATTTAGGGTTCAGAGACAAGAAACTATAGTACTATGGTCATGAAAAATTTCACTTTGTACCAGTATATATCAGCCTGAAATACACATTATGTTCCATTTTCTTGGATTCTTACAACAAATTCACTCTTATATTGTTCAACTGTCTATTGTCAGAAACAAGGACAGAGAAGAATGCAAAAAAAATCAAATATGATCTCTGATTGTCAGTTGATTTTCTTCTTCACTTGTCCCAAAAGTAGGCAAGTTTATCAGTAAAATGTTCATGGAGTCATGTGAGTGGAATGTTCACAATAAACCCATGCTGTGATAGATCTAATTGAACTTTCACATTTGGCATCTACATTAAAAGTTGGGCAAATTAAATTTTAGTCCATACTAGTTCACAAAATTCCTGCTTCACGTGAAGCTCAAACGCAAATTTATCATTGTTTTATGCATAAAAAATTAATATCATAAGGAAAATAGCTTACTTCCTGACTGCTTGGGTCCACAGTTCTTTGCAAACTCTGGCCTCCTTTATGACAGATGTCCACTATTCTTCATTATTTGCCTCCCTCTCTACACTTTCAGCTCTCATAAATCATTCACTGTTCCAAATATTTTCTATCCAGCATCTATATCATTAAGTTCTTTGACACATATTTTTTACAGGGTGAAGTTCCTAGTCTCATGTCAAACTACCAATCTGGCAGCCCAGGGGCTACCTTACATATGGCTCCTGCATTTTTATTAGCCAAATAGGAAATTATGCACCCCCTAACCCATAGAAAAACAGCTTTAGGACATAAGATATAAGTCTTTTATTTGCATCAAACAATTTCTAATATGGTGGTATATAATTATATAAATAATTATTGTCTCTATACCTCTACTGTTGATTACCTTTCTCAGTGATATCACTTATGATTGTATGCACTGCAATTTTTCAACTCTGTATTAGTTGTATTAACAGTATATTTATATTTGGAATACACTAAAATCGAGACCAAAGAGGAATACAGAATTTTCAAGCACATATTTTGAAAATCATTATACTCCACTATGACTAGAACTTTCTATTCTTGTTAAAAAAATATCAAGTTTTGAAACGCATGGTTTCAAATTTATTGTGTAACAGGACTCCACTGTAATGTATAGAGTTTAATATGTTGTTGTAACAAATGTTTTCAGAAAGCTGGAAACCAAAAGCTAGCAGCAATGCATAGGGCAAACAACTTCCATCAAGGTATTCTTATTAAAGAATGGGAACATAAGATGCTCAGGATGGAGATTGAGGCTCTGCAAGATCATCTTCATAACTTACAGTCTATAAAGGTAGAAATATTCATAACAAAGAACTCTGTAGTAATTGTGTCATCAGAATCAGTAAGAGTACGAGTATCATAACATGATGCCAATAATTCAGTTTCCTTTATCAGTGGCTGTATGATATTTTTATGGGAAGGCTGGACTGGATAACCAGCTATACATTATTTTATCCCTTACTGCACATAACACTTAGAAGATCAAGTGTCTATCTAAAATCAGAACTAATTAATTTAGCTACATATCGCTTTTATAGGTGACAAGAGATATTCAATTGTTCCTCAATAGGCAGGCTGAGGACACAGAGGATAAGACCATTCTTTCACTCAAACAAGAGCTTGACCTACTTAAACAGGTAAGATAATGAAATAATGTAAATGTTTTATGTAAAAGATGAGACAGCAAACATTTCAGTTGCCATCTTCAGGGTTAAATGTCTTGGAGGGGGGGAGGTTTAAGCCCATCTATAGTTCTGCTAGTGGGCAGTGAAGGCACGAGTGGACAAATCAGTGACTGGGATGTTAAGCAATAGGAAATAACCAGCTACTTGAGAAAGAAAGGTGATTAAAATGTTTTTTTGGAGACTACATGTTCATAAAAAATGTTTCAGCACGATATGAAGGAATAGAATAAATTTTACCATGTGATATGACAAAAGGTGATAAAAAAGTTTTAGTGACATCGTTAGAAAATGAGGCAATGAAGTTTTCAGTGACAATGTGGTTAGGAGAACTGGTGATGTAATTTTCATGACTCTTCAACACTTCTCCTAAACCATATTCATTATTTCTTCTCCATACTATGTGGTCACTAAAACTCTCACACCACCTTTTGTCCTAAACAAGGGGTCACTGAAACATTCTTCACCTTTTTTCATGACCCCTGGTTTCAAAATTAAATTTTCACCATCTCCCTTCTTTACCTCATTCTGGATAGCATCCCAATCACTTAGATTCTAAAGGGTTTTGAAAATGCTGTATAACACTCAAGAAGTACTGGGTTTTCAGTCTTTGTCCATCATCCAGTATTCTAAAAACTATAAAACATGACATTTCCATCCTCAGGTGAGGAGACATCAACTCTGTTCGGTCCCTCAGAAAGAGCTAACCTCAATTTGAATTCTGAATCCCACTCACTTTCATCCAGTCACACCTTCACCTCCTATTTGCCACCCACCATCCTCCACTGGAAATGGCAACTGCAATGTTTGCCATAACATTCATCATGGCTTTAGCTGAAAGTTGATATTATATATTATGCTCCAGCCACAAAAATATATGGAACAGAGTTATGCATGCAGTTATTACCTCTCTAGAACCTTAGTTCTACCTCTGGATCCAAACTAGATTGGTTTACCTGAATGAAATGGGTAACATGACACATCCACAACTTCCATCTGATTATTTCACTCCCATTGTCATCATCCATTTACAAAACAAGGAAAATGAGAAACACTTTCAGAAAAGACCAAATTATTCCTTACATAAGAAATCACCTGCGTACACTTAAGTCTTCATTTTACATTAATTCCATTAGTACTTGCAAATTATTGTTGACATATAATCCCAGTCTATTTTTTCTTCACTACAAACTAAAATCTAGATGTGTAAAGAATATAATGATCAATCATGCGTTGAGATGTTCTACCCTTTTATTACAGTCACATGAGAAAACAATCCAAGAAATTCAGAAGCAACTGGATGATTTAGATAAGAAGATTAGTACACAGAAAAAGGAAAATCAAAGGTTGGATAATAAAGTTACAGACCTAAATATAGACATTAATGAGCAGCAATTACTTCGAGATTTTGAATTTGAATCAAGACAAACTGAAGCTGCAAAACAAAGGTAAAATTTATACCTACTTGTACATTAGAACCCATTCTCTGTTTTCCAAGGATTTTATTTAGTAATAACTGTGAATGTAATATGGTTTTAAATCATGAATTATTTTATCCCACAGCAAATTAATCTTGATTTCAGGACAAAAGGTTAATACAACAAAGTATAAACACAGTACAACCCGAGAGTTAACATAATTAATACAGAATCCTATCTTGAGACAGCTACATCCAGTCTACATTGTCTAAACATAAAACAAGCAATGAAACCTATGAATTTTGACTTTTAAGCAATCATCTGCCTTAGCTCACTTGAACACTGGGATCGTGGGTTCAAATCCCACTCAAGGCATGGATGTCTGTGCCTGTATGTATTGTTTGTGTTGTCCTGTATGCAGGTAGTGGCCTTGTGATGGGCTGATCACTTGTCCAAGAAGTCCTACCTTCTGTGTAAAAAAGATTATGGAACTGAAGAAGAGGCCATGGCCCAACAAAGGGCTGTAGAGATACTGATAGCAGAAACATGAAATTTTTTCTCTTCAGCTGGGACACAGATTGGCTCTGAGATCCAATGAGTGTCTCGTGTGGTACCAGGGACTCTTTCAGGAGTACAACTGGCAGATCATGAAACTATTCCAGTCATTTCCATCTGTAAATACAAAGGTCATAGAAAGAAATCCCATGGATAGACCACCTTCACATCTCCCTCAAATTTTTCTGCCTCCTTCAACATGCTTCACCATATTCTCTTCCAGTCATTTAGCCACTCAATACTGACTGTGATAATCACATGATAACCTTCCCTAGCAAAAAACAGTTAGGGCTGGTTGGCATTCACCAGAGTGAGAAGTCAAAGAGATTTCATCCCCTCCATCCATGGAACTTCTTTCTGCAGTCTCTGTATAGCATCAATGAAGTTTCACTTCCATGCCTACTACACAACTTCATGGCACAGTAGAAACACTTTTACACACATAGTAGCTCACAAAGGTTCCATAACAGGAGCTACACCCAAATGTGACTGCACCAAGCCCTTAATTGCCTTCAAAATACTGACCTTCAACAACTGTGTACATTAATACAAGATGTTACTGTGTTTAATTAAGTTCTGTCATGAAGACGTGCTGGGAAATGGAGGTACACCTCCACCATTGACCTCTGCACAGTGTGTTCAAAAAGTATCGAACCTTTGGTTGGCAGAAATACATTTATTGATTTGGAGGTACAAAACCCTAATCCCCTCCAAAGTAGTCTCCGTGGTAATGCACACACTTCTCCCAGCACTTCCGCCATTGTTGCAAACACTTCTGGAACGCATCTTTTGGAATGGTGATCAGCTGGGCCGTCGCATTCCACGTGATGTCTTCACTTGACTCAAATCAGGTTCCTTTCAGCGGCATTTTCAGCTTGGGACATAGCCAAAAGTCACACGCAGCCATGTCGGGGGAGTAGGGAGCCTGACAAACCACAGGGATGTTTTGTTTGGAGACTGAAGTCTGAATCAGATGCGCAGTTTTGGTACGAATTTCGCAGACACTCTCCTCAAGCCAAAATCCTCTGTCAAAATTGAATGTACCGATCCAATGCTTACCCCTATCTCGTTTGCAAGTTCTCGGACTGTGATACGACGGTCCTCCATGACCAAAGTCCACACTTGCTCAATGACATTCTCATTTCGGCTTGTTGAGGGTCCGCCTGAATGCGGTTTGCTGTCTACTGATGTGCGGCCATCTTTGAAGCAGTTGTACCACTCCTTTATCCACGAGTTGCTCATGGCATCATCCCCGAAAGCCTGTTGAATCTTGCGAATGATTTCCACATGGGTATCGCCAAGTTTTTGGCAAAATTTGATGCAACATCGCTGCTCATGTTGTTCTGTCATTTTACACCTTACTGGAATCCAACGAGCGCTCACTACACGTCCTCACTCATAGGCCGACTGCCAGCGACTGATGCTTTCTGCGGGTGGGAGAAAATTCACGACTGTGCATGAATGTCCCCTCCACATCTCCACCGAAGGGAGCCTCCCGTGCTTCATTGGTTTACGCGGGAAAAAAGGCTCGATACTTCTTGAACACACCACGTAGAGGTCAGTGCCCAGATTGCTGCCCTCTGGATGGGCCCCAAGGGCCAGCCTGGATGGTAAGGAGGAAAGAAAAATGTGCCCCTGCTGGGGCCTGAATCCCATTCCTATACTGACTCAGCTATCCCAGCTCTTAGCTATGTACATTAGTTTGGAGTATTCTGTCATCTCCATGGATTAGTCTTATTAGACTGTTCAAACTCAGAGACCTATATTTAGAATTGATTTTCCCATCTTTTTCACTTTTTATCTTATGGTGTCTATAGTCATCAAATTAGTAATTTACAATTCTTGCTAAGGTCACCATATAACTAAAGCATTTATAGGAAAGTAGGTATCAATGTTCTTAAACATGACTGGTCTTCTTAGGCAGTGTCCGTTCACAGGTTTTCCAAACACTTTGCTTTTTAAACTGCATCCTTTTTATCATCAGTTCTTTAAAATTACAGTGTAGGTTGTTCAATTTTAATGCAGAGTTATTATGATTCTATTTCAGGATGACATCAATTGTTAGGCGCAGTAAACTAGCAGCCATAATTCAAAAACAGCATAGTGAGATATTAGTTCTACAAATGGAATTGGAATTACTCCGCCTGAAAACTTATCCCACCCTCATAACTTAAGACCGTAATTTAATCTGCTGTATTCAAATTATTTTACAAAGACAAATTACAGCACACAATCCCACGCCATAATTTTGTATTCAAGTCAAATGAAAGAAAAACTGATTATGCAATTTTATGAGGTTATAACACATAGCAGAGTGATTCTAAATAATGAATGAGGCATATGTGGAGACATGACCTCTAGAGGAATGCCCCATGTCACAACAGTTTCAGACCTTATGCATCACACATTCATATTGGGCAATATGTAAAGTGTCATATTAAAAAATTACATAACTTTTGTAATGATGTTTATTCAATTATGATCTTATTACAACTGTTGTTTCATACAAACACCAATACCTAATTTGGACTTCAATTTGTAGTGTTTTAAGTTTAAGACAAAACTACCCAAAGACAGACATTCTTACATGCCACTTCTCAGATCTAACTAATCAATGCATACATGGTAATATGTAGTCACAGTAAGATTTCTGTATGCCAAGTTAAGAAGCAGGAAACAGTGACAGTATCCCACATGGAAATGTCTATATAATTCTAGCCATCTAAAGAATGTTTGGCTCAGTAACCAATTTCATGTAATGATAAAATTATGGTGAAGTTGAAATATCCATATCTTCAGTATTAGCCTGGTCATCACTTGCATTCCTGTCTTCTCCAATACTTCCATCTCCTTCGCTCTGTTCACTGCCATCTTTATCATTATCAGCAGCATCAAAGCCTTCTTCTTCTTCATCATAATTTCGAGGTACTTTAGTACCAGCTGGCTTCTCCCCATCCCTCTCCAGAGTCTCTTTCTTCTCTCGCTTCCTTCTCTCCCTCTCACTATCCCTATCTTTTTTGTCTGACTCATGACTTTTTTCTTTATCTTTCTTCCTATCACCATCACGCCTGCTTCTTGACCGACTTCTTGAACGTCTTCTTGATGGAGAATGTTTATTGTGACCAGAACGAGATGGAGATTTACTTCTTCTTCTGGAATGAGAAGTACTTCTACGTCTGGCTGGAGAACGACTTTTACGCCTAGAATGTGGGCTTTTCCTACGAGAAGGTGATCTGCTCTTCTTTCTCAGAGGTGATCTACTCTTTCGACGACTTGGGGAACGATGACGAGACTTCGAGGGAGATCTTGAAGACCCTCGAATTGACTTAGACTTTTCACGAGAACTTTTGTCTCTGCTTTTATCTTTGCTTTTCTCTTTTGATTTTTCTGTGTCTTTATCCTTCTCCTTATCTGACTCACTCTCTTTCTTTCCTTCAACAGTGTGTATTGTACTGTCTTCAGCAGATTCATTCTCATGATTGGTTTCCTCTAACTTCACTTCTGGATCACCTTCCCTTTTAGCATTCTCCTTCTTGGAGTCTTTCTCTTCCCTATCATCTTTCTTTTCTTCTTTTTTCTCATCTTTCCTATCCTTTTTATCATCCTTCTTTTCTCTTTTGTCATCCTTTTTATCCTTTGACTTCTCATGACTTTTAGAGCTGGATTTTGATTTGGAATGGGATCTCCTTGATTTAGATCTTGAACGTCTTCTGCTATGAGATCGAGATCTTGAATGGCTTCGACGACGATGTCCTGAGCTTCGGGACCTTCTCTTCTGGTCTCGTGATCTGGTGCGTGACCGTTTGGATCTGGACTGTGATCTCCTTGATCTAGAACGAGACCTTCCTCTGTTTCGCGAGCGTCTCCTAGATCTTGATCTTGTTCTCCGACTACGTGAATGAGACCTTCGTCTACCTCGTGAAGGCGATCGAGAGCGTCGAGAACGAGAACCACTACGACTTCTCTTTTTCTCTTTTGCAAGAAGGCCAATGACTGGATCTATCGCAGCAGATATAAGATTTTGGGCCTCCTTAACTCTAGACATGGCCTCCTCTATTTCTCTCTGAGCAGCTTCATTGCTTTTGGTCTGGGGTTTAACTATTGCTTGTGTTGAGTGGTAAACTTTGATGCTCTTACCATTCAGTTCTTTCCCATTCATTTGCAGTGCTGGAATTATGCTATTTTGGTCTGAGAATTCCACCAATGCATAACTATCTACATCACCTTCCCTAGTACAGAATCTAACATATTTAACCTCTCCAGCAGTAGAAAAGAAATCAATTAATTGCTGTGTTGAAACTGAATTTTCAGTCCCAGCCACAAGGAGAGTCCTACGTATCTCTTCTATCCGTCGACCATCCAATGTTGCTGGAAGAGGTGGATATAGAGGTAATCCATTAGATGCTAGTCGGGGATCATGGGTTGTCACTACTTGATTAGGAGGTAGTCCTTCTAGCTGATTGGTCACATGTGGTGGAAGTTTTGGTTCTGCTGGAAACAGACCTGGTACCATCGTCCCCTGATTCGTTAATTCCAGTGCCCTCTGTTCATCGGGAATTTCGCCACTTTGGAAAGGCACCACAATAAGAGCTCGATCTATGAAAACAGTGTTTGTCATATGCTGTGCAACTCCTACACACACAGGATCATGAAATTTTACATAACATATCCGGGACTGAACAGGTACTGCTACATCACGTATAGTTGGGTAAAGTCTTATATCTTCAATCTTGCCTAGGTAGCCAAATAATGTTTGCATTTGATCCCGAGTGGCTTGAGGTGCAATATTTGTAATTTGCACAACTTTGCTACTTCCAGTCATGGTGACAACTGTGTATAATGCTTAAAAATTCAGATGATAGGCATACCTGAAAAAATGAGAAAATGCATATCATCCAGTAGTACTTATTGTTTGCATAAAATATTATATCGTGTGCATGTAGGACTAATTTTTTTGTAACCTACTTTACATATGTAGGAGCTGAGGTTTTCACAGTGGTGATTATGAGTAGTACTATCTCCTGGGAAGTAAGGCCACGAATTCTAATGAAGTTCACCAATATTTTAGATGAATAAACAATTTCCATCTTCCCTTTTACTCTGCTACACTGAAGATGGAAGCAGTACATTCCTCCAAAAGGCCAGTGGACTTCTAGTAAACCACATGATGTTACATCCCAGACGATAGAACTTTATTCACTTTACAAGTAAAGATAATCACATCCACCTGTGCCTGTCTCCCTAACTTTTCAGCTCATGACCAATTTCAATCAAACTCTGCACCAACATTATACCAAAGGAAGCCATTCATTCCCTGCCATCAATAATGCTGACATGGCAGTAGCACAAACTTCTGAGGTGGAAGAAGCTCTAGTGTGATCATTCAGTGCCAAATCAACACAAGATAAACCACAAAATTCAACTTGACCCCTCAGCCTTTAATGAAATTTCATGAAGCACAACCCTTCAAACAGGTAAATTACCATACCAGTTTTTGGACACGAAAGTGTCTTTTAATTTAATGATATACTAAAATTTAAAATATTATTCAAATTATAATGTCCTGGGGGTTAGTTAAATTACACCACTGCAGTTCCAATTTAAAATTTTGAAGAAGCTGTGCAAATACAAACACAACATGTATCACATGCCTCAGCTAAAATGCAATGTTTTCTGCATAAAGAAGCAAACTTAACAAAAACCAGTGTTTTTATCAGTGTCTAATTGTAAATAGCAATCTCTACTACTTACAAATTTTGCCAGAGAAATTTTTAAAGTATTTTTTGCCTAGAATCATCTGCTGAACTCATTTCTACTATATGTTTGTGCAGCTTCTTCAGCTACAGCTGGATGCAACTTTCTCAAAGGCCTTGAATCGGGTGAAACCATGATACCTTGCTACTTTACAAGTTCTTTTGCTTTTCTTACCATGTAGTTTGCTAAACATGAAAGCAGACCATGCATGCGTGGATTTATCTGGGAACCTTAACTGTAGTGGAAGTCTGTGATGGATGAGAATCATCAGCCACTATGTGTAACAAGGAACAAGAAGTCAATACAGCAGATTTTATGTGCTACATCTGAAATCATTCACCAGTTGGTGCAAACCGCTGAGAAGTACGTGGACTTCATCTCGAGTGAAATTTTTCCCTTCAACCAAAAACTTTACTTATGTTCTTTTAATCTGCGATGCATTTGAGTTAGGAAAAAAAGTGCTGTTGTTTCACAGAATGCGTTAATAATATGTCATTAATGAATACATCCACATGACGTTCCAAATGAACTGAATTTGTTTACTTGAAAAGGAAACACATAATCATGCCCCTATCAGAAAAAAGATACTTCACTCCTATAAACCATCACAGTTCTGACACCCTCTACATCCGTGTGTGCGAAACACGTGAGTTTTAAAAGCGCGGTTTAAGTCTGAATAAAGTGTAAATGGATCCGGGCCTGGCACGGCGTATGCTCACCCCAGATCACGGCTGACGGAAAAACTCTGTCCAATAAACTCAATGTGTACGGCCATAATGCATATTACAGGCACGCCTGGACGCTATAAAATGAAAACGATTAAAAATGGTGGTTCAATAAAAATCAGCGAACTGATTGATTTACATCGATACTCAACCAGGACACTTGGATAAAAACCCACCCACAAGTTTACTTTAATACTTGCCTATACTTAATAAACATTCACTCTCTCCAACACCGGCATTATTATCTACCAATAGCTACACCATCAAACAAAACAATCGGTAGAATTTACCTCTGCTACCTTTCAAGTGCTGTAAACACAAATGTTTCATGGTTGCGAACGTAGCAATAATAAATGCTAAAACAATGGTAGCATGAAACAACTTTAAAGCATAATGCAAAGTAAATAAATTTGAATCAATCATGAATAGTAACAATAACTCCCTTTAAAATGAAGATAATGCGCATTTGTTTTACATACTTACAAAACTGTTTGTTGGCTACCATGATATCTTAAAAGCATTCCATATTGGCACAGTTCAGTTATAGTATTTAACTCCGTAATTTAAAAAATTACAAGTTCAACATAAGCTCCATGTTTTGGGACAGAATACTTCATGCAGGATTACTGGGCTTTAGGACTTTGTTCATCGTCCGGCATTTTAATGAACACGTTTCTGAAATTTAATGTCTCGTGCAAGAGTTACGTTTTTATAACACTGTATTTTGAAACGGAAAATCTGTGCCTCATAGTTTGAAATAGAAATATGACCCGATGGTCACGGATTTATTTTGAACTATTGTTCTCATGGCGGGGAAAACGAGATGCCAGATCTTAGCGATCCGTGGAATAAGCTTTCTGAACGAGGTAGTTCACCCCATAATGCTGTGCAACGTAAGGCAGCAGGAGTCTTAGTAGGTTGATATACAGGTGGTGAGTTATTGATCAGTGTTTTTACCGTGTGATATCACAATTTATCCATGTTTTTTTAAGGATTTTATGATCATTAATCGTTTCGTATAAATCGCATATTATGGATGTGTGATGAGATGCTTGAATGTTTTGATCACATGGCATGTTTTAGGCTGGCAGTCATTACAGTGTCTGAATAAATACTAGGGATGAAATTAAATAAATATGTATCATCATCAAGGAGGAAGAATCGTAAGAGGCATCTTACGGCCCCATCCCATATCAGGAGACGGTTTATGTCCGCTCCCCTGTCGAAGGAACTAAGGCAAAAGTACTCTGTTCGTACAATGCCAATTCGCAAAGATGATGAAGTTCAGGTACGTGGTTATTTATTTTTGATACAGCGATCATTTTCATTTAACTTGAGAACTAACAACGTAGTGTGGGAAATAATTTTATCTGATGGCTATGTCTCCTGTATACACTTAACTTAAGTTTTCATCATCTACACACTGTGCTCCCGTTCCCGCAGTTCAGTGTTGGGAAATTCCGGGAGAAAGTGCATTTTCTTAGCTGGCCAAGAAATTCCATACCTTTTATGTTCCTTTTAGTGTACACTTGAGTTGGGCCTTTCAGTTCCCTATACATGTTCTCAACCCTATTTGTTTAATATTGCTGTTCAAAGTCTGGCTGTCCAACTTGGTCCCCTGCATTTAGGGTTTTCAACTGAAATTTTTGTATATGTAGTGCCTTGTACTGCGTGTCCTTCATTGCTGATGTTTGATTTGATCGCCGTAATACTGTAAGACTAGGGACACAGCGACATTGGCCATACAGAAAAATGTATGTTTTTTTGCCGTACGACCTTTTCACACCAGAGCGACCAAATACGTTTCTTCGCTCTGACTGTCGTACAGTAGATTTTGCATGTCATTTATGAAAGCTAAGACTACACTTTTATATTCTACTACTTGATGTGACATGAGCCGTATGGACGTTGTACGGCCGATGCCACTGTGTGCCTAGCCTAAGAGTATAGGTGATAAAAATGTTAGATTTGTAGAATGGTAGCTGAACAGATGGTGAGGATGCACTGAAGTGTGTGGAATCGTTTTTTTTTTTTTCAAGTTAAGCACATTTGTTTTCTGATTATATCATCATCTATAAGTTTTATTGCAGGCAAAGTAGCTGTGGAGGAAATTTATATACAATATAAAATTTGATAGTATTTTCTTTGGAAAATTATTTGGAGGTGAAGTGATGAGCTAAACCATTCACAGATGAGGCAAGTGTTGGATTGTGTGTAGTTGCCATTACCTGGGTTCTCTAGTGTGATGTGCTGCTCTCATTATTCAGCTTGTGTCCTGGTGAAAGTGTGGCACTGATCCCATGGTTTCTGGAAGCCCTCAGAGAATGTTTGTGTTAAGTACTGAGAGTATATTTTTTTTGTGTCTGTCATAGGTTGTAAGAGGTCATTACAAGGGTCAGCAAGTTGGGAAAGTTGTACAGGTGTACAGAAAGAAATTTGTTATATATATTGAAAGGATTCAGCGAGAGAAGGCTAATGGTGCCAGTGTTTATGTTGGAATACACCCTTCCAAGGTATGATTGAAATAATTTTTCACTTGGTCTCTATATGGAGTAGATGAGTTTTTTTTTGCCAAGAGTCCAAGTAATATTCACTTCTAAGCTTGCAGAATTTTGTGTCTTTTGCTTAACTAGACTTAACAAAAGTTTAATGTGACAAAGTATTCTCTTCACATAGCTGACTAGTCATCAGACTTTAGTTTATTAAAGAAGTACATGTATATACTAGCAGAAGCGTTTATTTTAAATAAAAAGTGTAATGAAAGAACTATAAACTATCTCAAAATTACAAATATTATGTACCTCAAAATGTTCATGAAAGGAATCGCCACGTTATACAGATGTGCCATGTATTGAGCAGTTTTGGTCATTAAGACTGCAGTGTGAATTTATTTCTTAATTTTCATTTGTGGGAAATTTTTAGCGCATTGACTGTATTGTCAGGAGATAAATATCAAAATGAAGTGAAACTTGAACTACAGTGAAGAATATCAGTGTTAGTTGGAAATTTCTGTGCCAGATATCAGTACAGTAAACTGCATTATCTAGAATGTCTTTTAAGTTAAGATCTATATTGAGAATCATGCGGAGACTGCCGTAATAGGACAAGATGTATATAGAAATGTGCTGCAGAAGACCGGTTGGGCATTGCCTAGACCTTTTTTGTATTTTCAGTATTTTTCCCCACAATAAAAAAATCTGGGATGTCTGGGGAAGGGACTATGCTTGTTACATGTAACTGCTAGTTTTGTGAGGAAAACTTGGAACCCAATACAAGTGCAAAATATGCTCAAGTTATTTATTGTGTGGGTGTCTCTCTTAGGTAACAGCAGATAGTAAGTTCTTTAGTAGATTCTGATGAAACTTCGTGGAACTCATACCATTGAAATTATTTTGAGGAATTTTTTTATCATACAGATTCTGGTAACATTTGAAAATATATTTTTCTTAATTAAATACAATTACTATGTGTAACATTGGAGCTGGGATAGGATAGTTGGTATAGTGACTGGCTATGGGCTGGATGCTCAAGGTGTCAGAGTTCAAGCCTTGGTAGAGTAAAGAATTTCCTCTTTTCCACATCATGCAGACTGGCTGTGGGGTCCACCCAACCTCCTATCAAATGGATACTGGGGGTAAAACGGCAGGGGCATGAAACTGACCACTCACCTGCAGCTAGTGCTGACGTACATCCATTCCTCTGTATCACTCCTTCATTAGTTAAGCACAGGGACAGCTTTACCTTACCTTACCATGTGTAACAATGACAGTACATTTTAAGAGTCTGAGTCATAATACTTTTTAAGCCTTTTGAAATTTTGATGCAACTTTTTATATGCCTCTTCTGTTATGTGTAGGTTACCATATGGAAATTTAAATTATTCCATTTCAGTTTAGTTTGAAGGACACTTAAAAGGAATCTGTGAACTTACATGTGTATCTTTAAAGTCATGTGACATTTGATGTAAGTTAATATACTGTGGCATTTTGTTACATGAGTATGATTTAATTGACTTTGTTTCAAGGCTTACAAATCTATTCTCCAATAAGTGTTTTCAGGGTCCTAAGAATTTTATTTTGCTCCAGGCTGTAATTGTGAAGTTGAAGATGGACAAGGACAGGAAGAAGATTATTGACAGAAGATCAAAGGGTAGATTAGCAGCATTGGGTAAGGAGAAGGGAAAGTACACTGAAGAAAGTGCTGCAGCAACAGCAATGGAAACATCATAGGCAATGGCACTCACTTTTGTAATATCTGCTGCTTAATAAATTTAAAATATTTAAATATGAGTGTTCAGTTTTTTTATATATCCCCTCCTGTAGTTATGTAGTCCACATACGAAGGGGGACCCAAAAATAACCGGAAACGACCTGTTGCGCGCGCATGCTTTGTAGTTACAAGTTGTGCTGCTAGGTGGTGTTAGCTGGGGGTCTCCCGCGACTGTTAGTGAGCTGGCGTCAGTCTGAGTTAAGTGGTTTGTCTGTGGTGCTCTGTTGTGTGCGTTCCTGTTTCAACCCTTTGGCGATTAGTGAGATGGCCGACCAGAAGGAACAAAGAGTGTGCGTGAAATTGTGCTTTCTGTTATGTTAGNTGTTCCTTCTGGTCGGCCATCTCACTAATCGCCAAAGGGTTGAAACAGGAACACACACAACAGAGCACCACAGACAAACCACTTAACTCAGACTGACGCCAGCTCACTAACAGTCGCGGGAGACCTCCAGCTAACACCACCTAGCAGCACAACTCATAACTGCAAAGCATGCGCACGCAGCAGGTCGTTTCCGGTTATTTTTGGGTCCCCCCTCGTACTTGATGTAAAGTGGTTACATTGTTATTTGAAGTTTCATGTATGAAAAGCATAACATTGTCAAATTAAGTTTTGTAAAACATGGCACTGATGAACCAGATTTTCATTTCCAGCTTTCTTTTTTTCCTTACTATTATTCATATTTCAATTCCTTAATGTGATATGGGGTGGGGCTGAGGGGAAGACCAAACTCCCCACATGACACTTTTTCTATCCCTATACGTATGACAGGTAGGTATGAGGGCTGTTAAGATAACTATTCAGCTTGGATAAGAATGTCGAGGGTATGGTGATGGAGCATTACCCCAGAGTGTTTTTTCCAGGAGGTATCAGTGGGATGCCTCCCTCAGCACCCTTAGGGACAATTGACAAGTGGGCTTTAGTTGTATAATCCACACATGATGTAATATGTGAGTTGAAAATGTTTTCACTTCCATTATCTTAGATAACAGGGTCAGTGTTATGCTGATTCCAATTTTCAAGTGGTGTTTAATTTATGTGCATAGCATTCTTTCAGTATTATCCTTTAGTATTGCACATGTACTGATTACAATTTTTCAGTATAACCCCCTTGAGTCTTTTTTCCAGTGATGGACTCCATATTAAATGCAACAGTAAACTGATTGATGAGGAAGAGACTACTCTTAAAATTAGATCTGTTTTCTAAAACAGCTGGGCAAGAAAGTATGACTGACTTCTTCAGCACTGTAAAATAAGTGAATTTGTAAGATTTGTGAATTATTTCATTTTTTTGGCTTCAAACGACCTATTCTAAAATTTGTCCCTACTGTTTTATGTACAGTAATAAATCTTCACTTTCTTGGATTAAAACTAGATGGTCTTATGAACAGTCTAAAATGTTAGGAAAGAAACTAGTGGTGTAAAGAAAGTTAATTCCCTTTGAAAATAAGTACATGTTTATACATTAGTGGTGGACAGCTTTATACCAGGAAGAGTAAATGGATAAAGAGAATTCATGTTTTGGAATTTGATACACATTTAAAGAACACTTCCCTTGTGTAATATGGGTGCAGGCTGTAATTGTTTCAGTGGCAGGTTTTCCCCAAGTACTTCAGTTTCCCTTGCCAATCCTCATTCCATCAAATTCTCAAGCATTATCACCGGTACAGGTACAATAGGACATATGGAAGCTGACGTGCTGAGGGGACCTAATATGGATTGCATCTCACACTATACAAACTCTTAACTATTGTAAACAATTGTAAGTATTGTAACTTTATTCTCTTACTGTAATCAGCCAATGTATAGTAACTTGCTTGTCCTATATCATGTAACAATGATCTATAGAGACGAAATAAATAAATATGTATCCGACCAGTAGTCAAAAATGTCTAGTGATAATGACTTTTCATTATGTAGAAGCAGCGGCACGCACACAGGGAGCCTACGCAGAATAATACCTGAACAGTGCTAAAAACAAGAAGTAGCCACTGCAGCACTATAGACAGAGGGCAGGTACCCCTGAGAACTTTAAAATTTGAATTAAAGATTTTAAAAGTGCCAGTTTTTGAAAATCAAATTGACATGTGTAGGTTAACAAAGATTTTGTACATATCTGACATATCAGCAGGGAGGATTCTGATATATCGAAACCTGTTAGCAACGGAGAAGTGAACAATTGGGAAGACTGGTGTTTTTTAAATTTTGAACTACATGCAGTGTAGCAGCTACGTGAGAGTACACACCTGACGATGGCCATTTACGGCCGAAAAATGTAGTGTAGAAGAAAGAACTACAATAAATTCTTGTGTCATATTGTGTAGAGTGTAACAGGATGCTTAAATATAATAGTGTAGAAGTTCCCCACCTTTTTATGCCTACAGCTGATGTCAGCAATCTCCATTTGACCCTTGCTGGCCTCTCAAGTTATCTCCGCTGTCAATAACTTGATAAGCTCATAGGTTGGATAATACAAACCAATACCAAACCATGGAGATACCTTGGGGAGTGCTGGTATAACCTATTCTTTAGTCGTTGGAACTAGATGGCAGTGAGTGGTGAACTTTATGCCCCCAGCTGCTTTACCCGGCCCAATATTCTGAGGACAGTTGGCTGAGTCGGAAAAGACAAAAATCTGCCCCATAGCTTAGCCTTGTACTGACTGAGCAGTCTCAGCATTATTGATACATACCAAATGGAGCAAATCTTTTGTCAAGTTATTGGGCACTCAGTATCATCTGTCTTTTCTGGAACCCACATGGTAATGACTTGTTCATCAGAGCTTGTCTCTGTCATCTCAGTACTAGGTGTCATAACCAGCAATTAAAGAAGAGATACCACATCATCCCTTTACTAAAGTGGACAAGTGAGAAAAATATAAACTTGGTCATATTATTTAACAGAGCAAAAGATGCCCAGGTTAGCATTCAACTTGCAAAAATGCAAAGCATATTGAAAAAGAGAAATACATTTTGAACAATTTTACAATTGCAGGATGCCCTGTGGTGATTACCACTCAAATTTGAAAATTCTGGTATTTCTTTCTTTGGTTCCTAATGTAATGTTTCTCTCCTTGCTGCAATTTTTATAATTTACAGGCTGCAAAAATAACATGTTTGACCGAATTTTGTGTCATTTTGAGGAAGCTTGGTGCTATTAGCTTTTCTTAGTTCTTTGGTCATTATTTAGCCAACAATTTTTGGTCCTCACTCCACCAAGACTTTATTTTATTATGTATTTGGCACAAATTTTTTGTCGTTAATCTCACTATAAATAGAACAAAGTTCAGGCATTTATTGGACTTTATTTTACAGCTTGTTTAATATAAAAGTACTGTACATATAATGGTAACACTAAAATTATTTGATACTGCTGCACAAGATGCTGAACCTATTATTTAAAATTTCTTTGGGGCTCAGTGGATTTAACCAATACATTTAAAATCTCTTATGAAAGAAATTTAACACTTGAGATTGTCTTTTGGAATCAGTGAAACTGAATCTGAACGAGTGAAAACCCGAAATTAAGGCAGTAACTGTAAATTTGATATGTTTCATTCTGGTCCGTCACACTATTAAGTTTACAATTAAGTTTATATCAGTCCAATGTGACATACAATGCCTTCACCACTTCAGCACTTAGTTACCTAACATACTCGTATATAGTCTTATAAAAACATTTACATATTGGTGGCTTCCTGATCGTAGTGGTATACCTCTGATGATGATTCATTAAGAATCATAACATCTTAGGTAACTAAGTGCTGAAGTGGTGAAGGCATTATATGTCACACTGGACTGAAATAAACTTAATTGTAAACAGTAACTGTAAGTTCCAGTGTAAGTACAACAGTGAATAATAACATACTATACCATGCTGCAGACAGGAGATTTGGCCAATATTACAGCTTATGTTCTAAATGAAAATTCCTGCAGTTTAAAGTTCTGGGTTGAAGTCCTTAATTTTTCAACATATCTGTTTGCACCTTTCACTTGAGTACATGTACCATGTACAGGGGTGAAAATTTTGACAAATCAGTCCAAATCATAGTAAATCTGAGACTGCAAGGTTTCGTGCTGTAAAAAAGGCATGTTTTGTTTTTTGCCTCTTGTTGGAGCCAACCTTGTTAAAAAATGATGTTATGGTTGTATTCTTACTTGCTCCACTTTCCTCCTCTTCCTCATCTTCCCTGTAATAACAGTACAAAGACAGCAAACTTAAGACTGGACCAACACAAAGAACTGTGGGAGGTGTACAATTTTCAGTTAGTCCCATGCCTGAACATGTGGGGCTTAACATATGAAATAAGTCTATTCAATGTATGACATACCCTCAGAGATCTGTCAGAATATTTGTGAATGCCATACTGAACATACATCTTAACTAAAATAGGTATGAACACAGAAATTATAATTTACAATAAATTATAAGTATGAACATAGAAAATCCAACTTGGTCATCTGAAGGATCATGAATGGGGAGAGACCAGATATTTTCCTCTCACCCATCCTCTAGATAAAAAGAAAAATAAGCAGAGAAAAAATTGTTTGAAGTATTATTCTATCTTTAGTCTAGAAAATCAGTAAAAATAACCTTAAATGCAAGCCTGTAAACAAATTTCCTGGGTGCTTCATTATTTGCTGTATTCAGTTGTGTTGAGCTACTTACCACTCCACAAGTGCAGAATGTTCTTGCAGAATTTTTCCCGCTGTTGACCAACTAAATCTGACTAACTGTGGATATCCAAACACGGGATCAATATTCTTTATCAGAAATGCTTTGGTTACAGGATCTGTGGGGGGAAAATTTATCAATTTAGAATCAGTGTGTGTTAATTAACGACACTTGGTCAACTGCTTAATTTATGGAGCATCGACTGAGAAAAAACACAGGATTCTGAATGGTTGCATCCAACTTTACAAAATATCCCAGTATCTGGGGCACAGGAGAAACAACAAAAATAGCCTAGATTAGGCTTGAAAGGACTCCAGTTGTGAACTTTTTCATGAGAGCAATGACACCACTGAAACACTATGCTTGAGCATTTTCCATACTGTCAATAGTTTTTATATACACAACTTCTGGAAAGGGGAAGAAAAACAGTTTATTGGAAAATGATGTGCTTAAACTTTAAGTGTTCTTTTACTCCATGTTGTGCTTCCTGGAATGCCTCTACGAAGGACTATTGCTATAAGAAAGAAATTCTGTTTGCAAGTCAGAAGGTCGCGGGTTCAAATACCGATGAGGTCATTGGATTTTTTTTCAATTGACCTAATCCTTCCGGCTGCACTATGGCCCTGGGGTTCACTCAGCCTCTAACAGAAATGAGTAACAGGAACTAAATAATTTTCCTGGGGAGTAAAGCGCAGCCTGCGCCTAAGGCTGACAACCTTACTGCCATCTTTGAGCCGACTGTCTAGATAATGTGGGATCCTCAACATCTCACAACCCTATGGGCCTTCATGGCCTGTTACAGGGATAGCTTTACTTTTCTTTTACCTTGAAAATAAGATGGAATAAGTGCATAGACAGTACTGTGCAAATTGTTATGCAAGTCCTATGGGAGTTATTTTCATCATTTTTTCTCAGTTCATTACTCTCTGATGACCTCATACTTCTGTACCAATTACCATTAGGGTAACCACTTCCAAAATCATCTGAAGTTGCTTCAAGGCCCTCTTGAAATATCCATCCTTTCAGGGCTGTATCTCTGGACACTTTGGCACAGATGCTGGCTGCACTTACAATTGGGTAAATGGCATCAGCTTTCTTAGCAACTGTAATCTTAAATTCTGGAAATATTTCTGATAACTTCGCCTGCAAGATATTTATATATCATTATTTTTAAACATCTTTGTAATCAGAATATATGTTGTTATACACTTTTAACTTACCTGATATTTTTCAGGAATTCCAACAGTATCAACATACACCTCACTGATGTTTATTCCAGAGCTCTTTGCTTTTGTGAGGAGCCCAACTGTTGAATCCTGTGCTACTTGATTCAAAGAATGCTTCTGTCTAAAGATAATAAGTAAATTATTACACATAACTGAAATCAGGTGTTGGTACATAATAGAATTAGGCAAAACAGATTCTGTAATTATATGTGTTATTGTGTACATGAAGAAATCAGACATTTAAATAATTTTGAAATGATTATGGCCAAAGATAAGACTGAGAATTTCTCTACATAAGATATAATTCTAGTGTTTCAGTTCTAGGTGGTACCTTCGGAACATGCTATTGCAGATGATGTTTGGAGAGATGGCTTCTATAGCCCACCCAATATATTCTGTTTCTTTACAGAGTTTCTCAAATATAAGTTCTCTTTTCTCCTCTGTTAGGATTTTAGAATCTGCACATCCCAAAGCCTTTAGGTTTTCTGCCTTGCTCAGTGGGCAATAACAGATTCCATACACCATAGGACCTAGAAAGAAAACAACACGGTACAACTGGGTGGGATCTAGTCAGGGTAATTAGTCTTTGGACAGTTCTGGGTTAGCTTATACTCGTATATATGTATGAAGACAGTGAATATAAATCATACTGATTGCCACAGCTGTCATGTCAGGTACTGAAGTGGATAATGTATGCTAATCTTAGACCTTACTCAAAATTGAGCATCTCGGGTGGAAGAATCTGAACTCCTCCCAGCTAATTAGAGCACAGAGATTTGGACAATCAGAACTGACAAGCCTGTAGTCTATCTCCATGAAGTTAAGTCCTTGAGAAGCCAATAGGCATACAGCCACTCATAAAATCAGCAGCATGTTACCGAACCCAAAACTTCATTACTATTTTCACAAGAGCCTGCGACAGGTCTCTATCCTAAGCTAGATGAATCCAGTCTACACCACTCCATCCTATTTCTCCAAGATCCAGTTTATTACTATCTTCCCATTTACATCTAGGTCTTCCTAGTAATATTTTCTCTTCTGATTTTACCACCCAAAAACCTTGTATGCATTTGTTGGCTCTTCCATGTGTACCACATGTCCTGCCCACCTCATCCTTGACTTCATCAAGTCTAACCAATTACAAGTAAAACTTACGCAGACTACTGCAGATGCCTGAAATGTTGTCTGTTGTTATGCATGCATTTCTAGTATCTCCATTAAAATACATAACTCAGGACATGAAAAAGGAACCCGTATTGCAGGTGGGGTGTGGCAGGGTGATACTGAGACATGTGTATGGTGGGGGCCCTTCAGGGTCGGATTTCATGATGGGAGTAGGTGGGAGGACGGGTTTCGGCCTGATGGGGGGGGGCTGATCTGGTATATGGATGGTTCCAGGATGGGTGGGGGCACTGGAGCTGGTGTGTTTTGCTGTGGTGCAGGGTGGAGGCTTGGGTTCGGGTTCGGCTTCAGGCAGTGCATGACGGTGTTCCGGGCAGGGTATGTGCCATTGGGGGCATGTATTATGGAGAATCTGGATGGGGGCTGCAGGGGTGGCAGCATCTGCATTCTGTCTGGTGGCCGGGCTGCACTTGAAGCGCTTGACAAACACCAGATCAACTCAAAATTGGTCTGGGATTTCCACCAAACTCTCATGGAACTGGCCAAACATAACAGAGTACAACTGATATGGGTGCCAGGGCATGAGGGTATTGCTGGAAACAAAATAGCAGACCAACTGGCCAAGACTGGAGCTGAACATCCGTTCACAGGACCTGAACCATCCTGTGGCATCTCTATAGGAGTCGCCAGAAAGGCAATCATGGACTGGACAAATGTGAATCACAAGAAATACTGGGGATCCTTGACTGGAGTCAGGCAAGCAAAGGAACTCATATGAGGACCCTCTAATAAAAGAGTGAAGGAACTGTTGAAGTTGAACAAGGAACCAGCTACGATGGGTGGTGAGACTACTTACAGGACACTGTCACCTCAAAGGACACCTCTTCAAACTGGGACTGAGTGATGGGCCAACTTGTGAGAGGTGTCAAGAAGAAGATGAAGTAGCCACACGTGTCCTGTGCGAATGTGAGGCCTTAGCTTATTTAAGATTGCATCACTTGGGTCAATATTTTATGGAACCAAGTGACTATTTGTCCCCACATACAAAATCCTACACTTCATTCCTGGCGCAGGATTGTTGAGGGGATAATAAGAAGGGAAGGCATAATAGATCACTGTGGTCACAGTGCAAGGGCCAAGAAGGCCCACCCCTTATACATTCATTCATTCATTCATTCATCTCCATTATAGTTTATATTCACATATTGAAATACATTTTTTGGAAATCAGTGAGCCTAAAAAAAAACATGAAACCTCTCTCTCGGGTGAAAGGTGTGTATGAAATTTTCTAGGAGAATGTTCAAGACAGCCTAAGGGAGACTTCAAGATCTCTCCAGTGAGTACTTGGCATTTCAACTGACACTAAAGAAGTGCTGCACTGAAACTGATCATTCCTTATATGTGATAGTTGTGCTGGCTGGTGTATGACAGCATTGCGGCGCTCATGCAAAAATGGCATACAATCTAGTCATCCTTTTTCATTAAAATAAGTTTTCTACGGTTTTCGCGGGCAAAATAACCTACAAATAAACAATTCAAATCAAGATCTTCATCCGAACACTCCAAATATACAACCGCTGCCTAGGAAGTTTGGGACAATCAGTATCCTAAAATAAATACAAAGTTAATGTTTTAAAATAATATTAGTCTTACCTAATACTGGCCCTCTCCCTGCTTCATCGACTCCAAGAACACACGGCTCATCTAAACATAATTTTGGTAAATCAGAAAACAGTACTATATTCCTAGAATTATCATGTTTTAAAAAATATGACCCGAGACTTTCTGTTGACAATTTATTTCCGCTCATATTTGTGTCTTGCATGATCAACAATTTTCAATCGCAACAAACCCCAGCACTTACACAAAGCCCGCCACCGCATTTAACTTTCCTAGTTCCTAATGCCCCTCCTGCTGTAGTGTGAAAGGATTTGGTGGTTACCGGTGGTTATTACTGTCATCCGAGAACATTGATTGCTGTCGAATACTATCGTCAGGGGTACTAGATAAACGGACTACGCACTTATGCACACTCATTGTAATAATGTATGTTGTAATATTGGAGTACTGCGCAGGTGTTTAGTTAGCACATTTATTTAAAGTATAGTCCGGCAAAATTCCGTAATAGTCTAGGCTGTCTAGGCACATCTGTGGAAAGTGTTTGGTAGCCAGAAATATGCTGAGTATAAGAAATATATTTAAATTGGTATGTGACTTCACTCAGGGAAAGTATATGTGTACTGATAACTGTTTAATTTAACTGCAGTTTTGTAAGAAAGACGTTACGCTGAATCGTGTTTGTTGCTAGGTGCTTGGGAAGGTATGAGATCTAAATCGTAAGTTGTATTTTGTTTTGACTTCTTAAGTTAGTCGTAATTGCCAGTCAAATACCGATCGGAATAACATAATAGGACTTTTCAATTGTATTTATGCAGTCTTATGACATGGACCAGACCGCAAATGCTTTTATGGAAAATTTGATATCGAGTGGCGTACTGTTGACCGCCTCCGTGGTCTAGTGGTCAGGGTTCCTGGCTACAGACCAAGAGGTCCGGTTTCAATTCCCGACTCTACCCAATTTTCTGAGTAGTAGTGGGTGTTGAACGGGGTCCGCTCATCCTCGTGATGATAATTGAAGAGCAATTTTAAGGAAATAGCGACCCCGGTCTAGAAAACTGAAATTAACGGCCGTGGGATTCTTCGGGCTGACCACACGACACCCTCTATCCGCTGAAGTTGGCACTAACTTCGCCGACAAGCGGTGGTCGCTCGGTCGGTATAGTTCGCTTGTGAACTAACACCACGGAGTTTTTTTGTTTATGGCGTAGTGTTGCAGATGCGGGAACTTTCCGTAAATGAGAATATTGCCGGTCTCGCACATCATCATATCCATCATGGGAGAAAACAGAGATTAGGATGATGTACTCACTGCTCTAGGGTACTAGGCGATCCAGATATTGGCAAGCTAACTTTTATAACGAAGATTGTAGGTTAGGTTGTGATTTTCTTGCTTTACTTATATTTTGTCAGTGTTTAGACCTGTGGAGCCTGTGCCAAGTTTCAGTAGTGTTGGTCTAGCAGAGATGGTATATTTCCATCTATATTAAAAAAATCGGTCGTTTCCCCTATTTATAAAGGGGGGACTAAGGAAGATGCAAGTAATTATCGACCTATCACACTTGTTCCTACTTTCTCTAAGGTCTTAGAAAAAGTAATAGTTAATCAACTAATAGCCTTCTTAGATAAACATAATATTTTAAATAAATTTCAGTTTGGTTTTAGAAAGAAACATTCTACTAATGATGCTATTGCCACAGTTATTGAAAATATAATAGATAACTTGAATGATAAAATAAATTGTAATTGTGTCTCTTTAGATCTATCAAAAGCATTTGATTGTATTCAGCACAACATTCTTATGGATAAATTATATAAATATGGTGTCCGCGGTATTCCACATATGTTAATTAAATCTTATCTTACAAATAGAACACAACAGGTGAAAGTTTTACATAGGGAAACCAATGAAATAAAGGAATATCTATCGAGTAGCCTGCCAGTTAAATTTGGAGTCCCTCAGGGATCAGTTCTTGGTCCTTTGCTTTTTATTTTATATATAAATGACTTTCCTCACCTAACACAAGGTAGATCTATAATGTATGCTGATGATACTTCAATCTTGAATATGGGACAGAATATAAATGAACTCCAATATATAACTTCAACTAATATTGGAGTTGTGGAAAAATACTTTGAGATGAATGATTTATTCATAAATCCAACTAAAACGCACTGCATTTTTTTTCAAACAAAGCAATGTAGGCAGGACTATAAATATAAAATTTTAGTTAAGAATATGGAAATAGAAAATGTGAATAGTATAAACTTTTTGGGTGTGGAAATAGACAGCACCTTGAGTTGGGATGTTTATATTGATAGAACCTGCAGTCGAATTAGTCGTAACTTGTTTTTATTAAATAGACTTGCTAAATTATTAGACCTAAAGGGCAGAAGAATGTTGTATTATGGCTTGATCTTCCCCTTTTTATCATATGGAATTGTAGTATGGGGAAACAGTGCTAAGGCACTTACTAAAAGAATTTTTATTCTTCAAAAAAGAGCCGTACGGTACACTGCTGGGCTAAAACCCTTAGAATCTTGCAGAGACAGTTTTATACAACTAAAGATTTTAACATTATATTCAATGTACATATTTCAAACCATTTTATATGCAACTAATAAGTGTAACTGTACGGTAAATAAACAAGTACACACTCACAATACTAGAAACAAAAATGACTACCATAAATGGGTGCATAACTTGGAACTTTATAACAGCAAACCTTCCGTTGCTGGCTGTATCTTTTATAATAAATTACCCAATAGTATTAAACAGCTTGACAATAAAAACCAGTTTATAAGGGAACTTAAGAATTTGCTCATAAATAGATGCTACTACTCAATTGATGACTATATGAATGATAAATTCTGTAATGCTGGATAGTTATATATGCTGCATGTGATATTGCATTACATATTTTGTGAATTTGTTGGTTTATAATTTGTTGTAATTTTGTTGGTTTTATAACTCGTTTCATGAGATATGGCCTACTTTAATGTAGTCTGATCTGTGGTATGGGTAAATATGAATTAATTAATGTATAGATAATTCTGAATTATTGGAATTGTTACATGTTTGATGTAAATACTCATTGCATATTTGTGCGTTTATTGGTTTTGATCTTATTGCATCTTGCTAATTTTATAATTTATTTGAGTGAATGAATGTTTGGATAAATTCTGTTATGCTGCATATTGATATATGCTAGATATGACAGTCATTATATATTTTGTGATTTTATTTGTTATGAATTCTCGCACCTTGCTAATTTTATAATTTATTACTTGTGGCATGTTCTACACCTGTGTGATCCGATCTATGGATAGTAAATACTGAATATATGACTGTATGGATAAACTATGATATATTAGATTATGATACATGCTAGATGTAAATAATCATTACATATCTTGTGTGTTTACTGGTTTAGAATCTACTGTATTTTGTTAATTTTATATTTTATATTATGTGACATGTCCTATATCAATGTAATCTGATCTACAGGATGAATAAACATGAATGAATGAATGAATGAATGAGCATACTGTTTTTTTCACAAGAAGGACTCTACTTCAACTGACCATAAATATAGCCAGCATCCTTGTGCTGTGAGGAATAAGGGCTGAGGGTGTAGTAATGTCCATGTGGCTGTCCTCACCCAATAATGTTTGAACAAAATGATGGCTTTTCCACTCCCATTAGAGAACTACTTGAACAACTTGATTTTGGATAAACTGTAACAATGTGTAATATCAACCTGACAGTTATTCAAACATGGTGGGAGCAACACTAATACCACTATTGGAATATTCTGTTTTATGTGATAACATTAAAATAACAATATGACAAATGCACACCTTATTTGATGGTGGCTGCTGTTGGAGCATTTGAACTAAGCATGTGAAGTTTCATAAAGGAATAGCTTGTAAACATTCCTACAAATTTTGTATGAAATATATTTTTATGTAAAAACGAGCGTGACGATAGTATGAAACTCTGAGATTGTATTGCATTAGTCGAATTTACACACAGATGTGTATCAGAATTGTATGAATTTAATTTACAGTCATTTGAAGGAAAGAAGGTAAACATTTGCAGTGCATTTTAGTTGATTTTTCATTTTGGATGTTGGGTTTCTTTCCTTTATTTACAGTCAGTTGTAATTTATGTTCTTTACCAACAGTAAAAGTTTATGTTTCATGACTACGATGCAGCTAGTAATGCCATTTATCTCTGGTTATCTTCAGTATTTTGGAAGGAAGACATTTTAACTTTTTGACTTTAGCTTCAGAACACTGCTTTAAGTGAAGTTCAGTTTATAACTATGTGGAATAACATTTATAATGGTCTGAAATAAATTTTTCAGGTTCAGAAGGGGATTGGGCATGTTAAAGGAAACAATTTGCATCTTAGTAACACATTATTATGTCAGCAGCGCACCTTGTCACATGCTGCTCCAGGAAGTCCAGCTTCATTGTATTTCTTCACAGAGGAAGAAAAGATGATGAAGGAAACTGGTATAAGTTAAAAATTAAGACCTTGCATGTTAACAGTACCTTAGGATAACTGAAGTACAGCTATTATATGTGTAACTCCCAAACCGTGTATATCAGTAAATTGAAACCACTTTTAATTAGTCCTGGAGTAGATGTTATGTTTTTGTATTCTGGTCCATAATGAGTCATTGTCTTTAGTTTGATATTTGTTAAGCTTTGATGAGATATAGTTGAAAATGGTTTATCATATAAGAAAACATAAAACATAACTACTTTAATTTGACCAGCAGAGTGCTGGGTCAGGGAGATGAAGCACCCAGCTTGAAAATTGAGGATGTGATGATGTGTATCCTGTGCAGGTCTGTTGCATATCCCAGGGGTGCTGATGGACAAGTATAGAAGGAGGGTGGAATAATGATTAGCAAAGGAAAACTGAAAAAATTCAGAGGCACCTGCTTCATTGCCACTTTGTCCATTGTGAATCTCACATGAACTTGGCTGGGATTAAATACTGGGCTTTACAGTGAGAAGCCAACATCTAACTGCCTGAGCCATGGCACTGCCATAAAAAATGATACTGAAATAACTTTCTGAGTCCTTTAGATTTTCATTGAAATGTTTTTAGTTTTGTGTATGATAATGGGCAAAATAATTTCACCAAACATGTTTTGAGGTTCAAAGATTTTATTACTCACATGAAATGTTTCTAGGTGATGATGGTCCAGGTTGTCTGTCATTTGCAGTTGATTGCAAGGTTGGCTATAATTTGTATCAAGAAATAGTGCTTGCACCATAGCTAGTGTCAGTACCATGAAGGAAGTTACGCTTTTTGTCTCATGGCTCTTTTATATTAGTTTTGTGTTTACTGCAAGATTCATAATCTTTCAAATACATCTGTACCATTACATGTTGATATGCATGCTATCTTGCAGTTGAGTGAAATTGTAGGCTTCTTAATAATGTTATTAGCTAACACAAGTTCTTCAGAATACTGTTAACAGGGATACCTTTTTACTTTACTATATGATTCTAATTGGTAGTCCCGTGTATGCTTGATAAATATTTTAGTAAGACCACTCTGCTTACCTGATATTGCAAAAAATGGTGGGTTCCCTTATCCAAGTGCATTTCACACTGACATAAGAAATTCTATGACACATCTGTCACCTGTTCTGAATTTTAGAATAACATTCTGGAATTTGATCTGTAAAGTGTGGTTTATTTCTGTAGACATTCTGTTTCAAATGGATAATCACACACATTCATATCTGGGGAATGTGATGGCCATAGCCCTCTACTGATTATTTGTTCATTTAAAATAGCATGTAGGGTCAGCATTGAGTTTCCTTTGGGATGTTTGCTGGTGTATTGTCCTGCTCAAAATACTCGTAACTAATTTTCAATAGCTGTTCAGTATTCTAACTTGTTATAAGTGACCACATATGTGACGAATACTCATGGCTGTCTGGTCACAAGACTAAGCATGAAGGTCTTTGTTCATTGAAAACAGCATGTAGAGTCACCATTGCATATTTTGTGATGTTTGCTGGTGTATTGTCCTGCTCAAAATACTTATAACTAATTCTCAGTAACTATTCAGTATTGTAACTCATTATAATTGATCACATATGTGAGGAATGCTCATGGCTGACTGGTCACAAGAACACACATGTAACAATTGAAGGAAATGGTGTATGCACTTCTTAGCTTGCAGGAATGAATTTATGTCATGCCATAACTTGGCCATTAAGTTCCCCAGATCTGAATTTGTGATTTTTGTGGTATCAACCGTGTGTTATCTTGATTCTGACAGTGTTGGTCTATTATCAGCTTAAAGTGACCTGTGGGGGTGTAATTGGATGTTGTGTGACTCAGATTTCAGTATATATTGTAATGTAAAGTAAGTGAAGTGGCTTTACTGAAGACATTCATGGAGTATGGACAAGACTATCAGATCCCTGGGTTAGGGTGTTACCATCATATCAGTAAGAAGCTGTCCACTAGCTAGCATTTCATTCTTCACACCGACAACAAATGAAGGAATGAACATACCCACACATTCCTCTACAGCATGTTGTACAGGACTATATTAGTTGCAGTCTTTTTTTAAAATATAAACTGAAACAAGTTCAGTGATGATTAATTTAGATTTTATTTATGTTCATAAGACAAAATGTGCTTGACCTTCACAGATTTCTGAATAATGAATGTGTGTGATGAAAGTGAATATGAATGTAGTAATCTTCCTGTAGGAGTATGGTGTGTCATAAGTAATTTGTTAGTTAGTTGGTGTTTAGATATAGATTTTTGTGAAAAGTAAGAATTATGCAAGTACTAATAAATATGTGATGATTGCTGTTCTTTGTTGTAGTTACCAGTCAACATTATTACTGCTAGAAAGTTAATAGAATTTTCCGTCCAGTGCGGCAATAGAGGTCACATCACTTTTATTATTCTTGCCTTACATGTTTTGGTTTAATTAAAACCATCATCAGAGGCACTTTTCATATGACAGGAGACACTGTTAATTAAGCTGGTTTGATGTTCACTTTCAGTTGTGTTATTCACAAATGTATGTTTCATATTATTGTCGTAGGTTTTAGTTACGACGGCACTCGTCGTATAAAAACATAAACATATAAAATAATTGAGTATGCCAATAGGCTATACGCAGCACAGGAATTATCACTTTTCCCACAGTAGATTCCTTATGTTTGGATTAAATCACTATTAAACTATTTAAAATTTAATTCAAATTGTCGTAAGTCGTTGTTGGTTGTCAATTCTTCCTGTGGATGGGAGTCGTCGTTCTTGGTGGTGTGTGGGCTTGTATGCATTATGATGTTACATGTGTGCTGTGTCCTTTGTACAGCAACATACTTACTGTGAATGATATAATTATGCATAACACTGGAATTTTTTTCAGTTTCAAGATTAGCAGAAGAGAAAATTTCACCACTTGTGAAAAAAATGGAACAGGACTCAAAGTTTGATTCTAGCGTAGTAGATGCACTTTTTAAAAATGGGGTTAGTACTGACTCTGCGAGTATTCTTTATTTCTTTTCATTCATTCTTGTGAAGTGCGTTTTCTTGCCATTATTCAACAGCACTGGTGTCAAATGTGACAAATAAATTGTTGGTCCACATCATTATCTTCAAACTCTCCTAGAACTGTTATTTCTCATGGGTTATTTAATGATACTTTTAATTACTTATGCTATCTAATATGAAATTAAGACAATAATTTTTAAAGGAGGTGGCTGTGGTCTATTTAAAATGCTGTTAGATTGTGGTCTTCCAGGTTATGACATTGTGCACTCTGGCAGGTAACCATCTATTGAACTATATGGTATTGTGACCCAGAAGACAGCCTTTTGAATTTTCAGCACTATGAAAACCTGACATCTTATATGCTTGAAGAAATTAGTCTCAGAAGTTGATAAAGGAGAATGAAGAAAAGAAAATCTCAAAGACAACAATCTTCTAAGATGTGACACCTTATAGTCTGTAGAAATTTATCAGTATTTCAGAGGAATATGTTGCTTCCAATTCAGAATTGAAGAGTAAGTCAAGGAAACAAACAAGCAGCAGAGTAACTCTGCTTGCTTCTTACTTGTTTGCTTCCTGGACTTCCTCTTTGACCCTAAATGTGGAAGCAGAATGTTACTCTGAAGTGTCAGTAAACTTCTACGCAGGCTGTGTGGCATAACATCCAGAAGATCGTATTCTTCATAGTTACTGTCATGAAAACCTCAAATCTCACACAATTGAACCTCATTCAACATAGTCAGCCCCCCTCCCCCCAGTTAAAATTTGAGCCAGACAGTACCCTGCAAATGGGGTTTCTGAAAAATTTTGCATTTAGATCTTTATTTACTCTAAGTGAAGTTCAAGTCAGATATATTCAAATTTTCAGAAATGGTTTGTCAAGCAACAGATTTGTATGTCACAGAATTTAGGCATCTTTGAGGTCTGTTTTTTTTTAATAGTATATATTTAATGATATTAAAGCAATTTCTTTTTGTGAACAGTTGCAATTTTTGTGCTGGACTGGGGATTAGCTGTAATGATTTCTGTCTGCAGTAAATGAAGATAAAAATCAGTGAGATATGCAGAATTGCAAAAAACATATTTAGAAAATTTGTGTGTTGTAGATTTGAATACATCTTTCCACTCTTCTGTTATTTTAGTGATAGATGTGTGCATAGACCTGGAAGGTACTGTGAAGGTGAGAATTAGGTATAAATTTCAAGGTCATTGGGATGCACATGTGGAAAGATTTGGTCGGACATGTTGGAAGTATCGAATGGATTGGTTACTGCATGATGTTAGCTACAATAATATACTTGAGTATATATCCTCTAATATTTTCATGCTTTCTTTCTTGTTCTAGTTAATGGGCATTGATGTTGAAACAGAGTATGGAGGTTCAGGGCTGTCTTTCTTTGCATCAGTATTAGCAGTGGAAGAGGTAGCCAAAGTGGATCCATCTCTCAGTATCTTTGTGCATATTCAAAACACTTTGGTGAATGCCCTGATAAGTAAAATTGGCACTCTGGAACAAAAAAAGAAGTATCTACCCTTATTAACTCAGAGTGTGGTAAGCTTTGAAAAGAGTTGTAAACAGATCATGTACATGTTACTGTTTTTTCAGTTTACATACTTCATCATTCCTAATTACAGGCTGGAAGTTTCTGCTTGTCTGAATCTTACTCTGGAACAGATGCCTTTTCTCTGAAGACAGTTGCAAAGAAGGAAGGAAATGAATATATTATAAATGGTTCAAAAATGTGGATATCAAATTCAGACATTGCCGAAGTGTTTATTGTCATGGCTAATGCAAATCCATCTGCTGTAAGTATACATACAATTTGAATTTTTCTAAAAGCAGATTCTATATATGATAAAATATAAAATTAATGTGACAGGTTCTGTACAAACAGCCAATATATGCTGTAGTGTGAGCAGTTGATATCGCCCCTGCACCCTCTTTTTGGCCAAATGATACGTAACAGTACTTGATGAATTACTAGGTTTTTGGACTTTTTCCAGCTTTCGCGTATTCTAGGGACTAAAAAATGTGACATTTCGAAACTGGATATGTTTATGTCCTCAGGTGAGGGGAGAGGGAAGACACCTACTCAGTTGGGTCCCTTAGAGAGAGCTAACCCCAGTCACTGGATAACTCCTCTTAGATTCACACACCTATTTAGTTACCTGAGCCCAGGCTAATTTGACAGGATATAAGAAGAAAATATGCAATAAAAATTATGCACGCACATGCATTGGATCTAGGATAGAAAAGGACGTAGAATTTTGTGTTACAAACCTGGCCAACAAAACAAAGTGCTTGAGCACCAATGCAAAGAAATGGAAAAAAAAAATTGTGAAGACATATAGTATTTACCGCTAGCACCATCTGCGGAGCAAAACCTGAACACTCAAGACTGAAACCTCATGGAAAACCATGAAGAATCTGTCACATCATAGAGATCTTCTCTGTGAGATAGAAACATTGCTGATGAGGGGGATCCATATAGGAGCAATGTCCAAACTGGGTTGGCTGATTAGATTGGTTAAGCATGCAATATGGGCCAATCCCTTGTATTTTCTATACCTGCTGTTACTTTCAATTTCCCAAATCCAACCATCATCCCAGCCTATTCATAGGCCCTCTTCATAGGCATGTTGGGCTAATTTTGATTTTTCTAGAAGACCCTGTTGGAAATCATGCCTGTGTTCATGGAGCCGCACAGCTAGAGGTCTGCCTGTTTTACCAATGTGGCTTCTGCTGCACACATGCTGGTCTCTTGCTTGACTTTTCAGTTCTGAAGTGGATGCAGTATGTTTCTCCAAAATGTTGGTTGACTTTACTGAATTACTTGGTGTTATATCCCAGAAGCCATAACTCTGAATTCTACAGCTGTTTGGCATGTGTGTGTGTTTTGTGATCTTTTGAATATCACTCTCTTTCTGTGTTATGTTCTTTCTGTTATGAAATATTGATAGGAGACATGGTGTAACTCAGTGCAGCCCTGAGAATTCATTAGGCTGACATAATTATTAAGTTTGCATATTTTATATTAAGTTTCCCAAATAAAATCTGTGGATGAAAGATTAATATGATGAAATGGAGGCTGGAAGAAGAAAGAATATTTCAAGAGGAAGGCAAATGAGAAGTATTTTTTGGTAAGTATGAAGTGATACTTCTGTAAGCTGTGTACAACTTGATTTCATTTGATTTTTGTCACTTTCCAAACTTCCAGACATTTTGTGAATACTTTGTTTCTGGGTTGCTGAACTTTAGATGTGAAATTCAGCATCCTTTCAGAATGCTATATTCATTACTGCTGCTTGCTTATTTTTGTAATCTAAGGCATACATTGTGTCTCTTAAAGCCTGTCTTTAATTTTAATGTAACCTCACCTTCACAAAAGAATCTCTGGCAACCAAGTCATGGTACTGTGGCTATTACTTCTGTGTGGAGAAAATTCCACTAATACCTTGAGACAGAATGTAACCATTACATTTGTAGAGAGGCAGATGTCACTACCATAGTTAGGTTTAGTTTAGTTTGTAGTTCTTTAAATTTGTAGTTATGAATAGGTAGTATGAATTGACTCTAATTTTTTTAGCTGGTTTTTAATCTCTATATTAACTTACCTGTGTTGTCTTTGTCTTGTGTCGATAATGAATTCAGACATTAATTTCTCATTCTTAACTTTTTCAAGGGTTACAAAGGAATTACCTGTTTCATCGTTGAAAGAAATAGTCCTGGATTAAATATAGGCAAGAAAGAAGATAAACTTGGGTTGAGAGCTTCTGGGACTTGCATGATTCAGTTTGATAATGTGAGGGTAGGTTTCTGTACATTTCATTACAGAGTGCTGTCACATCTTCTGTCAGTTTTCATTATATTAGCTCAGATATCATCATTTGGACCTCTGATAAATATAGTTTTGAAATATACCTGCTTTGAAGATGAAAATTTTATTAAACAGTTGTAAATTATTGCTAAAACTGGGCTTCATGGGGACTCAAGTTTTATTGAAATGCTGTGCTAAATGATATAAAATGAAAGAATGTAAAGTAAAACGTCTACTCAACAAATTGTAACTGTAAAATCACAAAATTTTCAGTTGTACAACATATTTTTATATCACATCCAGCTCTGGATGTAAGGGTATCATAACTGATTCTGTTATTGTAAAGTCAGGTTCTATGAAAGATTCTAAATATGTTACTGAAACAAATGAAGTGCCCTGTATTAAAATTGTTCTGTTGAAGGTACCAGAAAATAACATTCTTGGAGAACTTGGCAAAGGCTACAAATATGCAGCAGGATTTTTGAATGGTAGCCGCATTGGTATAGGAGCACAGATGGTTGGCATAGCTCAGGGTTGCTTTGATGCCACCATTCCATACACATTAGAAAGAAAACAGTTTGGAAAGAAAATATTTTCGTTCCAGGTATGCATTTGTTGTACTATGAAATTGATTTTGAAATGACTTTATATATTGAAACATTTCCACTTCATATTCAAGAGGCACATAGTTAAAGTAATGGTTAGAGCATCAGCTATACTTGATATTTTGATAGGTTTCTTGTGAGAAAAATTATAGAATTCTAACTTGAAATAGGTCTTCACACCCTTTTCAGTTTATTGTATCATCCTCTCATTTCAGTCAGTGCTACTTAATAAGTGATTACAGCAGTTCATAGGATAAAAGTAACCTACCCATTAACCAAGATTTGAAATATATTCTAAGACATTCTGAAGAGGGAACTTAAAAGCATGGAATGACTGACAGGTACAGAGGCACTTCTTGAATTGGTATTATAATTTTTCAACCCATCAAGTAGTCAACGCTCAGCATGCTGTAAAGTTTCTTAACACTATCCATGTGATGGGGATGGACTGGCAGGCTGTATAGTGGGGCTTTGTTGCTGTATTATCTCGTGATTATCAGACACTTCTAGAAGTTATTTTTCAACTTGTGACTTGTCAGAAAAAACTGTGATGTTCATAGTTTCTGTTATTCTTACCTCGTATAATACACACTCGTCTTCCAATACAACAAAATATGTTAGTCATAAATAATCTCTGCTGCTGAATTAACTTTGAACAAGTTGACCTACTGACAAGCTGTGTGATAAAAGCTTTTGATACTTTTTTTATGTAATCTAGATTTAACAACATACTAGAGAAAAAATATTATGTTGCAGTACAGTGTTACATGAGTGTGGGTTATTAGCTTTGCAGTTGTAAATTGTTTAAAAAATGTCACACATAAGGTCACTGAGGTATGCAAAATTTCAAACTTTATTTAAAAAAAAGAGTTTTAACACTTCTGTCTTTTATTGAACCTTCCTTCATTTCTCTTGCAACCCCCCCCCCCCCTACATATACTGTATAATTCTCGAGGGTTTTAATTTCAGGCAATGCAACACCAAATTGCCCGTGTGGCTACAGAAATTGAATGTGCTCGTCTCTTGGTGTATAATGCAGCTCGTCTGCTTGAAGCAGGGCAGCCATTCATCAAACAGGCTTCAATGGCAAAGTATTATGCATCTGGTAGGTATAAACCAGTGTTGGAGACCCATATATATGCATGCCATATAAGTGATGAGCAACATTTCTGCCTGGGCACTTGACACGCTAAAGAACAAGTGAGGATCTTAAAATGTAAAATTATTCCTATATCTGCACACCAGGGAGTGTAGGTAAAATATTGTACATTATTAATGTTGGCACTAGATTTAAGTGAATATCCTGCTTCATATTCTGAATCAAAGGTTGTACTCGCATTATTTAATGATCTGACAGTCACAGTTTTTAATGCTGGGGATTACATACATTTTTTTATGCTGAAATTACTTGGCATTCAAAATCGTTATTTTTCTTTTTAATTGTGAATTTTAAATGATTGAAACTTCTCAAATGATCAGTTTCATCAGTCTCTGTAGCAGGCAATGGAAACAGAGATGGTTTCCAAAATGTTGGACATTTCTTCCAGATTGACATACATGATAGCCTAAGAACATTTTTTCACTTTCAGTTGCTATGAAACCTTCAAACTTTACATCAAGTAGAAGAAATGGGTGCACCCTTGATATAAATTGTATAGCTGTAAAGGAATAAGGTTGCAGATCTTTGTGTTTTGAATATGTTTTAAACTAGATGGATGAGGCAAACAACAATCATCTTTTACTGTGTGTATGTTAGCTGTGAGCTTTTTTCAAACTTCTTGATTCTCTTTAATATTACATTCTTATAAAGTTCACTTTCATCTTGTGTCCATGAACTACTCATTCAGGACTGCTTCATCGTCATTGGCAAAAACAGCCCCTTTTGAACCATAGCCTTCCTTAGAAGATTCTGCCAGACTTGTCTGTTCCTGGGAATTAAACCATGTGGTTTTCACTTCTTTTGATTTTGCAGCAACAGTTTTTTTTACTATGCAGTGTCGTCAGTCTTGTGTCGAACCCCCAGCGTGGAGGATTTCTTCTCTGTATTTATGCCCCCCAGTGACAGGGTGGCCCAGTTACACCCCCAGGTATCAGGGTCACCTCCTACAAATCACAGGGTTATGCTGGAGGTATTCTAACTTACCTCCACACAAGATTCAGGAATGCTTGAAACATCTAAAAAATAAGACTACAGAATTGTTGTCCTACATACCTATAATATGAAGCCCAGTGTAAATAAAGTGAATAGAGTTAAATGCCGTATTTAGTGAATATTTGTTCTGGTCCCTGCCATAGTCCAGTATAAATTCAGTATTATCATTGTTCATTTAGTAAATAATATGCATTTAGTGTAAGAAATTTTTAACTTTCCAGAACTTTACCATGATTGTTGTCAAAATAACAATGCTTGTTCACATTTCTACTCTGCCATAAATTGTTTCTGCATAGACACTGTGTTTATTACATTTCATTATTTTAAAATATAACTATGAGTAGATATTTTTTATGTAATTGCATTTGTGTAGAAATGATTTGACTTATGCAAACAAAGTATTTTATCATAAATGTATACTGTAAGAATGGAGGGAAGATGTGAATATATTGAACAAGAGTCACGGACAGCCAACAAGGGGTGGTCCTCCAGCTGGGGGGTTGGGCATGGGGCTAACAACTCCTCACTGTAAAAAATAAGCTTGTTATGAAAATTTGCAAGAAGCTTCAGACCTGGACGGATTCCTTGGATAAATGACCCAAGCAAAAGAAAATGGATACAAGATTTGGTACTTGGAATGTTAGAAGTATGTATAGGGCAGGTTCGCTCAGGGCAGTGGTGGACGAAATATCAAAATATAAGTTAAATTTCGTGGGAGTACAAGAGGTCAAATGGGATGGAGGTGGCACTGAACCAGTAGGCAAATATACATTTTTCTATGGAAAGGGGAATGAAAATCATGAATTAGGTACAGGTTTTTCCATACATAGGAGAATTATATCAGCAGGTAAGAGGGTAGGGTTCATTAGTGATAGGAAGTCATACTATTAAGAGGTTGCCGGTGTGATATCATTGTTCAGAATGTCCACATCCCAACAGGAGATAAAATTGATGATATAAAGGCCATATTTTACGAAGAACTAGAACATGTATTTGATAAGAAGTACCATATGAAAATTTCATTAGGAGATTTCAGTACCAAAGTAGGAAGGGAAGACATTTTCAAACCAATGATTGGGAATGAGTTTGCACAAAATTGGTAATGATAATGGAGTTATGAGTAGTAAAATTTGCCACATCAAAAAATTTTTCTGTCAAAAGTACAATGTTCACATGTTGTAACATCCATAAATTTACATGGACATCACCTGATGGGAAGACACACAGTCAAATAGACCATATTTTGATAGATGGGAGATGGCATTCAAGTATACATGATGTCCCATCATTCAGGGCAGCAGATTGTGATACTGACCACTACCTGATGGTGGCAAAGGTTAGGGAAAGACTGGCAGTGAGCAAACGAACAATGCACAGAGTTCATATGGGGAGAGGTTCAAACTCAAGAAATTAAACAAGGTAGATGGTAAAGAGCAGTATCATGCTGACATCTCAAATATGTTTGCGGCTTTGGAAATGTTAGACACTGAGATGGATGTTAATAAAGCTAGGAAAACTATTAGAGAAAATATCAAAATTTATGCCAAGGAAAGTCTAGGTTATTATGAACCAAAGAAGCATAAGCCATGGTTCGATGAAGGATGCTCAAAATTATTAGATCAAAGAAAGCAGGCCAAATTGCAGTGGTTACAGGATCCAAGTGGGTTAAATGGGGATAATTTAAACAATATAAGACGTGAAACCAGTAGGCATTTCAGGAATAAAAAGAGGGAATATCTGAAAGACAAAATTGATGAGCTTGCAATGAACAGTAAGAACAAGAACATTAGACACCTGTATAGAGGAATAAATGACTTTGAGAGGGGTTACCAACCTAGAAGTAACTTAGTGAAGGATGAGAATGGTGATCTGCTTGCAGATTCCTACAACATTTTGAATAGGTAGAACTATTTCTCTCGGTTATTGAATATACATAAGAGTCAATGATGTTAGGCAGATAGAAATACATACACTTATAGTCTGTCGAATGTTCCATCATGAAATACATACAGCTGAGCCATTAGTACCTGATCCTCGCCCTTTTGAGGTTGAAAGTGCTATTGAAAAAGTGAAAAGATATAAATCGCCAGGTAGTGATCAAATTCCAGCAGAACTTGTTCAAGCAGGAGGTGAAATATTACATTCTAAAATCGATAAGCTAATTACTTCTATTTGGCATAAGGAAAAATTGCCTGGTCAGTGGAAGGAGTCTACTATTGTACCAGTTCACGAGAATGTTGATAAAACCGAATGTAGTAATTATCGGGGGATATCAGTGCTATCAACATAATACAACATTTTATCCAATATTCTTCTCTCAGGGTTAAGTCTATACATAGATTAAATTATTGGGGATCATTCATAGACTTCAAGAAAGTCTGTGATTCAGTTAGGAGGGAAGTATTGTACAGTATTCTGATAGAGTTTGGGATACCCATGAAACTAGTTAGGCTGATTAAAATGTATTTAAACGAAATGTATGGTAAAGTCCGTATAAGTAAACATTTGTCTGATAATTTCCATATCCAGAATCATCTAAAACAAGGAGATGCTTTATTGCCACTCCTTTTCAACTTTGCTTTAGAATATACCATTATGAAGGTCCAGGGAAACCAGTTGGGACTGAAATTAAATGGGGCACATCAGCTGCTGGTATATGCTGATGATGTGAATCTACTGGGTGATAATATAGATACCATAAAGAGAAACACACAGACTTTAATTGTTGCTAGTAAGGAGCTTGGTCTCAACATCAACACAGACTGAGGATGTTTGAGAACAGGGTGTTGAGGAGAATATTTGGACCGAAGAGAGTTGAAGTGACAGGATGTTAGAGGAAGCTACGTAATGAGGAGTTTCATAACTTGTACTCTTCTCCCGGTATAATTAGCATGATCAAGTCAAGGAGGAGGAGGTGGGCAAGGCATGTAGCACAAATGGGGGAGAAGAGGAATGCATATCATGATTAGATTCAACTAGTCTTTGCTATAATGGCACCTCCAAGAGGGAGAATGGTAGCTGGAAAATTACTGCATGGCAAGTGGACGTCTGTGCATCACAGATTTGTTTTTGAACAACCATACAAAAATGGCAGATTTTCTTTTAAATTCTTGCTGGTTGGACAAGAATTCCAGATGCTTGGATACTGGATAACTAGGAGTAGACTACAGTTTGGTTTTAATACTCTATACAGAGGAAAAATAGGAGCCGGGACAGTGTAGTCAGCATAGTGACTAGCTATGGGCTGGATGATTGACAGGTTGGAGTTTGAGTCCTGGTAGGGTCAAGAATCTTCTCTTCTCCATGTTGTCCAGACCGGCTCTGGGGTCCACATAACCTCCTATCCAATGGGTATGGAGGCTCTTTCCCCTGAGATAAAGCGGCTGGGGCGTGAAACTGACCGCTCACCTCCAGCTAGTGCCAAGGTCAAGAAAATGTGAATCTATACATCCACTCCTGCATATGCCTTCGTGGCATAGTGCTTAATTATTTAAGCACAGTGACAACTTTACCTTACACAGGGAAACTAAGTAATTTGGTCTTTGTCGTCAGCAAGATAAAGCAATAGTAATTTGCAGTAATCCCCTTATAGACAAAGTTACACTTCGTCATGTATGAAAGTGGAGCATGGTGTGCCACGAGGATTAGTGTTGGGGCTGTTTTTATTTTTGTTATATATAAATGATCTCACTGAAGATGTTCAAGGGGCAAAGTTGGCCTTATTTGCAGATGATACTACTTTGTTAATTGCCAGACCAAAGGAAGTTGACCTCCAACATAAAATAAAAACATGATGAGAGAGCTAGAAATATGGTTTGAAAAAAATAATCTTGTAATAAATTTTGAAAAAAAAAATTGCTGTCATTTCATCCAAAACAAATGAGAATTCTGTTAAGACCACAAATAAATTTTAAAACTGTAGAAATCACCTATCAGAGCTGCAATTTTTAGGTATTTACATCACAGAAAACCTAAAATGGGGCGCCCATGCTCGATTTCTAAGAGCTAAGCTATGCAAAGTAGTTTATATGATAAAAACATTAAAAGAAACTATGAGCCCATATATGATAAGAAATATCTACTTTTCAATTTTTGAGTTGTCTGCAGTATGGTATTATATTATGGGGATGGAATAATGGAAGTGACAATTAATTAATTAATTCACTTAGTGGGGGAGTGGAGTCCAACTGGGTCCACTCGGCAAGGCGGCCACTGATTGGCCTATTGTAGCCTGCCCTGGGTGACTATGATGATGGAGAATTTGGTGGAATGAAGATTGGGGAAACTGAAGTACTCGGAGAACACCCATCCCGGCGCCACTTTGTCCACCACAAATCCCACTTGACCAAACCCGGGATTGAACCCGGGCCGCCGTGGTGGGAAGCCAGTGACTAACTGCTTGAGCTGTGGCATGGCCCACGGAAATGACAAACTCTTTAAACTGCCAAAAAAGGTCCTTCAAATTATCAGTGGGGTTAATAATCGAATGTCATGCAGACGAATTTTTAAAAACTATAATATTTTAATGTTGTCTGTGCTATACATACTTGGAAGTGATATGTTTTATTAAAAAATATAAAGACTATGGGAAAAAATGTTGATATCCATAATTACAGTATGCGAAGAAAACTAAATTTACATGTAAATCATTGCAATACAATTATTTTTAAAAAGTGTGTTAAATATGGGAATCTCCTTGTATAATAAGGTCCCTGAGCAGATAAAATTAAAGAAAAATTTTAACTCTTTTAAGAGGGACTTAAAATCCTTTCTGTTGAAACATTCCATATATTCCATTGATGAATTTGTGTCCCTTTCATTCTTAAGTGAGTGTGTTATGGTTTCATGTTATGACAAATATGTTGTCCTCACTTATTCTATAAAAAAAATTTTGGATGCAGAGTTTCTTTTGCTTATTGAACTGTTGCAAGTGGGATGATGTACTGTTATGAGTGATGTGTATGAAACCTGTACGTAGTTAAGACTCGTGTATGATATCTATTGTCACGTGTTAGGTGTATAACGTGACAAATAACTTCACGCCATATTGAATATAGCGAATTTATTCCACTCGCTCTTACAATCACACAGTTTACAACTTGCCAACTACTGCTATCAGCAGTATCACAAATACTTCTCCTGTAGTCATTGCCATGCACTTGATCCAACCCGACTTGGCAACCACTACAATTCAACTGACTGCTTAATCGTTACTCACTAGTAACTGGCTCAATCCCCACGCACTACTGAATCGTGTTCGCTGCTCCTTATTTAGCCTCAGCACAGACAACACAGAAAACAGTTATGTGATAGGTACCGCTGTTGCCTGACGCCTTGTTTACCAGTGTTGCTAGCAATGCTGCCGAGAGTTGTCTCCTGCTGTATAGCAACCGCTGTATCCCTTGGTAACAACACAGCTGCTCCTCTGCCACATCACCGCGGGGGAGGGGGGGGCGCCCACCAAGCGTTGCGTACTGGTGGAAGGGGTGGGGGTATGTGACGTCACTCGTGAGACTACGGAGTTCACGCAACCCCTACTTCCCGTTGCGCCATCCACATCACAATATGTTATATTAATATGTAGTTACTGACTTGTTCTATATCTGGAGGTTGTATCACCATATATGGATTCTTGGAACAGATAAATTGATTTCTATAAATTCTTTGATATAACTGGCAGATTCATGTGACCATCAAATCTCATTAACCATACATGCCAGATAATGAGTTTACTGTAATAAAAATGTTAGCATATATTTAGATGAATTATATTTGAAGTGATTTGATTGGAATTTTTTTTGTTCATTTTGTTGTAGAAGTGGCAGCTACTACAACAGCTAAATGTATTGACTGGATGGGTGGTGTTGGATTCACAAAAGACTTCCCTCAGGAAAAGTTCTATAGGGACTGCAAGGTAGGCACTATTTATGAAGGAACGAGTAACATACAGCTCAATACAATTGCAAAATACATTGAACAAGACTACACTGTATGATGATAAAGTATTCTCACACACTCCCCCAAGTCTATAACAAAAGGCATGCATGATATTATTTTAGGACAAAATCAGGATCAGTGGTATATGCAAATTGGAGAATTATGTGCAATAATTTACAGAGAACTGAAGTGTCAATATTTGTTATATTCTTTTAATGTAAAGTAATAAGAAAATTATATTTTATATGCATTTACAAAGAGAAGTTGTTTCATATTCCCATTACAAGTCATTATCCATTTCCTCAATGACTTTTAAGTATTCCTTCACAAGTTGATGTGCTGTAGGGCGCCTTTCAGGGTTTGGATTTTTGCAGCTTTTATGCAGAGAAAACAAATGATAGCGTGCCATATCACTATTTGGAACATCCTCCAGCAAATGTTCACAAACAGATGCAGCTTTCCATATATCTGTCTTCTCATTATATCCGGGCATTTTACTATCATCAAATGGGGTTGAGAAAGGCCACAACTGTTCGGGTGCAACAAAGGCACCAGTGAGTTGTTGATGACCACATTTAATAGTAAGATTCAATTCCTGGTTAACCTCTGGTAAAGCATCAAGGTCATTTAATATCAGTGCCAAATTGTCTGTTACCAAAAGTTGACTCAGCAGTTTTTGTAGGTCATTAGAATCGCACATAACTCGAGTGCCAGATGGACTGTTATGCAAATATTCTAGTAAAGATGCATAATTCAAACAGAGGTTTAACCTGGATTTCAAATTGTGAGAAGACAGATTTGTAATATTTACAGCATTTCCATTCTTATGGTATTCAGTTAAAATAACATTCTCCATTTCACAAAATCCTACTAGCTGAACCACAAATGGACTAGGCTGAAATAATTTTAGCATATTTAAACCATACTTAAAATCGCTTAAATAGTATGGATTGTTAAGTCTGGAATATGCTAGAGAGAACTCTTTCCATGTTGCTCTATATACAGCTTTAACTGCACCCAATCCTATTGGTTCTTTCACAGCAATGAATTCCGATTCTGAACAGGTCAACCAGGAATGACAGGAAGTCATACCTGGCAAATGAAAATGCCCAGAATGACACTTTAAATTACTAATTAATGTATGTTGCCAAAAAATCAGAGATATGCCTGATAATGGCACTAAAATAAAGCAGACTAGTGTCAATTTTCTCATTGTGGAACATCACATCATTTAGGATCTTTCGGTAACTTGAAGCCCACCATATCAGCAGTTTCCTTGACAGAACGTTCACCTTTTGCATGGTACTGATTATGAATTTCCTCGAACCGCCTTTGACTTTGAAGGTAGCAAAGGTATGATAGGGCCAAAAATTTCATTTCCTCTTGTGCCTTGCAAAGCTGTTGGTCAGTTTCTTTGTACTTGTGAAACTGCATCATTATGTATTTAACAAGTAGTGAGTCGTGGAGCTTCTTCTCTGAGCTAATGTAACGTATTTCAGATATCAGCCGACGAAGAGTACTTACGATTTCTCTATGTGACATGCTGAAGAGTTATAATTAACCACAGATAGTTAGTTTTCCACTTTCAATGATGAAATCAATTTCTTTGTAATAAATTCAGTTTCATCCGCAGTGTATTTTGGTTCTTCATGCACATTCCAAAAAACCTGTGAAACAGAGCTGAGTTTCTCTTGTGGGAAAATATGAAGAGCAATATCATTAAATATATCTCTGTACCTGAAGGAATTATTGATGCTAAGTTCCTTTGTATGTGGAATAATATTGAGGATGTATCCTGCACTAGTATTCAAAATACGTTTAGGCTGAGATTCAAAAATTTTGGAAAAGCTGTTGCTGAATATGATACAGTTTTTCAGTTCAGGACCCCAGTTAGTCCATAAGAAGTTGTTAGTCAATTGTTTGGGGCAGTGTGGCAGATACACCAGTGTGACTATCTCAGGAGAGAGTTTGTGTTTCCCTTCTTCATTTACTGTGATAACTTCACACCCTAGTTCTCTAAGTATTTCAATCTCTGTACTGTAAAATACAGGATCAAAGACAGAGACACTGGCAGAAAAATGATCTTTCAAACACAAGAGAAGTCCAAACTGGTAGCGAGCTCCCACACACTCCACAAAGTGGCCAAGTCCATAACAGACGACTTTCTTCACTCCTAAGAAGTCAAGTTGGTTCAGTCCTTGGTTTAATTTTATTAATACAGTTGAATAGAATTCGGATGTTGCAACTTCTTCTTTGGCCAATAATATCCTCCTGAAAAGACACGCACAAGATATTTTTCCTTCACTTATAACTTTATCAAATTTAAATATTTATATATAGAAAATCACATCACCTTATACCAATTTCTTTATTAATGCTGCATTCATGACCCTCAGAAGATGCAGTTACCAATACTTTAGGACTGGTATCTGTGTTTCTCTTGCCCCTTTTCTTTGTTTTCACAAATCTGAAGTCATCAACTGGCATTCCTATAAATAAATTTTGCAAGATTAGAACACCTACTGACAACCGATAATTTTACCAAGACTGGTCACCAAAATGTCCGAACGCCTGCGATTCTGTATCTGGTGACTACTACCAGTGTCTATATAAAAAATGTGTACACTATACCGTTCAACTATCAACCCAAATAAATAGTTTGATTGGGAAACAATGGATGGGATAACGTGCAATGTAACCCTGTAAATTAGGTTCCAAAATGAAAAGGACTTAACATGCTTTGCCTCAGAATAAAATTGTGCAGTGTGATGTTCTACAGACAGATTGTTTCATACATGGGGAAACAGCACCTGGTAGAAGGTTAAATGATGCCTAACATGACTCTGGCGAAGTTCCAGTAATTATCTCCTACTGCCGTCATATTTTACTTCCATAAACACAATGAGGTACAAAAATAACCCACTGCATTCTACTTACCTAATTTCTACTGTAGCCAATTTTGAAGAATATGGTTTCTACTGGAGCGATGTGTTCAATCTTCATTGTTCGTGTTAGAATGAGAGTCGGCGAAGTAGTGAAACCTTTAGTTTCTTTTCTTTCTTGTGAAGAGGAAATTAAGTTTGTAAGAAATGATTAAAACCAATTCCTCTAATACTTACATTCCTCTGTTTACTATATCAGAACGTATCAGCTGAGCGATAATTAATATGTGTTACGCGGCATTGCAGGCGATCGATTTTATATTCTAGCAGGCTGTGGAATTTAAGTACAAGTAAATTCAAGGACTGTTACATAATCTGCAACTGATTGTTCTTATGGCGAGGGTATATCAAGGAAACTTGCAACCGCAACGCAACCGTAATTTCCGAGAACTGTAATCAGCCTGAGTTGAACACAAGTTACTGATTGGAGGAGCGCCAATTGACGAAACGGCAACGCAGTTGCGGTTTCTAGTTTCCTTTGTGTGCCCTCGCACTTACATTCGGTTAGGTTTTTATGTTATGACTCGGGAAACGTTCAAGTATCGTTGTTTACAGACAATATTAATAGTTTTGTGCACACATTATAAACAATGCACGACAGAACCATAACTACATAAACAAAAAGAAGACAGTTGATTACCTATGACATATCACAGTGGCACGACCGATTTGGCCAAAGAGCACATTTGTTCAGAACCACTGACGAAGTCGAAGTGACTTTTCGGTTTTCTGTGATTGTGGGCTGAAGAGTGCGGAGTCATAAGTGATGTAGGGAAATCAGTTTTCTTCGTAAATTAGTACACGTGTCAGTCGTGTCACAGTTTATAATAGATGTCAATTATGACACTTGAATTGAGGCATTGTAAATACGCGTCTATTTACGAACTGTAGAAGAAGAGTAGACTGTAAGCCTTTTTCTAATTGGAGGCGATTGTGACTGTTGACTTCGGTAATATATGCTAACTAAAGAGGCCCTTGTGTTTAAATGCGTTATTGACAGTTATGTTGTGATATGACCTAGTGGCAGGAAACATTTATGTTAGTTATTAGCCGTCTCACATGCAACTTGCGTTTTGAAACCTTAAAAGTTTTGAACGTTAAAATCTCTTTACATCACTAGTGTATACACAGCACATATTTTGACAAACATTGTCATCTTAAGGCGTCTCAAAATTGCCGTTGAAACTGTTGTGTTTCTGCCCGTTAAGTTTAATTTTGGGGGTATGCCTATGTGTCCCTTGATGATGGGCAGCTCCACATATTGTGTCGTGTGTAACGCATAGACGTGGGAATATCCCAAAAATTGAACTTATGGACAGAAGCACAGGCGTTTCATCAGCAATTTTAGGGACATCTGAAGTGCCTGAAGATGACCAGTGTTGGTCGAAACGTGTAGTGTTCATACATCAGTGATGTAGAAGAGATTTTTAACGTTTAAAACTTTTCAAGGTTTTAAAAAGAAAGTTGCGTGTTAGACGGCTAATAACAGGAATAAATAAGTGATGTGCAACAGAATGCTGTGATACAATATTTTGCAGGTATTTGAATGCAATGACTTCGTTTGCAGGTAACCGAAAATTCATGCAACTGTAATGGAGAACGATATATTTGACTTTTCTGAACGTGATGGTGTGACACCCAATCCCATATCCCCAGGTTTCACCCCTTATCCTTCAGGCGATCATCCAGAAAGTGGACGAAAATGGTATAGGAAGGCAGCACACAGGTAAATCACTTTGTTGTTATTCTCTAATGAAAAGGGGCCTAAAGTTTATTTTTGTTATTGTACAGTTTAGTACCAACGCCGTTAATTGTAGACAAAGTCATAGCAATGTGCAGGTTGTGCCCCCCCCCACCAAATTTGATATAATATGACTGAATAGAACCAAACCAAACCAAAAAGGAGAAATGAGAGTTATGGATCCAGAAACCTCCTTTGAATGTGGCATGATGGGAAACCCAAACTGTATTTTACACTCTAAATGAAAACTATATTTTATGAAAATGTTACCCAAATGAAACCCAGAAATTTGATGTCTTTATTTTGCATAAATAAAAAGCTGAGCTACTATTCGTTGTGGTCCCTCCCAGCGATCATTTTGTATTTTCTTATATGTATGCATTGCTATATGATACAAGTTATATGTACCTGTGTGTGTGTGTGTGTATTGTTTTGTAGTGGGTAAAAGGCTCTGGAAAAAATTATGAATAAAAAAAATATTTTGTGTCCTTGCATTCATTGGAACAACAATACTGTATTACACAAGTGAAACAAAAATTTTAAGTGTGTGTGGTATTTATAACCTGATAATTTCTGTCTTCCTGCAGTTCATTTTGCAGCCTTTGCCATTTCATTCATCTTAATCTATCATGTTACTCATTGGACCGGTTCCATTGTAATTTATAATTGAGTATCTCTCTGAATTTGAACTGTCACCACAGAGCACAGGACTTGAAAGTATCAGCATAGCATTGAATGCTGCAATAGAGTGGTTATCACTTCCTGATATTCAGGAAGGTTCGAAGCATGGCCTGGAGATAGGCTATAGTGACAGGGTTTTCATGGTTGTCTGTTCCTTGGGGCAAATGCTGGGATAGAGCTTCAGAATGGGTCATAACCAGTTCTTTCCAGGCACTCTCTTATGAATTATTAATTAATTATTCTGTCATCATCATGAACTTCATAAGGTTAAGTTATTGAGAATTGTTCCTCTGAATTCCCAAGTGGTTTTCATCTCTTCATCATCTTTTTGGGTGTTGTTCAGTCCCTTCAAGTTTCATTGGAATATCAGTTGTGGAACACAGGTTCTTTTCACTATTTTGAGATGATATTTACAGTTCTGTTAGTATCCTTGTGTCTTGTCTATATTTGTAACTTCAAGCTTCAACTGATGTTAGAATTTCTTTAGTGGTATAATCATGTAAATCTTAATAATGATTTTAAAATACATGTTTTTGCCATGTCTAATGTCTGGGATTCCTTACTGTTTAGAGTCTAAGTGTTATGAATCTGTGTTGGTTTTGATGTGATGTTAACTTTACTTTCTAGACTAACCTCTTTCATAGTGTTCACTAGAGCTTTACCCTTCTGTATGGTATCTGTATTTTTGCCCAGGAAATTAACATTGCCAGCACAGACCACAAGCTGATGTGTCCTGTTCAGTTTGAATCCCTCCTTGCTTTCTCTAACCTTGTAATGGTATATTACAGAGCAAAGTTAAAAGTAGTAGGGTTAAAGCATTTCCTTGTTCTGAACTTTTCCAAGTTGGAAATATGAGACAAATATTTACTTATATGGTTTATACCATAGGTTTCATTTAACCTTCCTAACTGAATGAATCATGTTCTTTCATAGAGTCTATAAACAGCTGATGTACTGCCCCATTGTGCTCCAGTATCTGGCAAATGCAGAATATCGTATAAGTAGTTGATCTGTTACACCTTTAACAGATGTCCCCCATATTTAAAAAAATCACGAGTTAAACTATCCAAGCCTGGACTTTTCCTGTTTTTTTTTTTTTTAGAACATTTATCTGATCTTCTGTTCATATAGCTTATAAATGAGAATATTTATCTGATCTTCTGTTCATATAGCTTATAAAATATTCCCTCTTTCTGTAGTTCCATTTTCTGCATTGGTTTCTTGTATGTGAGAATCCTACAAGAATGTATAATATTTTGAAAAGTTCTGTCTTCTGGGATATAATGTGTAGCATATTGAAAGACCAAATACCTTGATTCTTATCACTTTATCACAGACTTTCTCTCATAATCAATTAAAGCTGTGTACATTTCTAGGTTTAACTCTCTTTTCTGTTACTTGTTTAATTATGTTTTAATGTTCATGGCCACCCTTTCCTCTATCCACTGTCATGTCCACTATAAGTAATTGTAATGTAATATTGAAACAGTTTAAGCAAATAGTTTGACTGTTTGATTTATTATGAGGTGAATCTTTGAGGGTAGATTTGTGAAGGCTGGGGAGATGATGCAATGTTATGCATTCAGTGCCTCTAACTCTGTATGTTTGTAAACATCTTTGTTCCATATTTCATGTTATTCATTAGGTACAGAATTGTGATACACTTGGAAATCCCATTTTTTTATGCATTCCTTGAATGAATTACATAAAATGAGTGCATAACCTTGCAACCGTGTCCATTCACGCTTTTCATCTCGGATACTACTGAATGGATTTAGATTGAATTTGGTACTGGAAGTCTACATCAGCAGTTTGGTGACTTCAGTTTCAGTTAAAATTCAGTTTAAGTTTAGAGTGAACCTTACCAGTTTTCTTAAAGAAGGAATGGAAGCCTATAGTACAGAAGTACGTGCATGGTACAAAATATGTATAACTTATACTGACATCTACATTTCCATTTGAAACATCTGTTAGTGCAGAATATACAGTTAAAAGTAATTTCTGGTTATGTGTGGTATGATGTCAGAGGTGGTATAGGCTTTGCAAAAATGTAAAGCAAATGAACAAATAGCGATACACTTTTGGAGTACACCTTTCCATATATTTGCATGATGTTGAATGAGAGTCTAATGCTTTATTGCTGGCAGTCCCTTTAGTCCACATACACTTAATTTCTTTCTTTGCAAGTACTAAATTCACACCATTGGTATAGCATTTCAGGATTCTGAAGGATTAGACCTTTTATGGCTAACATTAATAGTAGATGTTTATGACATGTCACAATCTAAACTCAAGGGACACTGCATTGAGTGATGCAAGCATTGTTTTCACTGTGCAAATATATTGTCAATACTGTAATAATGACGGGAGTTGGAAGTACCAGTACATCCATTTCCATGCTTCTCATACCAGTTTTCAGGAACACAGATAAATTAGTATGTATAGCCCATAACTGAACTGGGGGATAGAAACACTGTTGCTACCAGGACATATTCTGAGGGAGGATAGCCATAAAACTTGCTCACAGACTTACTGTTTACAAATATTTTTACTGATCACTGTTGATGATGTATTTAGGATGAGAGAGTTATCTTTATTGTTTTTAAAAGAGCCTGGGGGGCAGGGGATGCCAGCCCCCCCTCCCTCTGACCCCAATTAATAGACATGCAGATCATGATAAGTGGAAATATATTTTCACTTCAGCTTTACACTTAGATTATATTTTTGCCAGGTAACCCTAAAATAAAAAATGTTAAGTAAAGAAAATGAATGCAATTGAGGATTTTGTTTGTTGATGACAAGAGTAAGCTTGTAAGATTTGAGGCTTTCACGGCGGTGACTATGAAGAAAGCAGTCTTCTGGGATTTGGCACCGTGTATATGTGGTGTTAACCGACGTTTCGGAGGAACGTATCGCCCCCATCTTCAGGGTAGAAGAAAAAGTATAAGAATTCTGCAAGCGACAACAGTCTGCTTTACCGTTTCTCACGGTGTTGTCGCTTGCAGAATTCTTATACTTTTTCTTCTACCCTGAAGATGGGGGCGATACGTTCCTCCGAAACGTCGGTTAACACCACATATACACGGTGCCAAATCCCAGAAGACTGCTTTCTTCAAGAGTAAGCTTATTTCTTACTTGACTTTCTCAAGGATTTTGTGGGAGTAAAACACCCTACCATGTACTATTCCAAAATCCTGTTTTAGACAGTTATTTTGAACTTAGGTGGGTTAGTAAAGTTCTGGAAAGGGAACTCTGTTGCTTCGGAACCCTGATGCAAACTGCTTTTTATCTTTGCCAGCCTGTTCCTGCAGTTACCCTACATGCATTTTAACAAGCATTGCACATATGTTAGAGATGCGGGAACAGGTGTGAAATGAATGCACAGACAATTTTAACTTTCCTAACAGTGCTTGAAAGAATTCATGGAATTTAAAACTTGTGTAATAGTAACTTCATCAAATGATTTGATATACATATATTGAAAAGTAACCATTGTCACAATTTACATTTACAATAATTTATTGAGACGATCAGAATTGATCCCAACTATGCCACATTTACATCTGAGATACGTTTAGTATGTTCAGTGTTCCAGGTGATGATGTGAATCTGTTGGGAGATAACATAGATATCATAAAGAAAAACAAAAGAAACTTAATTGACACAAGTAATTTGGTTGGTCTAGAAGTAAACACAGGGAAAACCAAGTATATGTTGTTAAGCACCAGAATGCAGGGCAGAATCATGACATAAAGACAGCTAACAAGTGCTTTGAAAATATGGCACAGTTCAGATATTTGGTAACGACCACAACTAATCAAAATTTGATTCAGGAGGAAATTAAGAGGAAATTGAATTTGGGTAATGCTTGCTACCGTTCAGTCCAGAACCTTTTGTCTTCTCATCTGCTGCCTAAAAACGTAAAAATTGGAATATACAAAACTGTAATTTTGCCTGTGGTTTTGTATGGGTGTGAAACTTGGTCTCTTATATTAAGGGAGGAAGATAGACTCAGGGTGCTGAGGAGAATATATTGACCGAAGATAGGTGAAATAATGGGAGACTGGAGAAAACTGCATAATGAGGAGCTTCATAATTTGTACTCTTTGCCAAGTGTAATTAGAATGATCGAATCAAGGAGGATGAGATGGGCAGGGCACTGGAATGAAAGTGGTAGAAGAGGAATTGCATATAGGATATTAATGGGAAAGCCAGAAGGAAAGAGACCACCATGAAGACCGAAACATAGGTGGATGAATAATATTAAAATGGATCATAGAGAAATTGAATCCATTGGTATGGACTGAATTGATCTGGCTGGAGGGCTCTTGTGAACAAAGTAATGAACTTTCGGGTTTCATAAAATCCTGGGAAGTTCTTCAGTAGCTGCACAGTTTGTGGCTTTTCAAGAAGGGCTCAGCTCCTTGAAGTTAGTTAGTTGTTTCATGAATGGCTGTGCTGCCACCCTTGTTTGATTTGGTTTAATTACATTGACATATTTTGTACTATTTTCTATTTTCAGTATTAATGGTAGCACTCATGATCAAACCCATAACCCTGTCAGTACTGAACTTACATGATCCCTGTCATTGCCACTCCTCTGAAAAGAACATAGCGTAACTACAACTAATGAGAAGACGTGAGCAAAACCAATTCCAAAAAAGTTATGGATATTGTGTGTACCTCACACATAATTCAGCATACTATAAAGATGTATTGGGGAGTGAATATGTATAGCTCACATATTCTTAACTATGGCTCTTGATGGATGTGTTGGCCATATTGGCAAAGTTACTTGTGAAGAGATATTAGTTTGAAGATTGACTGATTTTGAATTTTAAAGGTTGAATAATAATTGGTTTAGTATGAGTCAGTTATGAAATATTGTGATTGAGATTAGGTCTTTCTGACAGACCCAGCAGAGTAGGTTCCTCTTGCCCTTTTGTCTGAGGACAGAAACAGATTCAATTTCTGAAACCTTGTGTTCTGAGTACCAGAGAGTGGCCAAAGTCGAAAAATTCATTATCTTTATTGATATCTCTAAACATGACTGATGAAATTGTCTATGCAACCATGTTGTAGTACAGTCTTCTTTATCAGTTGGTTGCTGTATCTTATCGTTTATGCAACATAGCATTTAACATTTAAATGATTATTTTTGGTATTGAATCACATGAACTTTCTTTATATTTACAATAAAAGTTACAAATGTTTGTCAGAATTAGTTACCATCATTATGCATAACTATACTTCTTCTTTAACAGAAAAAAAACAAATGCCAATTGCTGGTATGTTGCAGATAAAAATATAAATCTGAATTTGCAAAGTTATTCACACTACATGTACATAATTATATGTAAAAAAAAAGTAAAGCTATACCTGTAACAGGCCGTGGAGGCCCATAGGGTTGTGACATCAAGTCTGCCACATTCTCTAGACATTCGGCTCACAGCGGTGAAGTCAGCCTGTATGTCCTTTTATTAAACTATTCACAATGATATAACAAATATTGGAGCCTTCAATTATTTGAGTTTTATATGTTATATTAATTGAACCGGTTCTTATAATGAATCGTTGTGAGAAGATTAATATAGTTAGATTTAAGCATAGTATGAATTAGGGTTTATACTCAGGCAACCAGAATTGAAATATACCTAATAGCTTTCAGTGTAGACTCCCATTGTCAATTTGGTCGAAATATGTTCAGTAGTTTCTGAAGTTAAAAATGGACAGATGCACCCACGATTTTTTCATTAAGCGTTAATTTGATGTATTTTGTGGAATGATACATTAAGAACTTATAATTCTGATCTTCATTTCGCAGTACTGCAGCGAGATATGAGTAAGCGAATGAAAAACAGCCAGTTTTTGTTGATATTTGGACCCACGACTCACTATCTCGCACCGTGTTTACTGATACCGTTATGGTGACCCGTGAAGTCTTGTGACCTGTGATAAACTGAGTCTTTGCAACACGAAAACTTTTATGTTGCCGTGAGTGTGTTTGCACACAGTAGTTGTACATCCGGCAGCCGAGTGGTAGTACATAATGCCGGAATTAAGTGCGACGAAGTCCGAAGTTAAGAAGAGACTCGTACCTTTGGTGACTGCTGCCGGCAGTGGTGCGAGTCGGAATAACCCCAGGAGGTTACGATTTGCAACTGAATCGCCACACACATTGAACGTTCCGTTCAGTTTTGGTCTGCGGTTCCCTTCTCTTCCATTGACACGTAATGATCGATCAGAGAATGATCTGGACAGTTTCGCTGAAGGAGTGACTTCGGTGGAACACAGCTGGATTGATGATCGAGAGTTATCACACAGGTATGCAGAAAGAAATCCTTCCGAAACTTAAATATGAAAAGAATGTGGTGAAAGTCCTGTTATGCTTCGATGAGCATGTCAGAAATAGTAAGTAAAAGCACATTTTCTGTTTGATAAGCCAAGCTCTTTTTCATGAAACTCCTCAGTATGACAAGCACTCGTGTTTTGTAGGGGATGAAAGGCACCAGGACACCAGAATTGGGTTTCGGAAACTATTTCTAAGGTTGAAAGTCATTAGAATTGAATGAAGGTTTAAAGGTTTAGATATTCATAGTAACGAGAAGTCCCTTTGCGGCATTACTGTTTTGATTCGTGAGTCGTGATATCGCAGTAAAGTGTCTACAGAGTTTAAATCCTGTTTGGAATTTTCTCTTCGCCTGCACATGACAGACCCTGGGGCCAACCCAGTCTCCTATTCATTCAGTACCTGTAATATTGCAGTGCGGCTTTGAGTGTTTTCACGATATGGTAGTTTGACACGGGTAGATCAAACGTTACCTTTTGGATCGTGGAGTGTTAAGTAGTGGTCTGTCGACTGCAACAGTTAAGTTTCGAAAGCAGTAGACTAGGGATCTTATGTAAGGAATTAAAAAGTGTAGTGAGTAAGATTCTTGGTAACCGAGAATTTTTATGATATCCCCCCCCCCAAGAATAAGACAATAGACTAAGGTAAAGTTTGTCAAGTCATATATTTTAATACAGAGTCAATGGACGGGTGTGCGTATAGAAGGGTAATGATGGGTCTGTTATGTGTGAATGAATATAATGGGAACTTTTCTGAGCTGGGGCTGTCATGCCTTTGTGACGACAGTGCTGAAATTCAACAGCAGCAAGGAATTTCCCGCCCACCTGAACTACTGTCTTCTGCCAAAGAAAGGGCCCGTACGATGGATGGTTGATAGTGTCACTGTAGTACGCATATACAGGGCGTGTCTTCTGAAACGCAACTCCTACTGTACTCCCACGTAAACAGAACAGTTACTCGACACCCGCGAAGTACCGATCTGTTTATGTCATACATAAATAGTCAAATAAACGCTTAGTTGCCTTTCCTCGGCTTATCAAGATCAGTGTTAACCAGTTTTTGTTTTATAAATCCTCATAGGGGGTCGTGTGGTAAAACGATCCTGACAGTGGAACAGTGTGTGTGCATAATGAACGTTATTTTTCTGAAAAGGCCTCTGTTACGTGTCAGAAAGTTTTTCGTAAACGATATCCAGATGAGCCACCAAATACAGGGTGGAGCAGGGGAAACGCATGTTTTTTCACATAACAATAACCTTGTTGATTTTTCAAGATAAATCCTTTTTAATTACATAAAAAAGAAGGTATTTTAATGCATTTTTTAACTTACATTACGTACGTAAAATAATGTCAGTCAGATGACGTCTTTCTTGCTGGACACACATTTGGAGCCTCTCCTCAAAATTCTGCATCGCATTCTCCAACATGTCTTCCGGCACAGCTGCCATTTCTTGACGAATGGAGAGTTTCACCTCTTGGGTCGTTCGTGGTCTGTTCGTGTACACTTGCTGTGAGGTATCCCCACAAAAAAGGGTCACAAACCGACAGATCAGGGGAGAGCGGGGGCCAAGAAGCATCACCAAGACGGGAGATCACATGTTGGGGGAACTTCCATCGATGCTCTCGCCGTGTGAGCTGTGGCACCATCCTGCTGGAACCACATTTGTCTCATGTTTATCCGACGCCTTTGGAGTTCTGGATGCAGGAAGTTGTTTAACATGTCGATGTAGGGCGCCGAAGTCATTGTAACTGCAGTCTCCCCTTCTTCAAAAAAGTAAGGACAAACGATCTCTAACTTATCGGTTTGTGACTTTTTTTTTTTNTCTTTTTGTGTAATTAAAAAGGTTTTATCTTGAAAATCAACAAAGTTATTGTTATATGAAAAACATGCGTTTCCTCTGCTCCACTCTGTATATCGACTCTGTGGCGCCCGGTTCAGAAGTTTCGAGAATATGGCAGCGTATTTAATCGCCATCATGCTCGTCGGAGCACAATTTTAACTGAGAGCGCGTACAAGATGTCCGGTATAGTCTACTACAGTCACCAAGCAAGTCTTTAAGGAAACTTTGCATAATAAAAAAAGTCTTTAAAGTCAGCTCATAGAGCAAAAAAAAAAACTACCGTATTCACGTTATGCAAGAATTGCGCCCCACAGACTTTATTGCGCGAATGCGGTATTGGAAGTGGTTCCAAAATTTCATACATGACGACTTCGGCCATCCTTTAGTTTTCCGAACGTAACACACAGCTTTTCGGAAGTCATATCTGTTTCTGTCGTCAGGTGGAAAGATGTTCAGGCACTTATTTGGGTTCCGTAGAAAGAGCTAATTTCAGTTACTGGTGTGAGAATAAAATACCATCGTCAGAACCGTTTGAGAATTTATAGGAGTGTTGGTGCATGTTTTTCCTTATGACAGAATGCTTATATTTTCAATGTTTTTCTAACATTACTGGATAAGACCGTCATAGTGAACAGTTAAGAGCATATTGTGTCTACACGTACCTGCAAACAGTGGAAAACAACCAGCAAATAATTGTATCCAGATGTGACTGACATGTACGTACATACTGTTATTTTTCCATCGCTTACATTGTTTTTAAATGAATAAGAAAGCGTTTGCATTAATCTGTTGTGAGCGTGGAAGAAGAAACGTGATTAAGCTCACATTCGTCATGTATGGTGGCATGTTTCACAGAAGATTTTGAACTGAATGTGACGTTCGCGATATCAAAGGTCATGTATGTCTTTGTGATAAGTGTTGGGGCTGTAGGATTTGCTCTCGTAGTTTGTCAGTGCAGTTGGTAGTACATGTTATAATCTTGTATAGATGGCTTAATATTTTTAGAATGCTCTGTGGTCTAGTGGTCAGAGTTCCTGGCTGCAGATCCAGAGGTTCCGGGTTCGATTCCCGGCGCTACCAGATTTTTTCTGAGAAGTAGTGGGTGTGGAACGGGGTCCACTCAGCCTCGTGAGGATAAGTGAGGAACTATTTCAAGCAAATAGCGGCTCCGGTCTAGAAAACCGAGATTAACGGCCGTGGGGAACCGTTGCCCTGACCGCATGACATCATCTATCCGCTAAAGTTGGCACTAACTTCACCGACAAGCGGCGGTCGCTGGGTCGGTATAGTTCGCTTGCGGACTACAGGCCACGTAGTATATGTAACTGCAAATGAATGGGTAGGTTAAATTCAACTTCGACTAGAAAAACCATGTAATCTTCATAAATAATCATATGTTGGTTGACTTATACATACATGAAAAAGGTATAATAATAATAATAATAATAATAATAATAATAATAATAATAATAATAAAAGAAAAATAACCAATATTTTTCCGTTTACTTCGAAATAAACCACGACCGCTTCCTTCCCAGTTCTTTCCGTCGCAAGTTAATTGCATCTCTTTCGAGGCTACATAAATCAGCTGTTTGTATGTTGTTCTGAAATAACCAACGGTTAATATACTTGCATTCCTTGCATTAGTCAAAGAACTGCCGCAGATGCCTGCATGAGGTCGTTCATACCGATGTATAATTGTACGCTGTTGGCATTTGTTGCTAAGTCAGCAGTCTTCTTGCATCAGAAAGAGCAAGTAAATAAATACAGACAATTGTATACGTTCTTTGGCCATGTTGATAAAATTCACGCATATTTCAGAGGTTGCCTGAGAGACTTCGAAAAGCACTTGCTTCGGGTGTGCCTTCATGTGGTATTGAGTTTTATGCGATAACGGTCGAATGTAGTTAATTTTGGTCCGTCCAGGGAGTCATACCGACTGTGTATAGGATTAGGGAACTAAAAAAACGGCCAAGGACTATAGAGCCATAGAGAGATAGATCAGTGCTGTATTACCCCTGGTCCGATCGGACTTTTACGATTTTATAAAAAAATGACTCATCGTATGAAAAAGTGGTACGCACCGTGAGTCGATAAAATTTTGATTTGAAACATTTTTTCGGTGTGATGTGAAATACAAAAGAAAACATTTGTTTGACGAAGCAATTATTTCTGTTGTGTGATTAGCTTCAAAATAATGGTTGGACTTCAAGTGCAGTGCAGTACACAAAATTGCAAAGAATGCATTTTAAGTGCACCTCCATGCCTGTTAGTTATTGTGGAGAATATGAATGATATGAATGAATATTCCTTAGTGTTCTCAGGTTGTTTTGAAGCTGGTTCCGTCATTGTTTTAACAGCTGCAACAAACACAGCCGGATGTTACATATAAATGTATCTGTGATCATATCCTTTTGGATTTCTCTAACTTTTTCTGGGGGAGACGAGGGCCACCGACGTTTCGGAGGAACGTATTTCCTCCTTCGGGATAGAAGAATGAGCCAAATAAACCATCAGCTTCATAGTCACTGGCTGCTCTGGAAATCTAGAATCCAGCATGGGCACAGTATCATACACAGCTGAAACACTTTTCTTTGTCTGGTAACGTGTACTATCCTTGTAGTTCTATTAGTACAATAGACAACGAAGGTCGGCAAGTCTGTGTTTTCATACACTTGAGTGTGCACTTAGTCCTCACCCAGGTATCAGTATGTAAACTGTGTACATGTGTCGCATTACGGAATGAAATACCATTACGAAAATAACCATTCAGAAACACCTGTTGTGATCGCGATTTGGATACAAATAGGCGCCAGAAGCACAGGAAATGAAAGTTTGCTCCTAGCCAGTGTTGTTTCTGTTTCTAGGTTTATTGAACATTACTGAGTCAGCTGCCTGACTTACGTGTAGATGGGAGTGTAATATTACGATAAGTTTTAAGTAAGTACCCTTCGGATATAGGAGCTGGGATAGCGTAGTCAGTATAGTGACTGGCTACGGGCTGGAGGACCGAGGGGTCGGAGTTCGAGGCCCTTTAGGGTCAAGAATTTTCTCTTCTCCATATCGTCCAGATAGGCTCTGGGTTCTACCCAGCCTCCTATCTAATGGGTACTGGGGGCTCTTTCCCCGGGGTTA